TCTTAATTTTGGCTCTGCTTGGAAATACAGAACGTTTTAAATTCTTCGAAATACACCTGTCAACTATTATGTCGTCTTGTTCATTGTCATCATCTCCTCCACACTCACACAGCTGACAACAAAGTTTATCAACCAGAGGCATGCCAAACAGATTCACAGAAACCAACATAATCACAAAAATGCAACTCATTATGCTCATGGCTACTTTACAAACAAGGAAAAAGTGTGAAATTGGTCAACTCTCTACAAAACTAAAACACTACATATACAAGCACTTTTACTGACAGGGACTTGGCATCAAACCTGTCTTTTATAAAACTATTTTGGGAGCGTTACAGCGTTTTGAAATATTTAAAACCAAAATCCTACTAGAGCAGTCGTGCTGATAACGCGAAGGTCGTGGGTTCCGTCTAACGGCCACGCCACGCCGTCTTCTATTATGATGAAATAATAGAATCAAGCTCCGAGTGAAATCAGGTTTTTGTATTGGTCCGCTAGCTATCTGACTTTCACTCAGGGGTGGGGTTAGTCTCAAATAGACCACTGTATCAGTGTATGATATTATATTATTAAAATATAAAATACAAAGAGACAAATCCTGAAATAAAGTGCTTGGACACGATTTGAATTACGATGTCACTTGGTAATTATTTAATTAATATGAATGACAAATCTCATCCATCAAATCAGAATAATAGAAATAATACAATTTATATATCAATGTTGCAATAAATATAATTGCAAAGTATTCTTAAGAGTTAAAGGGCGACTTAATTCTTACTTAATTAGTTACAGTCTAATGGGGAAGGGAAGGGATAGGTTAATGGAAATGAAGTTAGTAATTATGGCCACTTAGCTCGCTGATATTTCGATCGAGGACTTGACTTGGAACGGGATGCGACTGGGACGAACTTGGACGAAACTTGGAGGAACTTGACTTGGAGGAACTTGACTTGGCGGGAACGAAGCTGGACAGGATATGGCAGGAACGAAGCTGGACGTGACTTGGCGGGACTGGAACTTGACGGGTACGGGAACGAAGCTGGACGTGACTTTGTACTAAACTGGATACAGTTCTTTTATAGCGTGGAACAGACACTTTCCCAAATGACTTGAGCCGAAGTTGACATCGAGTTGACTTTAAAATACGGAAGGTGTATTTCAGAATTTACTCAGCTTCTCGAAGTGTCTACACTGTTGCTCGCTGATATTTCTCCAAAGTCCAAATCTTGAAGTATGTTGTATACTGGATATTTGAAGCACTGATGATTATTAAAAATGTATTAGCAGGAGAAGGGTTTCGGATGAGGAGGTTCCAGGTGGGGGTTTCCAAGTGAGGGGGTTCCAAGTGAGGGGGTTCCAAGTGAGGATTTCATGCAGGGGACGGGGGTTTTATACCTAATTACATATTCACAATCTCGATTCTGAGATCTCCTCCTACAAAATATTCTTACCCTAAACTTAACTATTTCATTATTATTACTGTAGGTGACTGGGCGGTCATAATACTTGATGGACACTCAAACAGTGTTCCTGAACCATTAATCCTAACATTCTGATTGGGCGAAAGTAAAAATAAGGGGAAGGAGTAGAAAATACAAATGCTCATTGGTCAGTTGGGGATATTCCTGCTACTACTTTCTTTGGTGACTCAGCTCCTTTACCAAGAAAACAAATGTCTTGTCTTCCAACCCAAACTGGTATTTGTAGAGGGATAATTTATTTGCCTGTTTCCCACTATTTGTCTGTTCATAATCAGTCAACACAAACACTGGTTGAATATGGGCTTTGTCTACTAACATCCTATTCTTGGAATCTTTGGACCAGTGGAAAATGACCAGGTATCATCTCACTGTAGTTCGCTGACCTCAAGGAGGAAGAAAGATGATGAAATAGGAGAGGGAAAGAGAGAGAGAGAGAGAGAGAGAGAGAGGGTATCGTCTCACTGTAGTTTGCTGACCTCCAGTAGAGAGGATGATGCAATCAAAGAGAGAGAGATGCAATAAAAGAGAGGGAGAGGTGCAATAAAAGAGAGAGAGAGAGAGAGAGAGGGGGGGGGGGTTACCTGCTTTAAAGGGAGATATCTCTGCTTCGCTACATCAGCATTCTTACTGTTTTCAGGATTTGGATAAGTGTCATCTTCATTAACTACATTTTAGTAAAAGGGCATAATCTTTTAAAATATATGGTTGTTATAGATATGAACGAGGATATCGTCAGTTAAGGCCTACACGCTAATAGGGACTTTTAGATTTGCACAACGACAACGTGGATTGCTACGATCGACGTCCTTTTAATGCACTGCCTTGAATGGACGTCACACGTATCAGTTCACGCAAATCTAAAAGTACCTATTGATTGAATTTTGTCTAGAGGAGATGACGATGGTTGGTTTTGAAGACTATCAATTTCCAACAATTTCCATGTGCCTTTAATAATAACAATACATACGATTTCTTCGTTGTCAATGTTTTTGAATCTCCTGTTATTGTTTGAAGAAGTGGGTGATATATAACGCTGATTGATGTCAATGAATGATTTTGAATTCCAAACATAATGAATATTATACTAACCCAATTACGGAAGTTATTTAGTACCTGTTTTTATTACCATGATTAAGTTTGTATTACAATTACCCTTTCCTAAGTAAATCCCAAAACACACGACATAAAGAATATGAGGACAGGAAGGTCAAACAATTTCATGTCATAACCTAGGAATTATCGCAAAGATTAATTTTGACAAAGCCAGACGCCAGGTTTTACTACCCATCGTCCCTGCGGTGATATATTATCCAATAAACTTGGGCAGTAATAGATAAAAACCGGAGTTTTTCATTTACTGCTTCCGAAATATCTAGGTCAGACTCAAACTTTTGCTCCATAAATGCATTAAGTTGTCAGGCCTTAGCGTTCGTCATATAAGGTAGTGCTAGATGATGTTTTTGGTCTGTTTGCCCAACAGATTCTGTCTATACGTTTGTCAGTATGTTTATTGGGGTCCCTCTCCTCCTCCCCCCCCCCCAAAAAAGGCACCGAGAATCTTATACCAAGCGCGTAGCCAGGATTTGATTTCAGGGGGGCGGTAGTGAGCATGCGAAGCGTTCGAATCACTTAAAGAGCGCGCGAAGCGCGCTCCCTAGGGGGGGTGGGTGCAGGGAGGGGGGACTTTCCCCCCTCCCTCGCGAAGCGCGGAAGCTTTGAAAGAAGACGATTCGTTGTACCTTTCTCGACTCATAATCCTTGTCTGAATTCAGTCCCCCCTCCTGCGCAAAGCGCGGAAGCTTTGACGTATTATTAGACAAAGAAAACGATTCGTTGTACCTTTCCTGACTCTTAATCCTTATCTGTATTCAGTCCCCCTCCCGCGCGAAGCGCGGAAGCTTTGACGTTTCATTAATTTATTGGAGAAAGAAGACGATTCGATGTACCATTCTCGACTCTTAATCCTTATCTGAATTCAGTTTCCTCCCGTCCCGCGCAAAGCGCGGAGACTTTGAAGTTTCATTACATTATTAGAGAAAGCTAGACGACTGAAAGTACCGCTCTCGACTCTTAATCCTTGTCTGAATTCCGCCCCCCCCCCCCTCTCGCGCTAAACTTTGACATTTCATTAAATTATTAGAGAAGAAGACGATTGGTTGTACATTTCTCGACTCTTAATCCTTGTCTGAATTCAGTCCCCTCCCCCCTCCTCCTGCGCGAAGCTTTGACGTATTATTAGGCAAAGAAGACGATTCGTTGTACCTTTCCCGACTCTTAATCCATATCTGTATTCAGTTTTCCCCTTTCCGCGCGAAGCGCGGAAGCTTTGACGTTTCATTAAATTATTAGAGAAAGAAGACGATTCGTTGTACCTTTCCCGACTCTTAATCCATATCTGTATTCAGTTTTCCCCTTTCCGCGCGAAGCGCGGAAGCTTTGACGTTTCATTAAATTATTAGAGAAAGAAGACGATTCGTTGTACCGTTCTCGACTCCTTTTCCCTTTTTCTTCCTACGTCCTCTTACTTTTTTCTTCTCTTTCTCTCTCTTTTTTTTTTGGGGGGGGGGCCGGCGTTTTTTTTGGGGGGCGACCGCCCCCAACGCCCCCCCCCTGGCTACGCGCCTGTCTTATACTGCTATATTTTCTGTAGTTCCGTCAAAATTTAGCGGTTTTCCAAGTACAAGGTTCTTTTTTTAGTCATTAGGCCTTTAACGTTAGGACAAACCTTCCCATCCATCACTGCAAGACTTACTTCCGTGACATTCATGACAATGATAGTCCCATAAACCTTGCTGTTATTGACTTCTCGGTCGCAGTTCAGCGCGGACAAAAAGTATAATTGCCGTCTTGTATACGTCTAGCCTTTTCTGACACAAAGTTCCAAGTCATATTTCATGATATGCAATTACAAGCTTCTATCTGAAATTCAAGGAAACCATGTGATTCTTAAGGTTCAAAACCTTTTTTGGTCATAGCAGAAACCCCTAAGGGCTTCAGAAAGAAGGTTAAACAATGTATGATAGATTTAAATACAATCATCAACAAATTGACGACATAGCCACTCAACAAATGATAAAGGCTATTTATTCAATTAATTTTTTTTGTTAAAGGCAAAAAACAAATATATCCGTTGATATGTGTAAGTTTGCTTTGTATACCATGATGATATGAATATATCTGTTCTTTGTGTCAACATTTTTTATTATTTACATCACGCTGTGTATATTCCGACAAGCAATAAGACTACGTATATATCGTAAGTTTTATGGAGTAACTTGAAATGAGCAGTGTTGCATAAAATCGAATGGTTTAAGCACAATTCTCTTCAAATATAAAGGTCATGGGTTCGATCCCCGACACGGCACTTATGTCCTATGGCAGGGCATTAATCTGCACTTGCCACTCCATACCGATACATCCAGATTGATATTATTATTATTATTATATTTGTTGTCAAAGGTTTGGGAAGAATTGGATCTTGACATGTGTGTTTCTTTCTTTTTTTCTTTATTACAGGGTAATGTTTCGACCAAAATATACGATAGGATACAGAACAGTAGAAACTACAGAAAGACGGTGTTGTCCGGGTTTTAGTGGCACAAATTGTAATGATGGTGAGTATAGCTATAGCATAATTGTAATATCTTCTCTGTTTCTATGGTAAGATTGACAAAAATTACAAATTTGGTATCAAGTTTCCAGTATGTTGTATATTGTTGATATTAATCCCACATGTCTTAGGTCATAGCTTGTCTTAGCAATAACTTAGATTTAAGTTTTATGGTACATGTTAAATCATACAATGAATTTTGAAAATGCTTTTTAGAAAGTCGCCTGGCTACGGCATTTTTCCAAATTCAAGCTCAGTGATTTTAAAATATTCCCTCAGAGGTGACATAGTTCATGTTAATTTCAAACAATCCCATTTTACGGGGGCATGTTTGGAACTAGACCTAGGGTGGAGGAATTATTCCCTCTATGTTTTACCAGGATTTCTTAACGGTTACTATGTTTCAGTGTAATTCAGGAGGAATCCTGTCTTCTACTTGGACCATGATCTAGAAGACCACCGTGGACTATCAACCTGTGTACCTCCCTTTATAGTCTCAAGAGAAGGAGCTATTTCTTGGCTTCCGCTCGAGTCTGCATTTTTCTTCCGCTTTTTGAAGGATGAATATGATCTTAAAGTCTGCATTGATTTTCAAGAGAAAGATAGATGGAGGAGTCTCGATGAAATCGCCTCATTAATCAACCTCATACTTGTTACTGTTTATTGCCTTGGGTTGGTGTTCCCTTGTGTCTGCATTGAGTACAAAATAAAACATTTTTTCTCAAGTCGAATACATATTATTTTTCTCTTCTGTAATGTTTGAAGAATTTTGATCTCATCTCTCCCGAGTACCTACTTTCTCTTTCATATCGTGTTGTTTTATTTTTCTTTATTTGAATCTTCTTTTAAATCTGTATTTATCTTAATTTGCTCCATAATGTTTACAGTTTTTCTCATTTGCTCTTTTTAAAAATTATTTGTCTCATTCGCCATGTACAATCAAATTCAGAAAGTATTATTTATCCGTATTGTTATTCCACGTGTATTTCAACAAAGAGCATTAATGTAGGCCACAAAACCAATATCATTTTCAGTCTTTTTCTCTATAACATTTATTATCAATCAAAGTAATCAAAGCAAAACTTTAAATGGCAGTTATTGTGCTTTAAGGCATTTACGAATAGCCTTTATAAAAGGAAATGGCATCCACACGTAATCATTTCTGAGTAGGACCTAGATGTAAATAAAAACAAGCAACAAGATACGATTGAAACATAAGCAGTCTTGACTTACAAGAATAAGATTCATTTGCATAATTCCCTGTTCGAGTGATTAAAATATAACGAGAAGATATATACTAATTAGGAAGTTGTTCCTTCGTTTGTTAAGGGAATGAGAACAGCAATTCACTTCCTCTAATTAAGAAGGTCCTGTCTCTGCATGGTCATTTAGTAAGAGCTGCAATTTCCAGGCCTTTTTCATATACACATTAATGATCACCATTCACACTTATCGGTGTGAAATATATGTAGGTCTACTACATTCAGAGTCTGTCAGTAACACAGGAAACATCTTAACAGAAATGGAATGGCCCATGTTATTGATGAAGGTCCTCTGTCTTCCTTCAACTAAATAACACATATTAGTTCCATTTTGTGTCACCGTCGCGAGGATTCAGTATTTATGTTTTTCTGTCCTGTCTCCTTTCCCCTTTCCCTATCTGCTCTTTTATCTAAAGATTTCATTATCGATATTTCCGTCAACCTGTCACGTCTGCTTCGCGTCCATGAGATGTAACAGACCATGTTCTGTCCCAACTATACATCACGCCTTGTATGTGTTTGTCAACGAAAGTCTCATACAGATCTACATTCATAACGGCTAGATATGCATAAGGTTAAAGCTGTTGTCTTGTGATGATTGAGAAATAAAAGTTTATAAATTATAGAATATATATTATTTCATATTATTGATAGAAGGAGAATCCCACGTTAACTCCAGAATAGGTATCTCCCCATCCTACTATCTCTTTCTTTCTCTGTATGTCGAGTTCTCTCTCTCTATCACACACACACAAACACACGCACACACGCACACGCGCACACATACACACACCCTCTCTCTCTCTCTCTCTCCTCTATTTTCTCTGTCTCAGTCTTTTGTAAGTCCCTTTCCTCACTCCCTTTTTATCTCTATCCCTCCTTTCAATTCACTTTGATTCTATCCCGTTTCTCCCTCTCCGTCCCTATTTGTCCTTCCTTCCTTTTGTCCTGTTATGTGCAGTCTAATGAGCTTTTGTAGAATTTAATTTAACCTTTTAAGGGATCGGGTAACCTGTCTTAGATTCTGAAACAAAATCCTTGATTTAGCTCATGCTGTAATGATAATTGTAAACCTTTAGGTCAGTCAGGAATCCCATGACTTTTACAAGCCGATCGCCTTTCCGATTATCAAGATATTAATGACTTAAAATCGAATTTTTATTTTTCGTTTTCCAAACGGTTTTGATAGCACTACCGTCTACTGGGGAAAATGAGTATGTTAAAACCAGTCACTCAAGGATTTTTTTACGTTTTTGAGGCACTTCATGATCATTTTGAAGCGCAATTTTTTTAGGGCTTCAATATCACACCATATCACAGACACTGATAATATGTAGGGCCATGCATCACAGATTTAACATTGTTAAACGATGCCTTTAAAGTCTATTAGAAATTGGTCCTTGCTGCCAAAACTGTCCTGATCCGATTAATAGCAGACAACTCTAAAAGAAAGCAGAAAAATCAGAAAGCAGACTGATGAAAGTTTGAACAAAATCTGGAAGAAAAAAAGTTAAGTTGTTATTACTATACATATGGGTACATCAAATTGCCTGAATCGGAAATGTTACCGTGATGTAGTGCCAGTCAACTTTCTCATTTGTTCCAACTCACAAAATTACTAAAAACGTTTTTGTTTTTTTACAATATGTATGAGTCGGGATGTTTTTTTGTTTGTTTTAAAGAGGACCTGCAATAATGTACTCTCCATAGTAAATGTCGAGTAGTGCCCCAAGGGTTAAGGCACTTGGGAGAAAAACAGAAATTAGAAAACTGGATTTATATTAAAGCCTCACTAGACTAATTATAGCTACTTGCGCCCTCTATATAGAAAACAGTGCCTAAGCGGTGACCTGCGGTCTCCCATGGTCCCCTTTTTTCTTATGTTAATTGAGAGCTGATTTGATGAGATAACCACCAGCCAGTGAACAAGCAGTGAAGTCTAATCCCCCTGGCCAAAATAGTGCAGATAGGCTTTAACTGCTTACATTTTTAATCTATTCCAAAGAGATAATGATATATGTATGTCTTTGTCACGTTTTTCTTAATTGAAACAAACATATAATAGTGTTCTATTTCATATATTTCTTTAAGTCTTCTATTAAGGACCGGCACATGAAAGCAATTTCGATTATTTTTCTTTGAAGGACTGTCGTTCCGAATATATAGTATAACACTAACATGTATTAATGTTGTACTTGACGAAGATAAGTATGAGATTATTTTTGAAAGATTACGTTTGCTTCCCTTTAACATAGTACACGTAATACCTGTCATCATGACACAAACTTGCGGTTTATCAAAAAAAAGCTGTGCCAAACTTTTATGAAGGACAAATATAATGCTATACTCTCCTGATCTCGTAGACCCGGTGCAAAACGTGAATGATACTAATGAAGTAACAAGTCTAGGCTTTTGATGAAGGAATATTTTAGTTCTTATTTATTTAATTTCCAAGATATAAAACAGAATAAACAAAAAATACTTATTTTGAATGGCACGGATTGGGACAAGTTTTTTGCATTAAGTTAGCAAGATAAATCCAACACACAATAAAAAGCGTATTTCTGATTGGCTGACGTATCTAGATTTGATTCAGATTTGCCTATAAAATGGATAAACGTTTTGCATCCCCCCCCCTCCCCCGGTTACTGCTTCTAGCGACACCCTTGATAAATTATCATTGTGGTGTTTTTGTTTTAAAAAATATAACTACTTGGGCAAAGGCAATAGTGAATGATTATCGGTTGAGGACTTGAAGTCCTCTGTGCATTGGTTTTTTAACAAGTTAAATCGTGGATGAAATTATCTTTATGTTTTGGTGTTAACAAAGTCTTTTTATTTACTTGAAAAAATATCATACGTGAAATTAAATCTTATTTGCACCGAGGATGCTTCCATACAAGTACGCCACATTAGGAATGATGTAATAAAAATGTCTATTTTTGATTTAAATGTATTAAGTAGATAGTTGTTTCCAAATCTGCGCTAAATTGGTATCATGAATTATTCTGTTTCCCCATTAAAAGTAATCATAAGTTAGTCTTTACGCTACCAATTCCATCCTAATAATGTTATGATTTCTTTGTTTCTCCTTTTATTTTACAGCTTGTATGAATTGTTCGACGTTAAATGAATTACAACAAAAAGTAGACGAATTGGTAAGTTCAAAATGAGCATAGTATACTCATTCATATTGTTTTTGTTTCTATTCAACTGTCCATCCTAATGGTCAAAGAAGAAAGGCAAAATACTTTGGCCACATCAGAAGACATCAGAGTCTCTTGAAAGAGTTATTAGTAGGAAAAGTCGAAGGTACCAGGCCAAGAGTGAAACCAAGAAGTATCTCGGAGGGAAACCTTAAGGTATTGAGAGGAAAGACACGGTTACAGAAAACAGAGATTTGTGGAAAATGTTGCAATCAATCGAGCTTGGAGAAAATACCTTGATAAATCGATAGATTCTTCCAACTAGCCTCCCCCTCACATACCATCTCTCGCACTCTCTCCATATCTCTATTTCTTTCTCTCTCTTTAATGCACACTCGTTACGTTAATATTTCGGTCTCTCTCGAAGTTACGGCGGTCAAAAATAGGGTTTTATCTAAATTTACAGTAAGCCATAGGAAAGGCATTAAGATACACTTTTATGTGGATTTGTAATTCTCTCTCTCTCGCTGTCACTCACTCACTTCTTCCCCTGGCCACCTCTAGCTTAGCCGCTCACGAGGCACCTCTATTAGACCTGTGAACAACGACGTTAACCTGGTGAACCCGGGGTATAATAGTGCTGGTGATCGCGGAACGACCACACTAAGAGGGCCTCAAGGCCCACAGGGGCCCGGTGGACCCACTGGTTCAGTAGGGTCTCCTGGAGCTGTGGGTGCTAGTGGACCACCAGGACCCGTAGGACCAAAAGGAGATCCTGGTTCTAGAGGGCCTGCAGGACCATCAGGACCTGCCGGGCCACAGGGACCACCGGGAATTCAAGGTCTTCCTGGGAAGTCCGCACCAGGTAGGCCAATCCAGTATACTCGTATCATTAAAATAATTGGGAAATCAGTTCTCATCTTGATAAATGATTAGATAATGTTGCTATACTTGTATGTCTTAAGACGTATAAAACCGGTAAGCTTCATAAACTACTCTCTGTTAAATTACTTCAAAAAAAATAACATCAATGTTTTTTGTTTGGGGGGGGGGGTTGGGGGTGGGAAGGGGTCACCCTGTCCGTCAGATATAAATGAAGCATCATTCCTCTTATCATTTAAGTGTGCTTTAATAAGATTCCATTCCTACTTCATTGAGTGTCCTTATTACTTGCTTTCTCATGTCAGGAATCGTTGGTCCACCGGGTCCACCTGGTTCCCCCGGTTCGATTGAATCACTAGGAATGGTTGTTACGGTAAGTCAAACACTATTGTAGTAAGATCATTAGAACATAAGAACATACGATTGTAAAGACTTTCGAACAACAGCGTGATCGAGGCAATTTGCAATAGCCTTGTCTATCTCTCATTGAAATGTGCGACCATCAAATTACGTAGTACGTAACTCGCACATCATTTCTATGGAATACAATTACTAAACAACAAGATGTTTGAATTGTTGAGTGCTCAAAAAGTCTTGGCGATCATGTTATAATGTTGTATACAAATTACAGCATTATCGTTTTCTAATTTTAGGGTCACCAAACAAGAATTATTTATCGGGCATGTTAGGCTTACCACGATGTGTTGCGAGTTGGATTCAATAAAGATATAAAAATGATTCTTTTCGAAGTTATCATAGCATAGTAATCTTGTCTAGAGACCATGTAAAGGGGCTCGTTAATCTCGGTGAAAAGGCGCTCTACTCGTAGAGTATAGTATACATACTACCAATCAAATCACATCGCTAACCACACTTAATATATATTGCATTAAGTGCCACAACTGTTTGGGATTTTTATTTTCATTTTATCTTCAAATCATACTCGGAAGATTACGAAGATTGCGCATCAACTTATGGTAACCCATCCGAAGGTGTCCTAAGATTACTGTCATCTGTATTAATTGACAATTTTTAGCGACTGATATTAATGCAGTTTTTTAATATTTTTGTTTGTTCATTTGTTTGTTCGTTTGTTTGTGAAATATATTGCCAGCTCGTTGTGTTCTATGGTCTATCTCGGCTGTGGTACCAGGCTGTCGGAATAAACCTATTTCTGTCACAAGTTATTTACACCGATTGAGATCATGTGATCACACTTGTTTCCGTTCTGTGTATAAGAATGATACCAAATAACACAAACCATGTGTTCTTATTTGTTGCAACAGTATTGAAGAACGACCTTGTCAAAGGCCATACGTCAATATTGAGATATAATATCAATGGGGAATTAAGGATGGATCCGGATGCATAAAAAAAAAATTCCACAGGGGAGGATCTGCCCCTCCCCCCCCCCCCCTTCCCGAAATATCAAGTTATGTAGCCGCTTTACGTCTCTCTGCCTGCAAATCGCTCTGTTCACGTTATTTCACCCCGCTTTAGCACCCTTTACCTTGGGGATCCTGCATCCCATTCAATTAGTGATTATTCGATGGGGGAGGGAGTAAGGGGAGGGGGGGGGGGGTAGTCCATGTGTATGTTCCGGCCTGCAGAGGAATGATGCGTAATGTTAATGTCACTCTTTCATAATCCACACTTATACATTTCCTATTTTGTACCCAAAAATATTTTGAGCAAAATTATGAATAGCTGGAAAAAGATCTCATTAAGTTGAGGCACTGTGTCGGCTGCCAGTTTTTTCCCATGTATTTTAACTTAAATGTGATTACGATGATTATGTGCGAATGATAGTTGCACAAACCTGTAAATCTCAATATGTTATGTCAGACAGACATTAATCAGTTGAAAGGGGGGCGGTAGAATTCCTCTTATCGCACCCCTCCATCTTCCTGTTTTACATTCTGCACTCCTGTCTAGGAATTAAAAGGAATTCTCTTGAATCCTGTTTAACGTCACCTGATCTTATAGGTTTAAATCTCCGCGTTTTTAGCGGTTTTCTCTTCCCTCAAAGTCAAGTTTATCTCAAAAATCCTATCAGATAGTTTGAGCTTCTGACGTTTGATCGTTATGAAAGCCCCATCTACTTCTCATAGCTTAAAGGAAATCCTGAGAGCAAAACTGTCACATGATGTAACGGTATCGCCACTCATACCTTATGAATCATATCGCTTTTTTATTATCTAGATTCTGATCTCAAGAAAATCTCTCAAGGTGTAGCACTCAACTAGTAAGATTGTGTTAACATAAGACAGCCCAAACCATGATGCTAGCGCAAACACCAACATTTTAAACATCATCTTTATGTATAGAAACATCAAATTTATTTGCAACACAAAATCTCTTATATGCTCTTTTCCATGTCAAATAACATAATGTTTTCGAGAAACTATTTTTGTAGCTCATGTTACAATAAAAATGCTATCGTCTTTGATGAATTCGATGCGTGAGATGTTTTTGGTCGGCACATTTTGCTTAATTTAGACATAAAAATAGATCCAATAGTTTCTTAGTTTGTTCCATGTAATGATGATGTAGAGTGACGACGTACAGAGAGCAGGTCCAGGAGCAGGTTGTTACACTGAGCTGTCTTGCTTGAAGCGTGAGGTTCACTCTCAAGGGGCATGCTCCCATTTTAGTTTGGACGTAATGGGCGCCACATGGCATATGAATACAGGAGGAGTCAAAAGGTCCCTTGTAAAAAGCCGTTTTAGCCACGCTTGCTGTCAAGACGAAATACACCGACTTTCTATCTTTCAAGAGTGATTGATAAATACACAGCGATGTTAAGAAGCATGTCTGTTGGCAGCGGCTAGGGATGGGGTTAAGGAAGATAGATTGGTATGTGGGTAGTGTGTGCTCTGACTATACTCCATCTCATAAGCTCACTCTTTGGTACATTTCTGTCTACAAAATCCTTCTTCCTCATTTTGATTAAAGCTGATCTGGAGCTCCTGCATGGGAATCGTATGTCGAGAGAACATGGGTATATTTCATTCTGGATTGTTTATCCTGCAGTAGATTGATTGTTCGAATCATTAGAATAAAAATAAAATCACAAAAACTTGCTGGAAATCATTCCGTAACAAAAACCACAACTCTCATTTTCACATAGGAACATGGTGTCGGACCTCCTTACCTCGGTTTCCTTATCTCTCTCTCTAGACTATTATGCTCATTACTCAGCCCATATACTTAATCGTTTGGCACATTTTAATTGTAATCTCGAACATTCAGTGTGTATTTTGTTGGATTATGTGAGAATTTATTCTATATCATTACCAAAACTCAAGCTTATCTTTCAACCTACGTACATTCTGCGTTACACCCTACCCCACAACTTCTCTGTAAATCAATTAGGCATTGATTGTTTTGTAACTAAATGATACCACAAATGTGTGATATGAAAATGATCGATCTGAAACCGAAACTGTTGTTTCTTCTCAGTCGAAGCATTTATTGAGGCTGAGGTTTCACTTCGTGTACACACGAGGCCATCCTAATTGTATAGATTATTATCTATAAGGCCTATATTAAATCTGAGTCGTAAACAATTCACTTTCCTCCTGCTTCTCTTTCTCCTGCTTTTCTTCCTCTTTTCTTCTTCTTCTTTTTTTTTGTGTGTATATTTTACTGAGAAGGTAAACAAACTATACATGTACGTTCTCAGGAACTTACGCTTCTTGTCGTGTGAGCGATTGGAATCCATAAAATTTAATTTCCCGGTCAGTTGACGGTCATCCAGGGATAGCAAAACGAAAAACCCCGACAAATCTAAAAAGCTGACATCACTTTATTTGTCAAAACTTTTGTTCAAAATCGTAGATTATGAATTTGAATTTAGATGCTGATAAAACCTCAGAGTAGGTATTATGCAACCGCTCTTTGTCTGTATAGGTTTCCTTGTTAGTGATGGATAAGGAGGATGGTTAACAAAAAATAGAATTATTTAATGTCAGAATGGCATCTGAATCAGGCTTTTAAAACTAAAGTTAAAAAATCCCCATACTCATATCGAACATCACTCCAACTAAGTGGATAATTATATCTGGATGTTGACCTGTCGTTCATACAGACCTTGATAGAAATATGTTTCAATCCACCACAACAAGTTTTGAAGTGGACCAGAAGTTATCCAAAAATCCACGCTATTTTGACCTAATCGGATTGAGCGTGTGCAATTCCCCATGGTTTGCCAATTAAAAGGGCTTCAGCGAACATGAGTTTTCATGTTTTCAATTAGGACACATTTCTAACCAATTTGAAGTACTTATTAAAGTCGGACCGGTCTCTATTTTAGTACGTCCTGTAATAGATTTGAAGGGTTGCCCTTAAGAGCACACATGGTGCAGAGTAGACAGTTTTACGACTTTCTCCTCCGTTGCCTCTGAAACCATTGTTCCACATTTTTTGCCCAATATCAATGTATTTGGTACAAACGTTTTACTAAATATTCTTCATGAATAGATCCATTAAAGCATTACATTTTTAACCCGATAGGAAACCTTTTTATTCTTATAATTATGCAGTGTTGTTGCATGATGACTGGTGTCCTGCTGCGCCGCGTTTCCGATGGGAAGTTATTAAAGTAGGCCTACTCCAGTTTGCAAAAAAAAATAATGACTGTAACTCGTTATAGGGCCTTTTCTGACCAAGGAGATATGAGACGAGCATCGCACCTCCTTGCTCTAACTTAAAGACATATCATGACTATAATTCCAACAGTTCTTGTAACATTTTTCTCTGGTGTATCAGTTTTATGTCCATTCTGGAGTCGGGTTACTTGCACTTTCTACTTTAGGTCTTGTTACTTTCATGACTTTAAATTTTTATCATTTTAATTGGATAGGGATTTAAAAGCTCGATGACATCTTGAGTGTCATTATTATCTATTTCCATGAACAAGTTACCGAGTCAGATAGGTCTTTTGTTTCATCGAGTATCCAGGAATCAACCATTAACTTCTACTGTAAATCTAGTAATAGTTTTTATATCGTATTTGTATTTTGAATGATTTTGAGCTTACTATAGCTTCTGGGTGTTTCACCAAGACTAAGAGCGACTTTAAGTTGGACTTAAATATTGCAGGCCATTCATGCCACTGTTTGCTCTCACCATTTACTGGCATTGGTCTCTCAAAAGACGTACAAATCATGGTCACAAATCTACAGAATATATATTTTTTGATGAGATATTATTGAAGGAAAAAATATTATCTAAAGATCCTATAATGGTGAGAACAACCAGTGGCATTAATAGCCTACCATAGTTAAGTCCAACTTAAATTCAATCTTAGTGTTTGTGAAACACCCCCCTGATATGTTTGTTATCTCTTCATGTTCACAGGCTGCAGAGTTAGAAGGACTCCTTCTAGAAATGGCTAAACTCAAGGATCGTGTGGACATGCTCGATGAATTCATCAAGTTTGGACAGGGTGAGATTTTTTTAATTGCTTTTTCTTGCAAATATGCTTCAATAGTTGGCTGTTAAATCCTCTTTAATCATATGCCTACTGTGGATGATCATTATCATTATATCTTTGATTTATGAATATATAATTTATATTCAAAGTTCTGATGATGTGAGACGATCCCACAAGACTGTCATGAACACCGGGATTAATGAGGAACAACATAGGCAAAGGCACATTGAATGGCTACAACATTGTTTGGGGCCAAACTAAGGTACAAAATCCTTGAGAGGTTCTACGATCTGTGATTCGACTGTTCATATGAATTTAAATTAAACATATTTCTCCCCCTCTTTTTTCCCCCACCGTCATTGAAAGCCTGTTATAGGCAAAATAGACATGCGTATTCGATGCAAATCATAAATGAACGAAAGCATTGTTAATCCATCAAATTTCTACCCTCTATGTGACACTGTACAGGTGGAGCCGAATCAATGAGCGATCAGTTCTTCCCTATGTCAGTCGGTAGTAGTGTAGACATCGAAACACCCAGAACACCCGGTTACTCCATACCCAACCAAGGTACAAACGGGTTCCCGGGTACCGTGGACGTCGGACCACCGCAGGGTAATACTCTGATAGGAGAGGAAGTAGCATCGGGTGCTGGACCAACCGACTCGGCGGCTCTACTCCAAACCGAATCCGATCCCATCCCGTCGGTCTTACTCCGCGGGGATGGTCTTCTTCCTCCTGACGTCATCACCAGGGGGATACCCCTCTCAATGTGCCCTTTGACAGGGATGTAGAAGCTGCTTTGCATGAAGCACCACAGACACAAATCGAATCATCCTCCATTCACGTCACATCGACAAAACAGAAAAGTAGCAGCAGCAGCTTAGTCTAATGAACATCTGTACTTTCATCAATAAACTTTTATAAACAAAATTGAAGGACTTTCATGAACTATGGCCATCAGTTCTTCTTCTTTTTTTCTTCAAATTATTATTGTTTAAATATTTTTCATATTTGGTTTTGACTCGTTTTGGAATAAACAACAAAAACAACACACCAGCACATGGACCTCGGTTCAACGATGATTTTCACCATGCGGTCATAAAGAAATCAGTGTAATTTACGATCTTACATCTTATACACAGAGATCTTCTAATGGATAACGACTTGCCCTCCTACCCCTCCATGTAAAATATAGGCTTTGCTTTTGTAGCTTAGTATGTTGAATACAGTCTTCCATTTTTACTTTCTTTACAAACTGGTGCTATTAAATGTCTGTCTATTACGGCATTGTTGTTTAATATCAGTAACTTTGATTCACGTTGATGTAAATTTTGATCTATGGAGTCCTTATAATTCATTTTTTAATTATGCTACGAGTTTCCTATAGTTGTAATGTTGATATTGAATATTAATTAGTCTGTATTGATTATATTATTACTTTTTGTTCTAGTGGACTAGTTTAATCATATGTGCTGCATTATTTGCTCTTTAATAATGTCAGAGTATTCACTTGTGTTGCTCTCATAAACGTTTAGTTTGATCAAAAGCAATTATTATGTAGTTAAAGTTCATCGGAAAATGAGAAAAGCCATAGTTGTGTTGATATAGTACCGGTTTTAATAGTCTATCATTTCGGGGTGCTGTTGTTATTTGAGGGAAAGGTGGAGTTAGTAGGACGAATGAGGATTGGAGAGAAAGATACTAGGATATACAGACGTACTTTTGTTTATTGTAAATACACTGACGTAAGTAATTTTTAGAACAAACTATGTATAGTATAGATTGGTTTGATTTAATAGGTGATAGGTCGAATGTCTTTTATTTTTATTTCAATCAATGTGATGTAAATTTGTAAATGGTCCTTATAACTATCGATACTACTCTCATGTTTCTTATTTATTTCGATCATTCACCTACAGGTACACGTGTATGGGAGGTGTTCTTCTCATTCCAACACAGATCGCGACATTAAATTCAGAATAGGCTTGTAATAAAACTAGGCCAACGGAAATGGACGGACAGATAAAATAATCATTTATCATGTGAACACTCTTCATGTTACGTCGTAATTATTTTCTCGATTTTGTAATCCTGTAAACTCTACTCGTTTACAAATGTATTCAGATATAGAGCCTTGAAATACTTCATTCATATGATAATGTCTTGGAATACCGAATGTTTCGAGGCTTGCAACCGAGGGAATAAAACTACAGTATGTCGAAGGGAGAAATGCATTGAGATGTACTAGAAAGAAAGTGATTAATTTGGTTTTACCTCAAAATCTGATGAGACAGTTAAATACAATTGTCCATGGCGACGTATATTTGAGATGATTTGTGTTGCCTTTATAATGTTGCAGCCTGGCGTGCCTTTTGTGATGGTGTATTTGAATTAATAAATGTCAAGCCTAGGTTTGGACTTATTGGAATAATTTGTAGAACGTGTCGTCGTTGCCTGGACTCAAGAGAACGTGACACCAAACACTCGTAAATAATTAAAGCAGGGAGTACATCACATTGTAACATATTGTGCACATATACATGTACAGGAGAAAAGAGTGGATTGATCTGTGGCAGAAATAGTCGTGAAAACAAAACATATATAATGGTGGAGGGGGTGATGGAAGTGACGATGACTTTGGTTGCGATAATAATGGTGATTGTAGTGGTGGTATTGGTGGTGGTTATGATGGTGGTATACCTGACTCACACCGACAACAGACCGACCAAAATATTAAGTTACCCCTATGGCAAACGATTAGTCAGTTTGGAGTCGGTCTGGAGTCGATTTGGCGGTGTGATTAGTTGTTGGTGGTGGTTGTGCAGGCGGCGGAAGTGGAGGAGATGGTGGCGGTGGTGATGGTGGTGGTGGTGGGGGTGATGGTGGTGATGGTGGTGGTGGTCGTGGTGGTGAAGGAGATGGTGGGGGTTGTGGTGGTGGGCGTGGTGGAGGAGATGGTGGTGGTGGTGATGGTGGTGGTTGTGGTGATGGTGGGGGTGATGGTGATGATGGTGATGGTGGTGGTGGTGGTGGGCGTGGTGGAGGAGATGGTGGTGGCGGTGATGGTGGTGGTTGTGGTGGTGGTGGGGGTGATGGTGATGGTGGTGATGGTGGTGGTGGTGGTGGTGGTGGTGGTGGTGGTGGTGGTGAAGGAGATGGTGGTGGTTGTGGTGGTGGGGTGATGGAGGAGATGGTGGTGGTGGTGATGGTGGTGGTGGTGGTGATGGTGGTGAAGGAGATGGTAGTGGTGGTGGTGATGGTGGTGGTGGTGGTGATGGTGGTGGTGGTGAAGGAGATGGTGGTGGTTGTGGTGGTGGGGTGATGGAGGAGATGGTGGTGGTGGTGGTGGTGATGGTGATGGTGGTGAAGGAGATGGTGGTGGTTGTGGTGGTGGCGGTGGTGGAGGAGGTGGTCGTGGTGGTGAAGGCAGTGGTGGCCACGTTAGTAGTAGTGAATTTGTTACCCGGTAATTACATTTTCGACGCCATCTATGTTCATAGTGATGGAAGGTAATGATGTGCATTAAAAAAAATATATAAAGTCGATCCGGAAATTGGAGAAAAAAAATACCATATTTTATAGGCCTACATGTGTTTAGAAAGCACTTCAACAGTGGAAGACAGTGTCTTATAAAAGAAACCTGTGATACCTAAGGGAATTTTAAATACATTAAATGCATTAACCCTATTGGATACTAGTGATCCACAAAATTGATATCACATCTGGATTCACTCTTAAAAATAAACTGCTACCTGATAAAGCTCTAATGATATAGATAATCAAGTAACTGTCTAACCACAAGATCGTTGTGAAACTCAGTTTAATTTATCTAAAGCAGTTCACACTTTTGCACATTATAATCTAATTAACAGTTGGCGAAAACAACAATATATACGAGTACAGTACCGCTGTCTCAATATTAATAAGGAGATACAATAGGCTTGTAAATCATGTGCCTTTATATATAGCTGAATCTTAAAAATTGAATTTTAAAAGATCTAGTAAAGAGTTTTTATCAGGCTACAATACCTTGAATGTTACAGAGGATTGACTTAAACTCAATTTTCATAACACTCCATACATTCATTTGATATCATTCATTAATATTTGAATTGTGTTTTTTCTCCAGTGATTCCAACGATAAACGTAATAATCGCAGTTTTATGCTTAAAATATTCTGTGAGATTTTCATATTTGCAACTCATGGTGTCACGGTGTCACTGTGTCCCGGCACTGTGTACGAGTAGGTATTGACTGAGCGTAAACTATTTCTTCATAATTGTCTACAAATCTTACTTCCCTTTAATCTCCTTGAGGAAGTCGGTTAAGAAAGGCCCCATGACATTAATTATGAAATTATAAATGGCCTAGTACAGTCAGCAGAAAACAAAAAAGTGGGTCTGTATTTTGCACCCCTGGGTGAAAAGTTGAATTACACCCTTCCTAGCTAGGGAATGTCCGATGCGTAATTGTGAAATATTGCCCCCCCCCCCTCCCGCCCCCCCCCCCCCCGTCTAAAATTTACACTTTATAATTGACTAAGACTTGAGGAAACAGGAGTCGGTTTAAACCCTTCAGATACGATTAGGTTTTTGATAATTGTTGCAAAAGACCGCCGATACAGAGCATTCCCGTCCCAAAATGGTGTATTGGGGGGGGGGGGATGCTTAATGGATCGAGGGATCTGGACCTTTATAATAAAAGAATTATCGTCTAGTCAATATGCATGTTTTTTTAGGCCTTTTACTTACAATGTCAAAAGACATTTGCCCTGAGATGGTGCAAAAATTGAGTTATTTTCATCACCGACCGTTTTCTTTTCTTCCTTTTTTTTTAGAACAAAAACAAAGCAATAACACAGCTGTAAAATCAGATGGCTCGGTTATCGTTCAAGTACTCAAGACTTTTGAACATTTCCTTCAATGTCAAAAGTGATGTCTCTATCACTTGTTAACAGACCGAGACAGAATGTTATAACATAGCAAGATATCATCGGTTCCCTTTATAAAGCACTTTACTCGGGACCACAGCAAAGCGTTTGAATGCTGCCGAAAGGTAGTTCTTTAGTTCAATACTCCCAACAACGGGAAGAACAAAATTGAGACAGCCTGGAAATGATTTTGGCTGTAAGCGGACAGATAGATCTAATTTGTAGTAGAGAGTTGTGGGAGACGACTTACTTACAGTAACATTACTAGTTTGAATGTATTACAGATCGTAGGTCATGATGAGAGATGGTGTGTGTAAGGTGACCTAGGAGAGGAGTAGAACAGGGACCTCCTTGTTGAGACATGCAAGAAAAGTACACAGGGTGTTCAGGAGATTGTTGGTTGGATGGAATCTACGTCCGGGCCGGGAGGAAAGATTTGGGGGATGTATGATCTTCATCATCATCCTCATCATCGTCGTCATCGTCACTGCAGTCTTTGTGGCTATCGAAATCTTTAAGTTGTCCACCCTCATCATCTTTGGCACCATCAGCGCCAACTTTATTGCTATCATCATCAGAACCACCAGCACCATTGTAATCATAATCGAGAATAAAGCAGAGGGTTTTTAAGGAAGTGTTTTGGGGTCCCCCCCCCCCCCCAAGATAAATGCTCATTTTATTATCTGATTACGAAACTTAATCTGTGAATAAATCTTTTATTTCCATGCAAGAAATATCTCGATGTTTTTAGAAAACTTGTCAAGAGTAAACGCAAATCAAAGGACTGTACTTTTCGAGGAAGACTAGTTTACAACCGACAACCATTCATAAGATCATTACTACTACCCTCAGGGCCAGGGAGAGAACCAGCAGTACTAGAGTTAGGTGGTGAATGCATATGATTGCTAACTTCACTTATTAAAAGAAGTATCAAGAGGCGATTTATTGCAAGAAAATTGATGAAAGAAACCAGACATTTCACCAAGGCTCCTATATTTTATATAAAGCTCTAACGTATAGTACATTTGCCAGTGAAGTGCATTGCAACACACGACTTGCATAAAATATTAAATTACTTTACAAAGATGAAAATTGTCATCGCATGCAAGAAGGACTACATGCATGCACACTAAAAACACACCATAATTTGACTGAAAAGTCAGATTGTGATTTAAAGAGAGAGGAAGGATGGAAAGGAGGACTACACAAAATAGGGTTCACAGAAACAAATTATTCGCTGATTTTATGAAACCACAGAAAAGAACATTTCAACTCAATATTCCGTAATCTAGGTCCCTTTTTTATTGCATTGTTTTTCGACAAAGATATATATAGACAAAGCATTTATCAATCATATATCAATAATATGAACAAAAAATGAAAAGAACAAAAAATAGTGAATTGAAAACAATAATCATACAATTTGTACTTCTTGTATCCAATACATCACGCTCATTTATATGTACATCTCTTCATATAAATATTCTCCACTAATCTTTCTTTACAAAATCTTATAGGCTATATCACAATCAACCAGAAATCATGATTGATATCATGACTATGAATGGGTGCTATAGCACACAACACTAAGGAGCAACAAAGACAAAGTACGTTTAATCACCTACATATAAAACAAACTCATATAAATATGATTATTCAGATAACTTTGTAAGGAATGTACTTTGTTCCCAGTGTGAGGAAGAACACAAAACATTAAAAGACAACAAGGTGATCATAACATTTCATGAATATATGATTACTTCAGAAGATTTTTCTCAGCTAATTATTCTCTTTCTAGGTATCCATCACAGAATACCAATATAACCCCTTGCATTGAAAAAAGAATTCACCATGGGTAAACTTGTATGAAACGAAAATGACATAACGTGTATCAGTATGATGTCTTCATCATATTGATTTGCTACATGCCCGTTATAAACGTCTACAATAGGGACAAAAATACTTGCAAAAAACTTTCAAATCAAATATCTTTTTCTTATCAATTTTTTAAGAAAAGGCAACCAACATTAATATGTTCCATTTATTAAAAACAAAACAAAATGATATACAAATGAAGAAATATCTATGACTCAAAGAATCATTAAAATTTGGTACATAAAGCTTCATAGGACAAGATAGGTTACAAGTTACTTTAGGCATATTAGTCTTTAACAATTCAGACCCTAATGAAATAGCACCCTGTCTTCCTATGAGTACATGGTGCAAGTCACTTATCACACAGTGGACATACTAAAAAGGTTATATTTTATATTCTTTATCTTCTATACCAGACAAAAAGAATTGAAAGTCTGTGCAAAATGTAGACATGTAATTAATGTGTGCCTCTGCAAGCTTGGAAGTACATTTTTATCATTGAGTTCCTTAATGGCAAGAGTCAGAGTAAGCCCAAAAAACGGTTTGATCCTGCTTCTCTTTTAGATATAGACAAATCCTATGAAAATTTCATGTAGAAACCCGCAAGTGTAAACACCAAAGAGTCAAAATGTGGAACTAAACAATGAATTCATATCATATTTTACCGTTCAGTTGCCTGTCATTCTATGAACACTGTAAAGAAAAGAAAAAATCATCTCTTTAATGACACAAGAAATTGACTGTATGCTAAAGTTGCATTGTGGCATCATGTTGTGGCTCTTAAGAGACAAAAGATGTGCAGCATCGCAGGATTGTATTTTACTAATTTACATTAAATCAAACTAACTTGGAAAATGGCTTGGCGGCTTACCAAAACAATTATCGAACCCCTTTGAAAGTAATTCTTTAAACACATATATCTGTAAAAAGTAAAGCAAGCATAACATTTATGTAATGCATGTACATTAATTGTATGGTTCTCTGAATTAATGCACAAAGCTACAATTTGCAAAATGAACTAGAGCAAGAAAAGCAAGCAGTGATGAATGGATAATTAGAAAACTGTAACAACTGTCTCTCAAATCAACCCAAGGTTTAACCTTAAAGGCAATTAGGATTTGTGTCTTTGCTATTATCAACTTGGAGACACAATGCTCTCAACCAACCTACAGACAAGGGAAGAATAGAATCAATTATTGGTAATTACTCAGGAGTCTACAAAGAAATGACATCAATTACTGCAACTGGCACCATTTCCAATATTGACTTTGTATGTGAACCCTCATTCTACTATCAATCTCAAAGGCAATCTACATCGTGTGTAGACAATAACATCCTATACCCCAAAGGCAGAACCTTCAAATTCTAAACACACTGAGAGAAAAATACTGACATTTTTGTTTCTTTTTTTTCAAACAGAAGAAAGTAAAGAGAGTAAATATTGTTCAATCAATTCTCATAAAATGCTCTTAGAATACATCAATAGCCTGGCAGGCCCTTTTAAATTAAACTATCTTCTCAACTAGAACAATTTGTCAAAAATCTTTTCCAGAACATACCCTACATGTGCTCCCATAGGCCATGCAATCTCACAAGGCCTTTTCAAAGAAATTGAATACAATAGAAACACATATTGTTTTTCCTTCACTTTCATACAAAGCTGTTGAAAATACTCTTCTCAAAGGGTTTCATTAAAGCTTGCATTTTGTCAAACAAATCAGAAGGCAGAAAGTAGCAGTATTTGAAAGGATGACAATGCTGTGTAGATTTAGCCATAAGAAATGCATGGTTTTGTCAACACATAAACATTGTTCATGTAAATGTATTGAATTTCTTTTCAAGAATATTCTATTTAACAAAATGCAACTATCAGTTCTTTCTGTTCAACACAGGGTTTTTTTTCAAAACGAAGGCAAGGTGTAGAAACTGCTCGTGCAGATACATCTGGAAAAATATGGTACCAAGTTACATAACCATAATGTGCTGAACAAATATTGCTTTTCCTCTTTCCGATGGTTAGGGGAAAGAGATGATAGTGAAAATGATAACAGTATCATTCTAAACCAGCTTATTTCATGTTACAAACATCAAAGACCCCAAAGCATGTATTATCTGTTGTGAGCCAGAAGGGCATTAACTCATACACTTAACACCTAACCAGCCTTTTGGCTCTTAATAAACATTCCTATCTAGACTCTTTAATAACGATCATAAACTTTAAAAAAGATGGTTTTTATTATTATCAATTTGGGGGACTTTTTTGGTTTGTTAATTTCAAGTTGATCGAGCTGGTGCTGTGGTAAGCTTGCTCTATAAATGTCACTTCAAATAAATCATACAAGCAACCTTTCCACTATTGGTTTGAGAGAACAAGAAATCTGTTGAGTTTAGGTAATGATTGTGGACGTTGGTCACCTTCAATTCAAGTTTTACAGTTCATCCCTTGACAGGCTTGACAGGAAGCTATGGTCAGTACAACTGTCCATGGTCATCAATGGTCATTATGTCCATCTTCTTGTCATAACAAGTGAGTAAATATTGAAGATTAGCAGCACTTGTTTGCAACAATAACCTTCAGCTACATTCAGCTGGGATGACTGTGGTTAATCATCTTATATTTTGTACTCCAAACTAAATGGGCAAGTGGTCTTTATGCATGAGTTACTTAAGTACACTTTTCAATGAGAAACACTGTTTACAGGAAACAAAAAGTGGGTCTAAATGTGGACCATCAAATACACTGATACAGGTTGAAGCAAAAGAAGCTCTCAAGTTGTATTTTGATATTCTTTTCATTTAATACCTGATAGCAAATTAAGCAATAATATACTTGTAGATAGCCAACTTGGGGGGGGGGGGTGGAGGCAGAGCTATCAGTGGGATTTGCATATTAAGGAACATTGTCTCACCACTAAACACTTTTTGACTGACTCTGCATTGAACTATGGACCTAACCGTTACAAGACCACTAGTGGCTCAACCACTGAGCCATGACCCGTCCATGACCTCTGGTAGATGACCTCTGGTAGATCATCCACATTGTTGTTATATAATACCTGATTAGGTACTAGACATGAGAGGAAGTCAGGACATTTGAGATCTCGATTCACTAGTCATAACAAGTATTTTATTTAGAATACCAGACTGAAATAGGACATCACTGAGGTGACAAGATAAGGAAGAGATTGAGGAGCCTTTTATGAAGAATGGTAGGATGGACTACAAGGTTAAAGGAAGGATCCTCTTAGGATAACCAACAGTGCCATCTTTAAAGCCCCACTGTACTACTTGCAGCTACCTGCTCCCTCTATATAGAAAACAATGCCTAATCGGTGACCGTTACTTGAGAGCCGAGTTAATGAGATAGCCAGTACAGATGGGGTTTAAAGACCAAGACAAAGTCATTGATTTTTAAATGTTTTCTGATGTTCTTTAATATCATAATCAAAATCTAATCGAAGATCTTAAAATATCTTATCTCAGGAAGTTGTCAATCATTTAGAGGCATTATCAAATATAAATTTCTGTTTTCTATTAATTTAAAAGTTGCTGATTGAACATGAACGTATCTCAATGATTGGTGGCAGGAGGTTAAATAGTTACCTTTGAAATAATTGAAATAATGCTTCAAAAATAATAACGGAGCTTTTAACAGCACTATCATAAAAAACTTACTTTTGTAATGTACAATTTAAAGGGGTGTTTGAAATCTTGCGTACCCGACTTATAACCTTCTGTTCTTGTCCTTAGAAGGTCAGATTGTTCATTCTAAATTTGAAAAGGTAATTCCGATGCCTGACTGACCTTAGCTTTAAGTTGTACTGTGAGATTAGATTAGTGGTTAGGAGAAACAATGTAACCTCGCTTTCTGGCAGAAATCATGATTAGATAATCTCTACAGGTCACTCTTTTTAAACAAAACTCAAAGACCTGTCTGGGGCTGTGTTCACACAACAACTCATTTCTAGAAAATCAAGTTCCTGAAAAGAAGAAGTTCTCACAAAATTAGTCTAAAATCATGAAGAAATAATCTTTTTCAAGTCAGTCATAACAGAACTGTAACACATCTCTGAAGCCTGTTTCATATAATTGCTAATTTTTTAAGGAAAAACAAAATCGAGTTTCTAAAATCAATATTCAAGTAACAAAATTAGGTTAGCAAAATTTGACTTCTTGAAGATTAAAAAAAAATAACATCTTGATATTTTTGTTCGGAAATGGAACTGTTTTATCAACATGCAGAAGAAATAGCCATTACAATTCTGGTATGAAATGATCCAGTAATGAACTGCTCCATCTGATTTTCTAGAAGATTTGATAGGTAACTGATGAATCGAAGCAGTAATTATGATTAGGTAAATTAATATGCAAATTTTTGTTTGTGTTTATCTTTCTTCCACTGTATACTTTGCATTGTCTCTGAGTTGCTAGTGGAAAACAAAATACCACGTTTTTGAGGACTATGATTAAATTTTTCAAACAAAAAAGTTCCACAAACCATAAAATCTGTAATGAGAACAAACATCTGGAGAAGTACCAGGATACAAACAAAGCCGTTTAATCAGTAATAGGAAACATCCTTAAATTGGCAAGGGTCTGACGAGAAGCAAGCAGTTCTATCTGACCTTCAATTGGTCTAGTTGCATAAAATCACCTGTTAATTGAAGAAATGGACACATAATTTCATAGAATTAAAGGGAAACACCAAGCCCAAGTATAATTTGATGTAATAACTTCACTGAACAATCAGGGGGACACATCAAGTAATTCTGAGAGGTATCAATAACTCATTAAACTGCAAATGACTCATTTTTTAAAGATGAGAATTAAAGGTAAAGACCAGTTATGGTCATGCGATTGCATTGTGAAAGAAACGTTGTGGAATCGATCAGAAAAGGTTGATCATCTAGCATCTCGCATCTGCAAGGTTCTGGAATCATCAAAATGATAAGAAATTTGGCCCATTCTTCGTAAAGTTACAAGCACTATACACAGAAAGATGTATATGGGACTACCCTATATCTCTCACAGACCATGAGAGAAACAAATTTACCAAATATATGAATTAGTAGGCGGTTTCCCGGCAAATTTTTTATCATCATGTATTAGTCAAAACATATTCTTTCACATGATTGGTAATGAGAGCTTCCATTTCATTTTTTGAAATTGGGGCGTTTCCAAAACTGGTCTTTACCTTTAATGCTTAAAGGAGAGCAACTTGGTTATGAGCCTGTGGGGCCATGCCCTTACTATCTCATCATCCATTCCCAACCTCCCGATATTGATTTCCTAATGACTTTTCCAAGTTTATTGACAGTTATTGCATTCAGGTATTTTATGAAATGTAGGTTCCATTCATAAACATTCTTCATTTTTCATTTTCTTTGGACATCTTAGAAACCACATAAGCCTTCATATATAAAGCAACCAACAAAAATCAACTTCTCTCATAATTCTTCTGGCAAGTAATTTATTATCTTCATGAAAACCCTGATTTTCATTTTGAACGAACAGTTTAGTGCATCCAGACAGTCCAATGACAATCAAGGGTACCTGGTTTATACTTCCAACACAATTCATCAAAACTGTTTGCTTATGATGTAAGAAAGTGTACTTCATGACATGTCAAGCAAATCCTTATTAAAAGGATATTGACATTAATCTAACCTGAAGCTAATAAGGAAATAATAAAATGCAGCTTTTCTCAGATGTCCCTCTTAAACTTGTTGATTGATGCACTTCAGAGATACCTGTTGGTTTTACTCAATCTGCCTCAGAGAGAGAGCTATAAATGTTGGAGGCTTGAAGCCCATATCTCAAACAATGTAGAGTCTGAAAATAAAAAAGCCTGTAGACTAGCATTCCTGTTACATGATAGATTGATGGAAACAGAAGGAAATTTTCTAAGAGTTACATAATTTTTAAGAACCTCCTCTTACGGGATAATGCAGGGAGTTGTTGGCTTGCTAGTGAGTGCTAGAGATTAGTTTATGACATGAACCAATAACAGACTTATGACAAGAAAAGTAACTAAAATGCTTGTCTTTTCTGTGAAATTCCAGTAACCATCCATAAAAGTAAATTGCCGTAAGCCATACAATGTATGTATGTCATATGTGAGTTGGAGGTGCTCAAAGAAATTGTTCTATATATTTGACACATGTGATATCTTTTAGCCAACCATACACTGATTAGATGCTGCTTGTAAGTGTCGGCTTGCAAGGTGATGTAGATATACATGTACAGTAGGCTTGCGGGTGCACCATGTGAGAGAGAGAGAGGGTTGAGTAGTCCTGGAAAGAACTCTGACTCGGTAATCCTCTCTCTCTCTCTCACATGGTGCACCCGCAAGCCTACTGTATACATACACTGATTGTATAACAAGATATAATCATATGCAATATACACCCTGTTATCACTAAATGGACTGATTTTGTTTTAGCCCCGTCATACAATTTTGATCATTTCATATGAAAAAAAGGACACATTTTCCATTATTATTATGTTTCAGGGTTTATTGTTAACATTACACTATCATTTTTTAAAGATTATTAGTATTGCTAAAGATGTAAATTGTAAACACCATCTTTGTTAGGTTTTTCCAAGGACTTCGTTATATGGAACTATTTACATTACACAAACTTTTTCTTCTTCTTCATAAATATGAATTTCAAAGTTGAATACAGAGCAAATGGCTATAAGTGTGCAAGATCTCCCTTGTTTGGTTGATGCTTCAGTGATCATGGAATATATCTATGTGTAAGGAACAATCAGATAGCACTGATGAATCATGCTAGAAAACAGAATACAAAATATCAGACATGGCATCATCCACATATGTTCACCTGTCCCTCAAACTGGTCTGAAAAACAAACCCAGTGTTTTCAAACATTAGCACATATAGTACCAAGGTTCTTTTTGGTGATTCCCCCGCCCTCTCAATCTAGCTTGGTAGTTCTAGTCCTTTTAATATATCTCTGACCTTGTCTCTTCATATTGAAATGTGCAAGGCTCTGAATCTGATTTGGACAGTATTCATACAGAGGACTCTCTTGTATTAATCTAATGTATGAGATGCTACCCTCTCTTTCATCTGAGCCTGGTGTATGAAGTGCTTGAGGTATCAGCAGTTTGTCTCTGAGTAGCTAGTGGCGTTCCATCGTCTCATCTGGACGTATGAAGTGTGTGAGGTATTTCAGTACTGACCATGGTGTATGAAGTGCTTGGAGAGATCTTAGAATGTCTCGCAAGTATCTAGGTGTCCTATTGTCTGATCCTAAGTGTAGTTTATTAAGTGCCTTGAGGATAGTTCTCAGTAACTGTCTATGATTCTGGTCTATAACATGCTTCAAGTGATCTTAGAAAGTAGCTAGTGGTGTCTTATCGTCCATCAACCCAGGTGTATGAAGTGCTTGGAGAGATCTTAGAATGTCTCGCAATTATCTAGGTGTTACATTGTCTGATCCTTCAAGTGATCTTAGGTCTCTGAGGAGATAGTGATGCTCTCCCATCTGATCACGGTGTTCAAAGCGGCCAATCTAAACAAGAGCTCACTGATCATCAAGGTGATCTTAGAATGTCTCTGAGTGGCTAGTTGGTCCTATCATCCAGTCCTCATGCATGAATTGCTTAGAATCTACTCAGTATGTCTCTGAATAGCTTGTGGTGTCCTTGGAGAGCATGTCCTTCAGAGCTGGGACACAGTTACTTGGAATGAGAAGACCTGCATACAGAGATAAAGAGATGGGAAAGTAGGAGAGGAAGATCAAAAGAGGAGAAAATTAGAAGGGCAGAAATGAGAAAGAGAAAGATACAAATGAATGGGGTTTAGAAAGGTGCAGAAAAGGGAAGAAATGGGATACAAATGCAATTAAAAACATGCTATATTTCATGATGAATATTTGCCTCTCATCGTTCTTTCAGTTTATGCATCAGATATCTTGTCAAGTTTCATCACATTCAGCAGCGCTTGCGAGATCTGCCTTGCCAAGGCTTTGACATGAACATGGTGTTTCACAGTTAAAGAAACCTGATCTATTAGTTACGCTGGCAATATCTGTTCAAAAGAGGCTGTACGGCAATTACATCAAATTAATTCCACTCCTGATATTTCCTGCTCCTAATTGAAGTACACATTTCTGGGGCCCTGACTACATGTGGTTAATTTCCTTATCTCGGCACAGATATTTGATTGGAAGTATTATCATGGGGGGAAAATCATGTCTAAAACCATATGGAGTAAATGAAATGTCAGATAACAGCATGCAAACAGAATGTTGATTCGTTTCCATTTAACATGTATTTAGTTCTTATTTATAATCTTTGCTATTTTTCTGACATTTTCTGCCATTTTCTCTCTTATTTATTTCACTATTTTATCTTATTTCTGATCTGTCTATATGTCTGACGGTATTTGCATCTGTCTGTGTATCTCTATCTCTCTCTCTTTCTCGGCCTACACATGTACTGTACATGTACCTACATTTAGTTTTCTCCTTACACCAATCTCTTAAATGTTTTCTCTCTCTTTCTCTCTCTCTCTCCACTACTCTCCTCTAATCTATCTCTAAAAGTCTCTGTTATACCCTGGTTATACTCTCTGAAATTCTGAAAAATACAACTGATAAAACAGAATAAGAGAATTAACACGAGGCTGATAAAATACAGCGCCAAGTAATCTCAAAAATTCATTAAGGTGCTCGAAATCAGGACACGAAAGTGAAAAGTATTAAAACTAATTCCCACAAGTCATATCAATACATAACAGATTATAACTCCAAGGCTTAAGAGCAAAATATAGTTTTAAAAGTACTCTCAAAGGTCATCAGACATACCCCTTGGATGGACACCATTTTAAAGGACTACATACATCATCCACTTTAACTCCCTCTCCATCTCAACATGGCACTAACACTCAATACACGTCGCAACAAAAGCAACCGTACACAATAGATTAATATTTAAAATGTAAAATATCTTCAAATATCACTTTAGTACTATCAAAATTTCAAATGAGAGTGCAGTGCAGAGCACAGGATAGCTGTGAAGGAGGAAGAAGTTTAACAGACCTTTTGATTAGTTGGAACCTGGTACTTAATTTGACACTTTAAAACAATACTGTTTGTCTTGAATGAAGACTAACCCAAGTTTTTCCAAGATGTGTCAATTGTGTTGCTGCTAAACTACAGGGCCTAACCCTATGGACTGCGGTCTCTATAGTCTCCTAGTTCAGCATTATGACTGAAATGAGTTTAATTTGTGCCTGCAAACTAAAGGAAAGGGAGGTAAGAGAGGAGAAGGGGGGCTAAATTAGGCCAACCAGCACCCTTGGGGGTAACGCTATGTTGACAGACTTTATTACTAGTGATCTGACAAGGCTTTTGACTTTCGGCGAGGTAACACTCGACCTTATAACACTCAACACTAAGACTCTCAAAAAAGTACACATGAGATGGTGAACCAGTCGAGCTCAACATAAAATCAAGATCATCATCATGGTTCACAGCAGTTACATGTATACGATGCTATAATTCTTTTGATAAGATTAAAATATGCAAATAATATACCAAGATGAAGACATGAGATCATATGATATCCGGAAAGGTCTGGTGCTTTCATTGACCGAAAAGAATTAAATTACAACCATCAAAACTGTGCCAGCATTACATGGGTGATGGCTATCTTTCATTCAACACTCTAGACATATATGTGAAGTAGAATTTCAACACTTGTGTGGTAGCTAAAATTTCAATAATCATGATATGATATCATTTTCTGTAACGGGTATGAATTGCCACATGTACATGTAACCCTTCAAATGAATGACTCTACCACTGACTAGACAACTCATGTCACATGACTTAGTCACATGATGTCGGTGAGCAAGATGAATGCACTTTTTAAAACTCTTATTACTCTCAAACGACCTTTCAATTGTATTTTTGTTTTCAAGGTTGTTCACAAGTAGAGTTTTTGGCACTTTGAGAAAGAAGATTGGATAATTATGTGATGTCATCATGAAAACCCTGTTTTTCTTAGAAATATTCTCCTTCCAGATGTCTAGTCTACAAAAACACACTACAGGATTTGTTACACCTTGCCTCGTTCGCACCAAAGTGTTATATTTCTTGTGATTCCTTGACAAGGAACCTATCATAAATATACCCATCAGGCAAGGTGAATCAAACATCATTTTAAAGTATCCAAGCTACAATATTGCACTGTGGTCGTGCAGTACAATATTCTTTATTAAAAACAACATCTACATGTATATAGTATACTGTATGTTCAAGATTCCTAATGTTTTGAAGATTGTTAATATGGCTTTGATTTGGAACTATTATCTGTGCACAATGTATCTCAAGGCAAGCCCATTTAGGGATACTACATCTGTGTCGAGAGAGACAATGGTACAAACATACCTTTGAATGATCAAAATAACAATCAATGAATTCAAACTCAATAGCTCTCCACAAAAACAATCACCAAGCTACTGGTTTTAAGGAGATGCTCTATGCTCATTGGTTATGCATTAAAGTGAATGAACTGTAGACCAGAGGAAACAGGTAGAAGGGGGAAATAATTTTAAAGAGTCTCTCGAACACCCTGAACAACTGAAATGTATAGGATCCTAACCTTTATCAATTATCTGAAGACACATCTCTTCACCACTTCATAAATAATCAGAATAATGAACCCAGCGCATTGTTTTTCTTTTTCTTGAAGTGCATAGAGACATGCAATATTCCTATGTATTAAGGTTTGCGCTATACAAAAATATTTAATTATTATTATTATTATTATTATAATCAGATGTACTGTAGCACCAGCAAGCATAGGGAAAAGATTTAAAACTTGAAACATGCTCATTGAAAACAGCATAGATGTACAATATATTGTGATGCTTCAATATTATAGACTTGAGGAAACAGAGAAAATGCGAAGATAGTAGTCTAACAGCTTCAAGAACGTCCCTGACATACATGTAGATCTATCAATTTCAGGATGAGAGATAAGTGAGAAACAAGAAGATACCAGTATCAAGATGATTTAGATACAGAATGAGATCGTCTAAGGAGGGACGTGATTGTCACATACAGGATGGTATAAAAAGCAAGGAAACGGCCGAGTTTAATGTTTCATCACATACTTATTCTGTGACTTATCTGGCTTAACTAGGGTCGATCATATGGAAATGAGTGCTCAACATGTTCTAATTGATACTAATATCAACAGCTGTGATCTGTTAGGATTGGATAGGATTCAGACATTTATTACCTCCCTCGACACTCAGCGTGTCCACACACTAAACAATTTATCCCGAAACTCTATAACGAAACGTCGTATAAAGAATCATAGTATAAATTTCAAAGTGTCCACACACAAGAAACTTCATATAAATAATCATCGTATAAATTCAAGGATGTCCATAAACAGAAGAAAGTAATCCTGAAACTCTACAGTCTGGTCTCCTTTCGCTCGAGATCACGTTAAGCCCCGCCCAGTTAGTTACACTAGTTACACTCCCCCTGTCCACACACAACATTTTCGTGATTAGGCGTGATCTTTATGATCTTTATTGAGTTTCAGTTCGAAACGATGCCCAAACCTGCGTTTCGTTAGACTAGTTTCGTTATACGACGTATCGTTAGTGAGCGTCCACACACACAATTTCATCGTAAAACTATCGCGAAACGGTATCACTATCGCGAAACGGTATAGCTAATCACGGAAAATGTTGTGTGTGGACAGGGGGTCTATAAGGGGTGAAGTGCCCAATGACTATCACATTCTTCTGATTTAATCAATTTTACATACATGTATCTCCATTAAAAAAAAAGGATTCAAAAAGTTTCAATGACTCACTTTTTCCTCCTCAAATAATTTGTAACCAATCTTATATAGTCTGTATATTCTCTCTTCCTTACATGTTTGTATAAAATATGGACATAAAAAAATATAACAAAAAAGTGCTGTATGACTGAACCTTCAAAATGCAACAACATTTTGCCACTTTGTTCATGAAAGAAGTAGTCAAAAACACGATTCTTAATGCTTATTTTCATTTCAAATGAGCTTAATCATGAATTGCATGGCATTGTGGTAAAAATAAAATAATATTTCAAGAATTATTTTTGGTTTTCCTGTTCCTGTATTATGTAAAGTTCATAGCATTCTAGACCGGAAGATAAAGACAAACATCAAACTGATGACACTGTATCTACCGGTATACAAGTCAAAGAATGACCCCCATGTACATGGGCCATGCCCCCCTCCCTGACCCCAAAAAATTAATTACATAAATAACTCACTAAAAATGTGTACCCATCAAGATATCTTGATTTATATTTACCCAGTTCATGTCTCTCAGATAACATGAGATAGAAACCATATCCATGAAGAAAAAAATAGATGGAACTTCGCAGTAAAAAATGATGCCTTCGCCATAGAGCGATTTCACAAACCAAAACAGGAGCAATTTTTCAAATTCAAGTTTAATTGTGATCCATTAACAGGTTCTCAGAATATTGTGATTACATGCTATTTTTCATATACATGTATGATCCTTTTATCTTTGACCTCATGACCCTAAAATCTAATAAGTTCATTGGCTTTGCAAGATACATACATGACCTAAGTTTGGCAGGAATCCATCAATCGGTTCTTGAGATAACGCGGTCACGAGAACAGAACGTACATGTACGGACGGACGGACGGACAACCCCAAAACATAATGTCTCCGGGTATTTTGTAACGGAGGCTTAAAAAACTTTTAAAATTCAGCCTACTACAAAATAAAAAGTATCAATCAAGGTCCATAAATCTTGGGATGACTAATAAGACTGATATATTTTGGGGTAAGTGAACCTCTTTTGCATATTTTGATGCGCCAGAGCTTGCACTTTCAAGAATAAGACCTTAACGACTGTCTCACCTCCTCATTCAATCTTAGGGTTTCTCTTAAATGTTTATGGCACCAGGATATATTTGGATGCATCCAATAGCTCCTGACTGACATTACCACAATAGGACCCCTGGTAGCTAGACCCCTGGAAGCACTAGTCTACATCAAAGACTCAACAGGATATTCACAATGATGTTCATTCTAACAATAATAATAATAATAATAATATTCTGCTCAATACATCGATCCAACGATGTGCCTAAGCGCTTTACAGATATATTACAGATATGATACTGCTAATGTAACTAGTAGATTGTACTCTAAGATACTGATATATTAAATGAATGCTAAGAATACAAATGCAAGAATACAATTACATACAGTTGTTGTGGTACAGTAATTCACTTGCAGCTCTGTCTTAAGGGTGAAGGTTCGAATCCGGACCAATCACCACTGTCCTTTGTTGAGGTATTTATCAACATTTGCCACTCTTCATCCAGGTGTAAATGGATAACTGATATGCTAGGAGAACTACATATATGCTATTTGAAGTTTCTTATACTTAAGTTGTAGTTATGACAGATATATGGGAGCTACAATTATTATCTGGTGATGTACAGTATGTATGTCTTTTAGACCTACATGTTTCTGAAATATTGTGTATCTGATGACTACAAGGTTGTTACTAATGGGATATTACACTCCTACCCAAATCAATCCATGAAGTATTTGATATAGCACCTTTCCCTTGCAGTTACAAAGTGCTTCATAAGTGATCCACGATTTGCTCCACAAATATATTATACACCCACAATTTTCACAATTTGTTCTGAACGAAATGTTAAAGCAAAATGAGGATGAATGTTGGCTGGAGTTAAGGCTATGAACTCCATAGAATAAGCAATACCCAGGGGTATTCTCCAATTGTGAATTTCCTGAAGAGTTTCTTAGTCACTTTCCAGCAAAGGCTTCAACTCATCTTTAACCGCTTGCTCTCTCTCTCTCTCTGTCTCTCTCTCTCTCTCACTCTATTTCCTTTTTTCTTTCTTTCTTTCTTTCTTTCTTTCTTTCTTTCTTTCTTTGTCTTTCTTTCTCTCTCTCTTTCTTTCTCTCTTTATCTCTCTTTCTCTCATCTCCTTTAATTTCACTCAATCTTAGTTTTTCACCCTCAGTCTTCTCCATCTTCTCTCCAACTCTCCATCCCTCTTCCCACTCTCTCTCTCTCTCTCTCTCTCTCTCTCTCTCTCTCTCTCTTTCTCTCTCTGTTTCTCTCTCTCTCTCTCCCTCTCTGTCTCTCTTTCCATTTTAATCCTACTTTTCATTAAGCAAGCATGACAATGTATTCATGTATGCCTACAGACGGCCAAGGGAATTCAGTCAAAGCTCCGAACAGGATGCATGAATGATCAACCCAATTTCGTGTTGGGGTATTGCAGTGCTTGCCCAACAAATTAAGGCCACATGGAAATAAAACATTAATCATCATTACAATGATGGTCGATTCTCTATGTCACTCTTCAAATGTGTCACACCCATTTCTCTTTGCCAAACAAAAGAGACAGGATGTGGAAAGGTTCACGCCAAATTTCTTCAAGCGATTCTTTCATAAATTTCACAAATGTCCTGTACAAATAGCCTTTAGTCAAACAGAAAATGCATTGTCTTGAAGTTGAAATGTGAAAAATAGAAGAGATATTTCTCATTAACTTACATAGTTTGCGAGGCAAATTTCAAGAGAAAATGACCATTACATTCATAATGATCCTAAAGCTGAACATTTAAAAAAATATTATTTCTAATTTTACTAAAATGCATCTCAATATACTCTAGTCTGATATAAAGCTCAGTTTACAGCAGATTCACACACAGCATGCCCCCTCCCCTCAATTGAATAATTCCTATAATATAAACCCTTGATATAAGAGAGTAAGGGTCGAAAAAGGTTTTAGTTTTCATAACAACAGCATGCAGCATTCAGCTCAAGGGCGGACAAAAACTTCATGGTAGGTTGGTTGGGGATAGTCAAAAGCACATATCCTCCAGACAAAAAAAAAGAACAGATAAATACATTAATCCCTGATCACAATAAAATTACCTCTCAACTATCCCAATGGAAAACTGAACACGCTATAAATACAATCTGAATTAGTTTCATAAAGGAAGTGTTTTTGCAAGGCCTTGCCTCGAAAACAAGCAATATTGATAAGGGTAAAGAATTACAAGGAACAGTAAAAAGGGCAACCAATGATAACCCAGACATGTGAAGGAAATGGAAAGAAAACTTTTACTAGGTGCAGTGACACACAGACTTGTAGACGGACAAAATGGGTTGGTTTACATAAATAACAACTATCTTCATATTCTGCTTAGCTTTCCCACCAGGTCCAAACTTATTATAAAATTCATGAAAATCTGACATGTAAATAAACAAGAAAAGCGATAAGTGCACTATTAACGTCCGACTACTTTTCCTCCAAAAGCAGGGAACTATTCTAATCATTACATCAGGGGTTTACTAATAGGAAACTGCGAAAAACACAGGGATAAAAATACTTTAAAATTTGGGGGATACTTTTTAAGCTTGCTTGCATAAAAATAACACATTTAAATTGTTTTGCATTGAACTCTTTGCAAATTTAGGGGGGCTCTTTTATGTTTTTTTAGGGGCTCTTTTGGGCAATTTGGGGGCTAATTCGCTCCGAGCCCCCGTGTATTTTTTTCACAGGAAAAACACAAGGTGGTGGTCTCTTTGGCATATTATGCAAGTTCAGGATAATAACCAAGTTTGCTGTCATTCGATTTGGATGCGATGATGTCTACCCCTACCTAAGGTCTGAATAATTAGATTAAGAAAGAAAGAAAGTAAAGAAAATGAATAACACTTACCGACAAGTTTTCCTCTGTCCGTCTTGAGTCTAATGATCTGCATGATAGAACCACTTCTAGGATTGAGTCGTAGGACTTCCTCCACTCTCGCCCATACACTCAATACAGCACCAGATAAAACAAAGAAGGTCCTACGTCTCAGACCAATCTCACAAGGCAGACCAAGCATGTGCGACTTGCAGGTTCCTTTCCTAGTAAGGTCAAGGAAGACAATTAGACATTGTTAACAATTCATTCAGGGGCAAGTATTACATTGCACAACTAGCAAAATGGCACAGATGACTATTGTGGTCAGATTATCAAGATTTCTGGTTTTGTGATGAAAGGATGAAAACAGAGTCAACAAAGTTCCAGAGAGTACTTAGAAAGTACACCATCTTTGACTGATCTTAGACTCGCAGGGTACACCTAGCATGCTTCTGTCTTTCCTGGTGGGATAGAAAAAAAGGCCATTGGACATTAAGAAAATTAATTGTGGTAACAGTGATAATACTGAAAGTGTTTTAATGTGGATGGATTGTATAGGAATATATTCAATAGTGTACATTTAAAAACGATGCTAAACAATAACACTCTGGCAAACCTATGATGATATCAAACGGCTATACATATGCATCAGAATGGGTTAAATCTTAAAATATCAACCAACAAAAAACAAAAAAATAAAAAAATAAAATACAGACAACAAATTCTGAAGAACGGAACCAAAGTTCATAACCCAAATCAAACCTTTAACATGAGTTTTTTATTTAGTCCTTTGGTTTTTGAAATGTCCCTGGGAAAAAAAGTATAACGAAATAAATACACACAAAAAAAAACTAGATTCATATGGATCCACAGTCAACCATATCTACTTTTTTCTATGCATTGTTATGAGCGATGAAAAACTTAAGAGTGAAACTTTTTTTATAAAAAAAAAGCTGAAGAAGGGTCTGTGTGTCTCAAGAGATTTAAGTCTAATTATTTGCACATTTATGGATGCTTAAAATACAATGGGTGGGCTTTACACTTCTGCCGTTTCCAATTATAAAGAATACATACAGGAAGTCAGGGTGTCGTCTATAATCATCATCATCACATGAGAATCATAACGCAAAGATGGAAAATTACAAGAAAAGTCATCACTTGGTTAAGATTTGTCTGGACCATGCATGCCAGATGAATCGAATCTCTCTCTCTCTCTTGAGGTAAAGAAGCCTTTCCTCCGATGAGATAGCGAGCGGAAAGATGCAGGAACAAATACAGGAGACAGACAGTCCAAGGGAAACAATGCAAGTCATCTGTTGCTTTCATTATCTCTTTCATGAGGTCTTTCATGACTCCTGCTCTTTGTCTGAACTTCTCCTAGAAGACAAATTCGGCCTTCCTCCATGCAAGGCTCAAACTCAAGGCTACATGCACTGCACCATCTCAAGACTGGATGACTCATATCACCAAGACAACGGAATCAGATTGAGCAGGGAAGATCTATAAATGTGATTTAGGAGAAGTATGGTGTCTCCAGCGAACCTTTTGCTTGTTGACTGAGGGGTGGAAATAATAGGTGCATCCACATAAGAGCTAGTTTCAAGAACAGTTGCAAGCAGAAGTTTGGCAAACAGACATTTTCAGTGGATTTCCTACATTTGTTTTCAAACCATCTAAGAATAATCTCAAGAAAGTTACAAATATGTGTTTTGATTAATCACAACTTCAAAACTTCATAACTTTCTTATCTTTATTTGATTTTTATCATTTTTTTTAATAAATCTGTTTTATCTTTATGTAGTTGTTAAAGCCAACTTGATGCTAGAGTGGACTTCCCCTTTAATTATCATTAATGAGAGATTTAAAAAATTCAAAAATTCTCTGTGGTCTTACTTCTAGAAGATCCAAAAGCTGAAGTTAGGATGCAGCTACAGAATTACTTATTGGAGGTTCCTTTGAGGTCTCTGTGTTTGGTTAACCAATAATGCAGAGTACCAAGGGAATTGTGGGTAAATGTCTGGGAGGTTGTGGAGAATTAGCAAGACAGGAAAGGAAACATGAACATTCATGACGGAGATGAAGATGAAAGAGAGGCACGCCAGATCAATTTGCAGAGAGTAAAAGACAGAGAGAGGGGGAAGACGAGAGGAGAGGGAGAGAGACGATGATAGAGAGAGAGAGAGAGAGAGACAGACAGAAATAGATAGAGAGAGACAGAGACAGAGAGAGACAGAGACAGAAACAGAGACAGAGGGAGAGAGAGAGAGAAAGACAGAGAGAGACACACACATACATGTAGAGAGACAGAGAGAGACACACACAGAGAGAAAAACAGAGACAGAGACAGAGAATGAGAGAGAGAGAGAGAGAGAGAGAGAGAGAGCAAGAGACCGGCCGAGAGAGATTAGTATGAGAGCAAGGATGCTGACAGGAAGTGAAGAACACAACACAAGCTAGCGGGAGGATGGAATGAAGAGGAAGGAAATGGTCTGAAGATAACGAACGGTTGATAAGAATGGGAAGGTATCAACAAGGTAATGATAGATAAATGGCAAGGACACTTGAAGTTGGTGTAAAGGTGTTATATTCTATGAAATATGAGAAAACTTCATTGTAACAAATACATGTACAGGTACATGAATAAAGGTCAAGATGTTTATTTGCTTTAATTAAAGTCTATACAACTTAAATGCCTGATGACAAAGACAAAGTTCTGTTTCATGATTTCTAAATTGTGCTAAAGAAATTTTGTTTCAACTTCAACTTCAAAATCCCACATAATTTTAAGAATATTTGGCTAACATTCTCGGGTGTCCTGTTTAAGTTCCAACAGATTCACTGATTCATTCAGGCTTTCTGAGAATTCATGTACACTTGCTCTCGTCATCAAGGACACTTCCAAAGTGCAAATCAAGTTCTAAGGCCACAGAACTTAATCAGTGGGACCAATGACTAGGGGTCGAAGATATACATCAGTAGGTAGGTGGATACAGTCGACATGTGAGCTGACAGACATATCAGTCAGGATTGGAACTAGCTTATCACTAACACAATACAGAGTTACAGGGACTACAAGTAGTGACCTGCTACTTCCTCTCTGATCCAATACTAGGCTCATTCACACACAAAACCGTAAAAATAAGCAAGATTCAGACATTGATGTTTTAATGGCAGTCAAAATTTTGCTTTTTTTTTTTTCCTGAATGAACCAATATTTAATTTTTGCTGATTAGTAACATTCTGATCATGATCACACTCACAAAAATCAAATTGCATAAATGGCAGCAGGTATTTGGTGTGTGAGGGGGAGGGAGGGTGTGAATGAAATGAGACAAGATAGCTAATGTATCCTTTTCCACAATGGAAAATATGATTAAGAGCAGTATTGGTTTGATCATCTGTATACTGTGAATACAGAGGCACATGTACATGTACCTTCTCCAGACAAGATGGAACTGAATGAACTACAATCTCCATTTTGCAACGAAACATTAATCTTAATTCAAATCTCACTTCGTTTGTGTGTGAATGACCCAACAAGGTGTGACTCACCCAACAGAGAGCTGGGAGAGGGAAGAGGAAAGACAGAGGGAGACAGACAGACAGGATGAGGGAGGGGATTAGAGTATACGTCTTGGGTAGAGGAGATGACTAGCATGAAATAGAAACGATGAAGGGGAAATGATCCAACTATATAGTACAATAATAAAACACAAATCGATAATAAGAGAAAGAGAGAGAGAGGTGGGAGAGAAAGGGAGAGAGAAAGAAAAAAGGCAAACAAAAAAATGGATAGGGGAGAGTGAGGAAGAGAAAAATAATGAAACAGCAACAGGGAGAAAAGAGAAGGAGAGAGAGAGAGAGAGAGAGAGAGAGAGAGAGAAACGTTATAGGGCTGTAATGCAACAGAGTACTTTACCCCCAACCCACCCAAAACAAGCCATAGAGGTCTTGTGGTCAAGTGGAAAACTCAAGGACTGTAAACCAAAGGTACGAGTTCAAACCCTTGCCATAGCACTAACATCCTTTGGCAAGACATTAATCTACCTTTGCCATACTCAACCTAGGTAAGGATACCTGGCAAGAATTAATTCCTTAAAATGGCAGCCATGCTGAAGGCGGAGTAATCATTTTGGAGAGTGTCAAGTCTGACAAACATGAGCACTATGCAAGAACTCAGTATTATTATAATCATTATTACTTCAATTATTATTATTATAAGAAAACATATACACATACCGCACACAAGTAATATCAGATTCATATGCTTCAAGCAAAGGGAAGATAGTATGTGAAAGAAGGTTCAACAACAACAAAAAGGCATGGAATTTTCTAATGAGCAAAACAAGACATTGAAAATACATCGCAAAGAAGTGGTTAACAAGAATTATCTACATCAGGAAAGTGATAGATACATGTACCTAAAGAATGTAATGATCATTTCAAACCTTGAAAGAGAAAAAACACAGCCGAGGAGTAACAAAATATGTGTGTGTGTCTTATGGTTTCCTATCTTGTGCACCGCTAGCTATGACTCACTCAGCATGCAGTGAATGATCAGCCTTACTACATGGTAGGGGTAGGCAGAGATGGAGGTAGATAGTAAGTCAGGTGCTTTATAACAAGTGTATTAGAAAATGATACTGAAGACAAACAGAAAGTCCAATGGACCCCCCCCCCCCTCTCCCCAAATAAAGAGGTAAGGAGAAAGACAGACAGTGAATGAATAGCCTTGTTGAACATGACAGGGGTAGGCAGAGATGTAGATAGTGATATTAAGCTAAGGGTATAACAAGAGTATTAGAAAATGAATACTGAAGACAAACAGAAAGGCCGATTGAAAAAGAAAAGATATATAGATAAGGAGAAAGTCAGACAGTGAATGGATAGCCTTGTGACATGGTAGGGGAAGGCAGACATGGAGCTGGATAGTAAGTCAGGTGGTTTATAACAAGATTTAGAAAATGAATATTGAAGACAAACAGAAAGGTCAATGGAGCAAATAAGAGAAAGAGGTTAAGAAAAAGACAGACAGTGAATGAATAGCCTTGTTACATGACAGGGGTAGGCAGAGATAGTGATAGTGATAGTAAGCTAGGGGGTATAACAGTAGTAAGGACATGAAAAGTGAAGATAAACAGAGAGGCCAATGGAGAAAACAGAGATAGAGGTAAAGAGAGAGACAGACATGGAATAGATAGCCTTGTTACATGGCAGGGATAGGATGAGATAGAGATAGTGATAGTAAGCTAGGGGGGGGGTGTATAACGAGAGTAAGGAAATGAATACTGAAGACAAACAGAAGGACTGTGGATAAGAAAAGAGATATAATAGGTAAGGAGAAAGATAGACAGTGAATGGATAGCCTTGCTACATGGCAGGGCAGGAAGAGATAGAGATAGTGATAGTAAACCATGTGATACAAAACAGGAGTAAGGAATAGATGACAAATAGACAGAGAAAGAGGAAGATAGAGAAGGAAGATCAAGAAAATGAACAACAAAGAATAGGGAAAATAGACAAAGAGAAAGGCATAAAGACTGGTCAAAGAGAGACATTTAAAAAGAAATATGAAATTAATTGAGCTATCCACACTTGTTTTCAATAGCAATGAACTGAACAAAATAAAAAATGTACACAGCAACACCCCCCTCGTCAGATGTCATGTATCATAAGATCTCTATGAAGATAAACATGTATCCACACACATTGCTTTATATCAAAGGCCTACATGGGAGTTATGTTGGAGATGTCGTGGTTGAGTGGATACGTCGCTGGACTATTGATCACAAGGTACACGGTTCGAGCCGCACCGCGGCACTAATGTCCTTTGGCGAGACATTGATCTACATTTGCCACACTTCACTCGGGTGCAGTAAATGAGGACCTGGTGAAATTTATTCCTTGAAACGCAGCGCACGTAACAGGTGCACTGCTAAAGCCAGTGCGATTATGATTAAGTAAGTGTTAGGCGCAATATAAGCAATTATAATTATTATTCACTGCAATACAGGCCAAATCTTATGCAAACATTGTCAAGACCACTCACAAGTCAAGTTTATGTGTAAATCTGGATTTACATTTGCAGTATGGCTTCACACAAGTAATATCTTGAAGCTGATATTTTATCACAGCACAATTTAGTTGTTGCTGATTGATTCTCTATACGCAATTTATAAATAAGTGTAAACATCACTAAACTCACCAGAAGATATGAGCACACTTGTTCTCAGAGGCCTTATAGAGAGCTTCCCAGAATGGTTTAGCTTCATCCGGTAGGACCTTCCTGAACCTTATCTTGAGTTCACTGACCGTCTCTAGCTTACTCTGAAGACCAATGTTAGGCTTGAAGAGCTGTAAAGAACCTTTCTTAGAGGAGCTGGAGGAGGGAGGGAAGCGAGCAAGGATTGCTACCTTACGACCAAACTTCATCTGAAAAATAAAGGAATATGCCATGTGAAAGAATTATATTGAATAGACTTTGAATCTGACTGATTTACTTATTTGTTCCTCATGTGATAAAATGTGCTTATATTTTTTACACAATAAATCACACATGCATTTTATGAAGGACAATTGATTGAATAAAAGTAGGAACTTTATTCTTGTGAATTTGTCTATCACAGAAAATCTTTCAAACTGAAAAAGACTGATGAAGAATGTATTTTAAAAAGTTTAAAGTGATGCAGTGACAATCATAGAATGCACAGTCATAAATGACGCCTCCGCTATAGAGCGATCTATACATCTAAATCTTTGAAGGATCAAAATTGGGTGAAGCATCATTCAAGTCAGGTCAAGGGAATCATTAGATGGTGTGACACCTCCTACATAAACTCAATTTAATCTGACTTGATGACACTATCCTGACATCTTCTTGACTGCTCTTGTTGAGAGTGAATACTCACCAGTTGTGAGATGTAGAATCCTTCTTCAGGCTGCGAGAGCTCTGACCACATATCAATAGCTTTCTTCCATGACATCCCTCTCTCCGCTCCAACCTAAAATACAACACAATGAATATAACATTAATATCACCTTCATCTGACCACATATTAATAGCTTTCTTCCATGACATCTCTCTCTCCGCACCAACCTAAAATACAACACAATGAATATAACATCAATATCATATTGGCAGAGATGGAGAGGTCTTCATCTGGCCACATTTTACACATTGCATGATTAGCAAGCTACAATCATCAGCACAGACTCATAGCATCAGTTATAAGGACTATTTTTTTTTTTTTTTGGGGGGGGGGGTTTAATCTGTCATTTCTGTAAAGCATGTGTAGCATTCATCTCTATCACTGTAGCCTCTGCTTCCAAGGTGGAGATTACTATCCTGGAATTTATTTTACATTATAATTTTGTTGTTAACATTGAAATCATTGTAACAGGCAACAAAACAACACCATTAAAAGTTCAACTGTCAAAAGTTTTTGAATTATTACACTGAAATTCATATAATGTTGTTTACTGCATATAAATACATTACTGTTGAACATCAATGCCTTTACCTTGTGGAGTTCATTTGTTGCATTGCCTGACATAGCAACATATGTGTCTGTGTGTATCCTTCTTATATCCATTCTCTCATTGCTAATATCTGTTGATAGAACAAAATACAGTTTGCAAATGAGAAACAGTGGAGTTCATGTATTCTTGAAGATATACATATAAAATTCTTTTTTTTATAAAGTCCTTCCACAAGACAAGTACTCTGATTATTAATGTAAAGATGAGTACCTTGGCAGTAATGGACATATGTCAATGAATTGTTCACAAGAAATATAACAGTCTGTTTCTGGTTTATCATTAATTGGTGTAAAGTAACTGCTTGGGAAGAGGTTTTAATCATTTGGGCAATGAAAAAAATGGGAAAAAAAGGGATCTGCCACCAATAAGAAGTTATCACATGTGAAGTACACATTTATAAATAGCACTTGAGCCAGAACCATTGCTGCCAGTTAATATAAAACTGGATGAATATGGCCTAAAGTCGCCAAACTTTAAATTAAATTGCACCGAGAGTCTGAAACGACATTTTAATAAATGAGCCATTACAAACTCTGGTAACATTTACTCCTGGCTTAAATTAGTCCAAAATGTAGGTTTTAAAAGTTTTAAAGATTAGGGTGAAGGAAAGGAATAATAATGTGTGGTCAAGAGTTGCAGTAAGGCCTTTGTGGTTTTGTTAAAGTTGTCAACAGAGCCGTGTCGTAGAACCAAAAACAGATTCTTTACATACCCATAATACCAGCATCCCACTGGCCTTCCTTCTTAGCCCGTGATATAATAGTAACCATGGTATCACTGAAGTACTTGAAGAGAGAGTTCTGGGTATCTACCTCCATACCAAGGAGACGATTCAGGAACTTAGGCATACTGCTGTAGTCTGGATGGAAGACAAGAATAAAAGGTTTGATACTACTCACAAAATACTTCCAAACTTCCTTTCTATTCAAGACACTGCTGGTGTTATCCTGAAAACATCAGTCTTTCATACATCAGTCTTCATTTTTTAAAGCAGGACTGCACTATTTGTAGCTACTTTGCGCCCTCTATATAGCAAACAATCCCTAAGTGGTACCCGTTGGCCCCCCATGATCCCCTTTTCCTTGTGTTAATTGAGAGCTGATTTAATGAAATAACCACCTGTCGATGACCATGCAGGGAGGTCTAATCCCTCCTGGCCAAACTAGTGCAGACAGGCTTTAATTGAGCATCCATTTATTGAACGTTTCAGGGGAAATTACTATTGTTTAGTGTACTGAAGAAGATTAAAATTAACTCTTTCAATGACTTGAAGAACACTGCATATAAATTTAGAAAGGGATGGAAATGAGCTGCTAATTTTACCTTTCTCAAAGAAGTACATATCATGATCCTCATTGTATGACAGCAGACCAACACCTACCATGGCTTTCTTCACATCTACATGAACAAAGAAAAATAAGTGAAAGAGAAACAAATTCATTTTGAAATATTTTATATCTCAGCATAATTCAATCAGCAATTCAACAAATAAATTTAAGTACAAACATATTGAAGCTTTTTATCTGGCATTCATCAACGTTTATTTCGTATAAATGCCAAACACCAATCATTCTTTATCAATAAGGGAAGCACAAAAAAGTTGAATTGTTGTTATAGGCAATCCTCTGTGGTTAACATATATATTTTGTCACATTTTTTTCTTCTTTCTGATATTTTCTAAATGTTTGAAATGGAGCTTACACACGATATGAAATGAGCACACACACATAAACCAAACAAAAACAAAAGAAAACCAAAACCCCAAAACAAGAAGATACATATATAATCTCTTTTCACAAGAGCACTACGTATAATTTCACTTAAATTTTTTCCAGTCAAGAAAGATACAAAACATAAATATCTCTTTAAATTATTCCCATTTGAGATGATACATACCATCAAAGAATGACGATCCTCCAGGTGGTTTTACTATAGGAGTGTCCAGGTCCAGAATGGTTCTCATAATCAGCTCCAGTGCTTCACGTCCATACTGATAAATGAGAGGAACATGTGATGTAATCATTAGTATTTCATCAAGGCACACGCATATATATGCATGTAGTAAAGGAAAACCATACAAAATCAATTTGTCACATTTCTACAAATGTAGTTGATAATTAGGAAGCCATCAGAATAAGCAAATTGTAAATACTGTGAAAAAGGTTGTTTTTTTTCCCAAATAATATCTAGAAGCATATACATTCCTGTTGACATGATTCTTTCCTTACACAGTGGGTTTCAAGTAAAATGCTTTATAAAACTTTATTGGAGAAATAAAAATTACTAAAAGAATTCCACATGATGTATCTATATGAAAGAAGTTTAAATCCATGATAGTGACTCATTCAGCCCCGGTAAAAATCTCCTGAAGGGTAAGCAAACTATTACGGTTGTCAAGCACCTACCTTTGTATCAATGTTAAATCGACTCAAGTCTTTGGATTCTGTAGCTCTCCTATCACCGTGAGTAAGTGCTCCCTGCAATATGACAGGAATGATATAAATAAAATGAGTTGAAGAAAATCATCATCATGAAAATACTACCTTCAAGTATGTGAAAATGAATTCAATGAAAATAAAAAGACATCACTAAATTGTTGCTGAGCCGTACATAAAGCACTAAACTAAACACCAAAAGTACTTGCTAGTGTCAAGGGGCGTATTCACACCACAAGGGGGGACCGTGGGCGGACCGTGGATCGCGCTATCGTAGCGCGATCCACGGTCCGCCCATTGGCATTTGCCGAATCCACACCGGAATGAGATAGCGCAGTCTATCGTAGCACCCACTTTTTTTGAGAGGTCAGAGCGGTCAAAGATTTCGCGCGCTATTACTAATTAGGAGTGTTGAGTTGTACCGATTCAGATTCAGATCGCACCAATATAGAATGGGTATAAAATTCCCAGCGTGTAGAACGATGACTTCCGGCGTGCTATCGTAGCTCGGGTTCACACCGGCAGAGATAGCGCGGTCTAGTGGGCAGGCGCTAGACCGCAATAACTCTCGTGGACCACCCCCAAGAGGTGCTCCAGTGGCACACTGTTTTGGCTCGCCGTGGCTCACTGTTGGGCGGACCGAAATGACGTTGTACCTTCCACACCGCAGAGATAGCGTGGTCTAGCGCGCGCTAGACTGCGCTTTCTCTGCCGGTGTGAACAGCCTCATAGAGTAATATGTGGAAGCATCATCAATTTCTCTATTAGAGTTGTAGCACAATATCAATTACATGTATCAATCACTGAAACTTTTCACTTATTCTTCTACAATTGTGAAGAGAAAACTGGTAATTTTCAGTTGAAAAAGTTATGAAAGTCTACTTTATGTCATTTATCTATCTGATGAAATATAATTTTCAGACTTACCAGACTTTCGAGTCGCTTAGCAACAATGGAAGCAAATCTCTGTTCTCCCGCTAGCTCTGAGATGAGGAAGACATACTCTGGTGCTGTTACCTGATTAGATCTATGCGTACGACCTACGAGATAGAGAAAAGTAATATTGACAATATTTATTTCTTGTAAGTGCATATCACATATATTGTCTCTATACGCTTCCAAAATATGTTGAATACTACCCTGGCTTTAAATCCAGCAACCACAGTGCTCAGCGCATTCAAGGAAAGGTAACTAAGTGGTTAGAGAATAGGTTTTTGTAGTTGAAGGTCTAGTATTCAAAATTAATTTTACATGGTAGTGCAATTGGGCAAGCCTTCATTCATAATCATGTACTTTCTCATATCTACCACATGTGGTGCTTAAAGGTAAAGACCAGTTTGGAAACGCCCCCCTCTCAAAAAATGAAATGGAAGCTCTTATTACCAATGTGAAAGAATATGTTTTGACTAATACGTGATGATACAAATTTTGCTGGGAAACCGCCTACTAATTGATATATTTGGTAAATTATTATATCTATTCGGACCGGATAGATATCCCGTAGTCCCATATACATCTATCTGTGAACAGTGCTTGTTACTTTACCAAGACTGGGCTAAATTCCTTATCATTTTGATGATTCCAGAACCTTGTAGAGTACACACCAATACTTATATGCTAGATGATCAACCTTTTCTGATCGATTCCACACTGTTTCTTTCACAATGCAGTTGCATGACCAGGGACCCGTCTCACAAAGCCTTTTTTCAAATGACAAATGACAAAAATCAGAGACAAATCTGCCGATAACCAATCACAAGCAAAGATTTCAGTAGCTTATAACAAAAACTGTCATTTGTCACTGATGACAAGTTGTGTGAAACGCCCCCCAGAACTGGTCTTTATCTTTAAGGCACTCAAATGAGAGGGGCGATAAATTCATAGCCCCACTAGGAGCTTACCTATGAGAGTACCCTTGCTTTCATATCAGACAAGTAAAATGAGCATTAATCAATCAAAAGAGAGTTGACTCTCAAACCAAATGAGGACGAATTCAAGATAGTGTTTACGCCTGTCATCATCATCGATGACAGACAATTGGAAGGGAAATTGAGGATCGCAATATGGTAAAAAATCTATTTTATTATTATTACTACTACTTCTATATATGTATGACTGAAGATTTCTTGGAAAGATATGGTGAAGGAAGAAAGCAGTAAGGTTGGTTTAAATAAGAATGCTTGAGACAAGAAGAAGTGGACAGAGGGAGTGTCATCATGGCACGAAAGTCAGCTGACTTTATTAAATGATGATGATGATGACTATTCTATAAAATATTAAAAACTCAAATTATCTACATCTCTGAACACAACAAAGACAAATATCATACAGAACATTTCTGGATGTGATGATATTAATAAAGTCTTACCAAACTGTTGAACAGCTTTATCTGCACTCCAAGGTAATTCTAATGTTATATGAACTCTCTTCTTCTGATTGGCTACTCTTCTATCGGCCTGTAGTGAGATCCCTGAACTTGCTGCTTCTGAGATGATAGCTACATACTGCCAACCACAAACACAACAAATACATTTATTCATAAGTATGCTGCACAATTGAAATTAGCATCATTTACTTTTACTGTTTTTCATTAGCTGAATTGAGCATAAGTCTATTTGTAAATGTTAACCTCAGGAACATGGCAAATCCACTCCACACTGACTGCAAAATTGACTGAGCTTTTACCATTGGGGGTAATGTAATTATTTGATAAGTCTGTTGTTGGTCTCCTTGATGTGACTGGGTATTAGAAAAGAATACTTGTAAATTCTACAATAGAAGAGTGAAGTTTTGTGCATCAACCCAAAGAACAAGGGGCGAAACCTACTCCCATACCTTCTAACAATCTCTATCTCTTAAAGTTACTGGTCCTAAAGAATCTAAGTCTTGACAAGAAAAGTAATAGAAAGACTAGGGTATTATGAGCAATTGCTGCAAAGGTCTTACATCAGGAGTAAAACAATATAATGAAATGGATATAATTCAAGACCAAAAATTTACAATTCTCTTAAATACATTCTTACCACAAAACTTAAAAAGTTATGAAAGCAGATGTCTCACCTTCTCACCTTCCATGAAGCGTCTTTTCTCGGTCAGATTGAGGATTTCAAGTGGAATGTCATATTCACTTCTAGATTCATACTGGACGCCATTATCATGACTCACCACTCGACCCTTACGACCTGTCATCTGATTAAAGCAAATGGTATACCACAATTAATCTCGTTGTAACTGGCAACACACACGTACATGTACTTCAAAACCAAAAAATTATATGAACATACAACAACAAAGGCTGTTTTGACAAAAATTCATTCTTATTTTTAAGTTATTTCATGGATGGAACATAAATGTGCACCACTCTCAAAACCTACAAAATTCTCTGTTTTAAAAATAGACAGAAATGTGTATTCGATCACATACTGGGAATGGAAGCAGGGTTGGCATATTTCCCGCTTCGGAGGGTTATTTCCCGGACGCCGGGAAATAAGCGGTATTTACCGGTATTTACCGCTTTTTACCGGTATTTACCACTTTTTACCGGGAAATACCGGGAAATATATTTTTCCACTCACTTGTTCATAGGTATTGTCCAATTTTGAACATAATAACAATGGTGGTGAGTATGGTTGCTCTTGTGTGTACTATTTGTGTGTGTGTGTGTGTGTTTGTTTGTTTGTCTATGTCTGTAATTATGTAATGCTGGAAAAAAATACAGGAAAAAGATACCAAATAAACACCTAATCTAGATATGATGTTCTTCATTAAAGGGAACCAAAACCTTCATACTTTGATGAAATCATTTGTGGACAACTCTCCATGCCTTTTGTACATCAAATTTCACAATTCTTTCATTTTTTTCCCCTATTTATTTGTGTTCTTGATCGGATTTCATAACATGTGAAGTAGAATATCATTTTGCATTCTATATCTTGCTTTCAGGGGAGTACATTATCTCAATCACAAGAAAGAAGGAAAAACATGAAATTTGATGTACAAAAGGCATGGAGAGTTGTCCACAAATGATGTCATCAAATTGAATATCGCCCTCTAGTGACTAGTCATTTCAAAAAGCTTTAACTTCCTTATTCCTTGCCTGATTTTGTTCAAATTTTCACTGATTTTATTCAAATATCTTAAACTTTACAATAAAAGTAACTTGTATGAAGGTTTTGGTTCCCAGTTGCTAATTACCATATTCATGAATACCTATTAATTAGCATATGAACAAAATGCCATTTGTTTGGGTGTGTACATGTATGCAGTGAGGATTTCATAAATCTGTTTGTGTGTTCCTACTATGAGTATTGTGCTGCTAATTATTTCAGAACAATATTTTCAGTTATGAGGCTAAAAACAAGTAAAATTATTAATAAATAGAGAATTAAAATTATATTTCCCGTTTTTTACATATTTACCGGACGTGCATCTTATTTACCGGACAATATTTACCAGTATTTACCGCCGGTAATTACCGCCACCGGTATTTACCGCCCAACCCTGAATGGAAGCGCAGGATTATTTATTGACCGTTGCGTTTGTATAATTTTACCATTTGCATGATTATATTCAACATATTTTCATATGTATTTGTAAATTGTGAACAATTCAGCCATTGGATGCTCATCATGATTTCTATTAAACTATGAATAAAGGGGAATAAAAACACAGAACTATTCTATTGACCACCTTACCTCTGCAACATTATCTGGTCCACCTAGTTCATCAATGAGCTCATCTAGTGTGTTAGGAGGTAGTTCAGCTGATAGTTCTTCTAGAGTATCCATGAGTTCTTGTCTCATCAGTCTTCCTCTCTCGTAGGCATCCATGCCTGGTAGTACACTACTCTTGGTAGCTATGGACAAAAAGAAAACACATGTTTGATAAATAATAATAATCAGCATTTATACAGCGTCATCTCTCTAGAAATTCTATCCCGAGGCGCACTATTTCAGTGTTGCCCCAGCTATGCTAGCTGCCATTACAGTGCTCAGCATTTCAAGGAAATAATTCCTGCTAGGTACCCATTTACCTCATCTGGGTCGAGTGTGGCAAATGCAGATTAATGCCTTGCCAAAGGCCATTAGTGTCATGTCGGGGATGGAACCACAACCTTTCAATTTCAAATCAAGTGCTTAAACCAGACTATGACACTTCTACATAAAGCTATATGGTAAAGCACTATTTTGTGGAGGTGTCATGGTATTCATTCACTTGACTATTAATCCAAGGATTGAGCATTCGATTCGCAGCCCTGCACTAATTTTCTTTAGCAATACATTCATCCATATCTACTACTCTCCATCCGGGTGTAAGTGGATACCCAATATGCTAGAGCACTTCACATATGGTCTCCAGCTGTGACCAGGGTAATACTGTTAGGCACAAGAAGCGTCACAGCGTGCTGGACATGTGCGCTACATAAGAACTAAAGAAGCCACCATTATCATTATCATTATTATTATTACCAATAGACAGAGAATAAAACAAGAAACACTTACATATACACAGGAATTCAAAGCAAATACGTTTCAGTAGATGGAATATTATGCAACCTGACTGTTATCCAATATGGCAGTAAACACAATGTTATCAGATGTACAAAACTTAGATCATTGAGAGTGACAGATGATAGGTTTTGTTATTAGCTAGTGAAAATCCTTGCTTCTGATTGGTTGTCAGCAGATTTTTGTCATTGAAAAAAGGCTTTGTGAAAACAGTACCTGATAATTTAACCTCTCAGATATTAACATTCTTATTGACATTCTTATTGTTTGTTAATCTTTATCAAGTTTATACTAACTGTTACTTTAATTGTTTTTTATTTTTTATCTTGTAACAAAGCTTGTACTGCCCTTTAGGATTGAGTTAACACCTTCCAAACTCTGAGCAGAGGATTTGAGCTTACCTGAAGGAACTGATGATGAAAGACCCTGTAGGGTAGTAGCCGCTGCATCGGTAGATAGAGACCTTGGTGCCTTTGGCAGGATCCCAAGAGCTCTTAAAGCGTTGTCTGCAGCAGAATCAACGCTATCTATCTCATGAGAGGCGCTCTTAGATTTAGATGATGAAAAGGGAGATAACGAAGCTTTCTTGTCCTTGGGTTTCTTTGTCTTCTTTGTTTTTGGCTCTTTGCCCTTCCTTCCACTCCTGTTCAACCATGGGTCTGAAAGAAATCACATTTTACTGTTTTAGAAAACAAATGTATGTTGTTTAAGTGTTAAGTGGGAAATGTAATGAAGGGTATTCATTGATTGGACTAATTGCCAGGAAAAGCTCTCATCAGGTCCTCCTTCCATTAACAAAGCGTCCATGATAAGGCCTTCAAGCCTTCTAGGAATTTTTACAACCCCTTTGACCAATTCCTCTCCATGTGTCGAGAGTCAGAAATGTAATCATCTTGAAAACATATATTAGTGACATAATAAGGATTCAAACAGCGCACCATAATATCTGTAGTGCACTACACCACAACATCTTGTATGTACTTTTCTGTTTCCTGAGTTACAAAAGTTGAATTATTTCATGATCTATTCTTTTTAAATATCTTGAAATGTATTTTTTTTTCACTGTAAGTTTAAAACATTAAAAAAGAAATAGGTCCTCACCATCATCTGAATCTGAGTTGTTGTTAAATGGATTGAAGTCATCTTCATCATTGTCTGAATCAAAGATAGGTGAGTCATCATCATACGATGATGAAGAGGACGATGATGAGGCATCGTCATTATCCTTCTCTTTCTTCTTGGTCTCTTTGGTTTTCTTCTTCCTTTGTCCTCCATCGTCATCATCATCATCATCGTCATCATCATCATCATCATCATCAGTGCCACCTGATGAGCTTTCACTGTCTTCTACCCACCAGTCTCTGGTCACTCCCTTCTTCTTCCACTTCTTACCTGAGATAGAATACAAGAATACAATCACATGACATTCATATATCACCTGAGATAGAATACAAGAATACAATCATATCACATTCATGTGTCAACCGAGATAGAATACAAGAATACAATCACATGACATTCATATGTCGCCTGAGATAGAATACAAGAATACAATCACATGACATTCATATATCACCTGAGATAGAATACAAGAATACAATCATATCACATTCATGTGTCAACCGAGATAGAATACAAGAATACAATCACATGACATTCATATGTCGCCTGAGATAGAATACAAGAATACAATCACATCACATTCATGTGTCACCCGATATAGAATACAAGAATACAATCACATCACATTCATGTGTCACCCGAGATAGAATACAAGAATACAATCACATGACATTCATATGTCGCCTGAGATAGAATACAAGAATACAATCACATGACATTCACGTGTCGCCTGAGATAGAATACAAGAATGCAATCATATCACATTCACGTGTCACCTGATATAGAATACAAGAATACAATCACATGACATTCATATGTCGCCTGAGATAGAATACAAGAATACAATCACATGACATTCATATATCACCTGAGATAGAATACAAGAATACAATCATATCACATTCATGTGTCAACCGAGATAGAATACAAGAATACAATCACATGACATTCATATGTCGCCTGAGATAGAATACAAGAATACAATCACATCACATTCATGTGTCACCCGATATAGAATACAAGAATACAATCACATCACATTCATGTGTCACCTGAGATAGAATACAAGAATACAATCAAATCACATTCATGTGTCACCCGAGATAGAATACAAGAATACAATCACATGACATTCATATGTCGCCTGAGATAGAATACAAGAATACAATCACATGACATTCACGTGTCGCCTGAGATAGAATACAAGAATGCAATCATATCACATTCATGTGTCACCTGATATAGAATACAAGAATACAATCACATGACATTCACATGTCGCCTGAGATAGAATACAAGAATACCATCACATGACATTCACGTGTCGCCTGAGATAGAATACAAGAATGCAATCATATCACATTCATGTGTCACCTGAGATAGAATACAAGAATACAATCACATGACATTCACATGTCACCTGAGATAGAATACAAGAATACAATCACATGACATTCACATGTCACCTGAGATAGAATACAAGAATACAATCACATGACATTCATGTGTCACCTGAGATAGAATACAAGAATACAATCACATCACATTCATATGTCACCTGAGGTCACCTGAGATAGAATACCGGTACAAGAATAGAATCACATGACATTCATGTGTCACTGGAGATAGAATACAAGAATACAATCACATGACATTCATATGTAGCCTGAGATAGAATACAAGAATACGATCACATGACATTCACATGTCACCTGAGATAGAATACAAGAATACGATCACATGACATTCATGTGTCACCTTAGATAGAATACAAGAATACAACCACATGACATTCATATGTCGCCTGAGATAGAATACAAGAATACAATCATATCACATTCATGTGTCACCCGAGATAGAATACAAGAATACAATCACATCACATTCATGTGTCACCTGAGAATCCTGAGATAGAATACAAGAATACAATCACATCACATTCATGTGTCACCTGAGATAGAATACAAGAATACAATCACATCACATTCATGTGTCACCTTAGATAGAATACAAGAATACAACCACATGACATTCATATGTCGCCTGAGATAGAATACAAGAATACAATCATATCACATTCATGTGTCACCCGAGATAGAATACAAGAATACAATCACATCACATTCATGTGTCACCTGAGAATCCTGAGATAGAATACAAGAATACAATCACATCACATTCATGTGTCACCTGAGATAGAATACAAGAATACAATCACATCACATTCATGTGCCACCTGAGATAGAATACAAGAATACAATCACATCACATTCATGTCTTACCCGAGATAGAATACAAGAATACAATCACATCACACTCATGTCTTACCCGAGATAGAATACAAGAATACAATCACATCACATTCATGTGTCACCTGAGATAGAATACAAGAATACCATCACATCACATTCATGTCTTACCTGAGAAAGAATACAAGAAAACCATCACATCACATTCTATGATTCATGGTTCAAATTGTGATGTTAAGTATAATGTTGAGCAAAATGATCAAACATCGCACACTTTTACAATATTCTTCTTGATTGTTGATGATGAAGTAGATATATTTCAAAGAGGGTGTGGGTACAAACATGTGCCCAATAATAGATCTAGGAAACAGGTTTGATTTGAAGAAAATAAAGGAAATTCATGAAATTGTTCATACAATGCAAATGAACAGCTGAATCAAAGAAATTTCAAAATGTGTTTGATAGATATTTAAATTAAAAAGTTTATAACTTTCTTATCTCTTAGTGGATTTTAAGGCTGTGCATAACCGTGTAATGAGGTACTCGAGTACACTCCCGGGCTTACAAGCGAATACTCGAATATTCGGATGCCATGTTGTTGTTTTTTAATTTTAAAAAATTAAAAAAAAAAAAAAAATCCCGGTCACCTGGCTCTGTCCAGGCCGACGCTTATCCTTGCCAGGGAGAGCGCCGGCCGCCGCACAGTGGGCCAGGGATGAACCAAAGTGCGCCAAAACTCATTTTTGGTGATTTTTTTTCTTCCAACTTTTGTCTTGCCCAGTTGGAAGGTAACACATTGAGGAATACCTCAGAAAAATATTTAATTCCGATATGCACAATAAGGGTATAAATTTACTCCTTCAAACAGCAAAATCCTACATATTCACAGTTTTAGTGCAAAAGTGACTTATTTTATAAATCTTTCAATTTAACATGTAGTTTTTAAGTTATTGATATGAAATTGCTCTCACATATTCCTAATAGTTCATTTCATTGCATGAATGGGTTAAAATTGATAGAAACATAATCTTCATGATTTATACTAAAGGGTAATTCACTGAAAAATGGACTAATTATCCATGTTTTTTATAAATGCAAAGAAAATGTTTAGATCACATTCGTGAGTTTTTCGGAGTCGGACCTGGGATATTTCTACCGTAGCTATGGTGGTGGCAATTTAATTTTTTTTTATTACTACGGTAGAAATATCCCAGGTCCGCCTACGAAAACTCACGCTATTTTACTTCGATTTGCAGTTGAAGGCGACGATTTAATAATAATAATAATAGTAAATAATGCTGTTTTAAAAACCAAAGATGACTTTACCTCCGAGTCCAAACAGAAATCCGGACATTTAGGCCCAGTTTCTGAGTGGTGAGTTGACAGTGAATGAGCTGGAAACATTTTTACCCACGGTACCATGCTGGCGGCCGGCGCTCTCCCTGGTACAGTTAAGCGTCGGGCTGGACAGTGTCAGGTGACCGGGATTTTTGTTGTTGTTTTGTTTTGCGGCCGAATATTCGAGTACGAGTAAATCGTACTCGAGTAGTTGTCAACAGTGCGAGTATTCCAGTATTCGACTACTTGTCGCAGCCCAAGTGGATTTATCTCAAACTTTACAAGATCCAATTCTCTAGTTATCTCTACTCTTTTCATAACCAACTTGATACCAGGGTGCATTTCCTCTTCCAGGGGTGATAGTGAGCATTAAAATAAAAAAAAATTCCCCCTCAACCACACCACCCTTGAGTAAAAAAAAAAGAGGAATCGGGGGAAAAAATGGCATCTAACAACATTCCACCCATTTTGAGTAAGAAAAATTGGCAAATATTAGGGAAGAATAGAGAATATAAGGGGAAAATCGGTTATTGAAAAAAGAAAAAAAATCAGGAAACCAATTAAAATCAGGTTTTTTATCAGGCCTGTTTTCACATGTAAGAGAACAATCCAGAGACATACTGACCTGACTTTTTCCTCTTCTTTCCTCTCTTGCGTTTGCTCCCCTTATTATCCTCATTGTTGTCATCATGCATGTGACCATTGAAGCTCAGTCCTAGCATACTCATTGTCTTGTTACGATCAGGCACAGGAAAGTGCTTCTCCACCAATGTTGTGAATACACCTCTGTAGATGGATGAATGGTAAAATGGAAAAAAGGGAAATTCAAAAGGCAATGTTGAGCGTTGTGAACAAAAATGAAAAATCCCCAAGACTGAATTTAACGATTTTGGACAATAACATTTTTTGCAAACATACAATATTTCCTTACACCATAGGTTATTGCAATATATAACATACATATGGGTCACCTTAATCTATAAACTTGATCACATCTATACAATTGTGATTATCAGCTTATGTGAGTAACTTTATACTACTGGTTGAAAGTATGTAGTCCGAATAACTTACAAGGGTTATCAGCTTATCATGACTTTGTGAGGAGCTAAAACTTTGATGATATGCATACTCTTTTTGCGGTGAAAGATCTACAGAACATGCAATGGACCACTTTAGATGACCTTGGACACACATACAGTGTCAATCAATATCACACACCAAACAATTTTGAAACAGAGAGACTCACTTTCCAGCAATGAATGATTTACCATCACTAAATCAGCAACTCTTTCAATCACATCTGAAACATGTGCATTGAAACAAAGCAATCCAAATGAAAGTGGCTACAATTTCATGAAGCACTTCATGTCATATCATAGTACAGTGAAACCTGTCTATAAAGACCACCCAAGAAAGACAAGAAAAGTGGTCTTTATAGGAGGTGGTCTTTATGTACAGGTGCCTATAGTACATGATTCAATGAGAAACCATTTTCAAGGGAAACAAAAAATGGTGGTCTTTGTAGAGAGGTGGTCGCTAAACCAGGTTTGACTGTAGTTACCTTGCTGTAGAGACAAAATCATTGAGTTCTCCTCCTGCTTCTTCTAAGGCATCTAAGGTCCTGGCTTCACCCGTTGACTGAAGACCAATCACTACACACTGCAGGTACGTAGGCAGGAATGAAAGGTAAGAATACCATTAAAAACAGTAAATATTCATCATACACTTATGACAGTAAAATGCAGGATTGAATGTCAGAATATCACTTGCAAGGGATTACTCATTACCAAATATTCAATTAAGATAATAAATTGATAGTATGATGAATAACAGGTAGAAAGGAGTGTCTTTCAAGACTACACAGTCTTAATTATATTTGCTAAACATTATTTGTAAGGGCTCAGCAATCATCTCTAAAATATAATCATAATCACATCACTCAGTATGACAAGATGGCTGAATCTTTCAATCAATATGAGATACAGTTTAAATACATTGAGCCAAGGATGATTTCTAAGTACCTACGTCAAAATTGAAAACATCATAAGAGTTTCATAGGCAGACTAATTCAATCTCATGGATATTAAAAAGAGAAGCTTTCCCTAAAAGCATTCTATATTACCTTTCCATGTTTGACCGAGTCCCTGGCCAGCTTGACCAGATGCTTGACCTTGGCTGCAATACAGAGATACTTGAAGAATCTCTGATGAGCTGACCAGAACTGACCCCACATGGACTTGCACATACGTTGGTCCGCGTCCATTAGCTTGGCTGCCTTCTGGAATCGGTCTCTCGCCATATGCCACTGATAATATCAAAGATACACTGTAACAATCAGAATGGGCTTCCAATTTGCATACTTTCTTAAATCACATCACAAGTACCATTATCTTTTGAATATAAATGAAACGAACTAGAAGAATGAAATGTGTCCAAAATGAACATTGGATGGAAAAACAGGAGTACGAGTCTTTGTGCAAATATGTTTTCCTCTTTTCTTCATTTTAAGTTCCACATAATTATTGCCAAGTGCAATATAAGAAATTACAAAAACAGACATCCTGCTATTAAACCATAAATTGAAAGGAGGTGACTTGCATTCACTTTATAGCAGTTATAGATTTGATGAGATTTAACTTATTTGCCTCAAATTTCTTACATGACAAAAACATTTGATCATCAGTTGATATGACTTACTTTCAATTCATACCAATATTATACTATCGAGCAAAGCCATAGATTCCGTGATAAGAATTGGAAGCTTTGACTTACCAGTCTGACTGACTTGTTGTAGATCCGTTTGAAGGATTCTGAGAGAGCTACTTCTTTGATCTTGAAGGTAACTCCATGGAAACTAAGCTGTCTGGCCAGGTATGTCCCTCTCAGCTTCAAATCCATAGCAACCACTTCCATAGCACCAACTCCTCTAGAATATCAAATGTGACAAGTTCTCTTTAAGTTTGAAGGTAACTAGGTGAATCTCTATAAACATGCATTAAGTTATCAAACACAACTACAGCTATCAAAACCTAAAAGTGACTATTAAGTAATTTTTGTTGTTGATGTTTCAACATCACAACCTCTCCCCTTTGAATTTGTTTTCATGGGGATCATTTGAAAAGAATGGAAGTATTATATTCAACAAATTTAATTAAATGCCAGCAGCAGAAGTATATCAAAGATTATAAGATGATGACGTGGATCCTAATCAAATAATTGGTTGAGAGCTTACATGTGACCAGGCATTTATTTTGCCTAACACGTAATTTTGATGATGACCGGTAATAATCAAATGCTAATGAATCAAGGTTAAAAAAATTCATTTTATAAACAAATAAAACATAATCTTATAAAACAAATATTACACATCATTTTGTTCGGGCATTAGTAAAAAATTACCCACACCCGGTACCTTCGAAACAGTCCAAACACCCTCGACTTTCGCCTTGAGCGTGTTAGACTGTTCCAAAGGTACCTTGTGTGGGTAATTCTTACTAATGCCCTCACTGCTGTGTATTATTTGTATTTTTAAACCTATTTCCAACGAACAACAGGAATCCCATCCCCCTACCCCCCCCCCCCTCCCAAGAAAGCTTTATGGTGTTCAAGCATAAACAGTTCTGTTATGATCTTTTGAAAACTTGTGGAACATTAACCACAAAACACATGTTGCATCCTTAACACTTTTGTTTGTGAGGTATAAATGAAGCCGATGTATTCATTACCTTCTCTCAATGGCTTGGATGTAAGCATTGAAGTCTGGGAAAGCTGAGCCCTTTCCCCAGATACCAAGACGCGACATGTAGGCCATATTACGAGGCTCAGAAGCACCTATGTGAGAATACATTCAAAGACAATGAAACGCATGATTAATGTTCATGACATATTACGAGGCTCAGAAGCACCTGTGTGAGATACATTCAATGACAATGAAAAGCTTGATTCTTGTTCATGGCATATACTATGTATGTATTAACAAATTGAAATTTCAAAAATTAAGAACAAAAATTTGTTGGTTCCCTCTCCCATTCTTGCTGTCTGCAGTTTCTTAACTTGTTTTTTAGTTTTAGAAGCTCTCCAACTGTTCAGTTTCATTTTCCTCCATAATTCATCTATTCATTGGAACTGCATCTGTTTGTTTCTTCAAAAGAGACTTCAAGCACTGTACTCTTCACCTACAGCACCAAGCACTGTCTACCTTATTCTTTGGTACCCATCTTATACAAATCAATAAAACAAACCATTCATTAGGAATACAATTGTCACAAAGCCACCAGCGCACAATGCTTAAACTTTATAAGAAGACACAAAGACTGGTAACAAACCTGTAGCACTGCAGTATACCACTCTGGCCTTTGGGAGTTGTTTCTGTAGCTCTAGTACTGTGATACCAGTCTTGGTTGGTTTAGCTGACCCTGTAGGTACAAGGTTCTTAGCTTTGTGACACTCATCAAACACAATCTAGGAACCAGCAGTCAAGAAATCATAAATGATAAACCATTTCATTTACAATAAACAATTCAATATGTAGTGCTTCAAAGTAGAACGATTTATTACAACTTTAACAACTTTATTTACAGCCATCATTTTCATGATCCTATTCTCATAATTACCTTAACCAACAAACTCAATAGGGAGTTTTCAAAGATTCATAAAGAAGTACAGTTTTATGTATCAGCATCAATCATGCACTAAACAGAAAAGTAAAATTTTATATTTTGCATTAAAAAATCGGTCCATGACCGCAAATTTTGATTAGTGTAATGAAATGTTGGTTACCTATTTTACTTCAATGCCCCGTCAAAAGAAAGTACAAAAGCTTTAAGACCTATCATAAAGAACTACATAATTGACGACTATGACCTTACCAAATGGCATAAGCAAATACGTTTTACTCAAGCCATCGGCTCATGGCTATGAGACCACTGCTCTACCAATCACAATGCTCTACTATCATCTTAAACTAGATTGATCAGTTTTAGCATGGTTATAGGAATAATGTTTAAAGGATACAACTCCATCGAAATCCTTGCCAAACCAGTGAAGGATCTGTTTGAGACGAGTCCTATACTTGCTACGGTTCTGACTCTCTCCTATTAGTGAGGAGTAGGTAGCGAAGATGACACCTTTCCTCACGTGACCGTTCTCTGTGGAGTTGATCTTGGCATATTTGAACTTTGTAGAGAAAAAAAATATATCATGTAAATGAGAGAAGAGTGATGAAAGAAAGAAAAGAATATATATGAGAGAGAGAGAGTAGATTGAGAAGGAAGAAAAGAGAGACAGAGAGTAGGGGAGGGGGTTAAGAAAGAGGCAATAGAAGAAATGTAATCTTCAACTGTATGTAGACTAATAATGAGTGGGCTAGCCGTTCTCTTGCTTTGCAAACTCAAATATCTAGGATAACTCTGGAATTTGTTTGTGTATTTGATAGTATCTAGTTGCTATTCACTTTAACATGTTTCCCCATTTTAGACCAATATTGGTTGGTGTTGTACATTGTTTGTTGTTTCAAGCAGGGTTTTGCAAACTTGATATCATATTTCTTGGTAAAACCCACAATAATCTATAGACCAAATTAATAGCATGACTGGCAAACTTTACTCTCAACAGGAGAATTGTATTTTTCTTGAACACCACCTGTATGACCATCTTACCTTGTTGAGTGAATGAACAGGTATATTACTAGCACCAATATCCTTCAGATCTCTCATTGCATCGTATTTCAAGTCATTTGAAACACTCAACCTGGGAGAGAGAAAGCAGTGTTGTCCAATTTATATATTTGTTAGGGTCCTAACTCGAATTGCCAATGGCCTATGCAGTTCCCTTCCACATTTTCGTTTTACTGTAATATATATATATACATATATTGTTCATATTATTTATGTTCTTAATGGTAAGTTTTTTATGGAATGTGGAAATAAATTTGAATTTGAACTTGAACATTAATGTTCTGATTACTATCTTACTGGATACATTTTGAAGCGCTATTTTGTTTAGGGCTTCAATATTACACCATATCACAGACACTGATAACAAATAGGGCCATGCATCTCAGATTTGTGAAACTGGAAACATTGTTAAACAATGCGTTAAATATCTTACTGGATACAGGAGGCCTCCTAACCAAGTATTGAACATTATCAAAACCATTACTCATGTCTGGTTAAATGAAGAAGGCAGTCAAATCAATAAATTATCCCAATATTTACTGCCCATTAAAAGCATCAGTACAAACTTTCAATATCTTTGGTGTTATTATCAATCACTGCAGTAAAAACCTTGGTTTATAAAGCAATTACAAATATCTTTGGATCTAAACTAGAAACCTTTCATATCACTAACTATCAGAGTACTCTCTTCCTCCAAGGATGCAGTTCTATTTTAGCTAATAATATCTTCTTAATTTCATCTCACCTACAGTGTGTACCTTTCATGAACATTTATTCATTCAAAATATTTCATTCAGGGGGAAGGGTATCTTTTTCTTCTGAATGAGGTACATGAGATTTTCTAGGCTTATTTCCTATTCTGCATTTCTACCTAAAACAAAGTTCTTTGAATGACAACTATTTCTTACCATAGTGCTCTTTTCCTGCCCAGAGCATAGTTTTCTAAGATGACTCCAGCTACTGTTCTTCCTTTCCCTACACCAGCTCCATCACCTGATCAAACACACAAAACCAAGAATGAGAAGATTGACAATTTATATCACATTTTGCTTTAGTAAATAAAACAGGACAAACTATATTAAAATGATTTACATCATTGTTTGTGGCACAATGTTCATAAGTTTGGCTAGGAGGGATTAGACCACCCAGGGTGGTCACTGACAGGTGGCTATCTCATCAACTCAGCTCTCACATAAGAAAAAGAGGATCATGGGAGACCAATGGGCACCACTTAGGCATTGTTTTCTATATAGAGGGAGCAAGTAGCTACAAGTAGTACAGTGGGGCTTTAAATGAAGTCTTGATAAAAATCTTACCACTTTAACCTCATCAAGATAACTTACAGATTTATGTTCAAAACATTAACCCATTAGCAACTAGATATATTGTAAAATGGCCTATTACTCACTGGGAGATCAATGTTACTCTCATTTTGACATTGTTCTGAACAATATGAAACATGTACTATTTTTCTATGCAGAATCCTACTGTAGACATCGTAAGGATTACTCACGTATAACATTATCACGGTAGACCCTTAGAATGGATACTATAGCGCTTTGAAAATAGCAAAACATACAGGCAGTTTGGGGCAGTTCAGTGAGTAAATGGAGGGGCGGTTTAGTTGCTAAAGGGTTAAACAAATAAATTTGTGAACTTTGACCTCATGATTTGGATCATTTGTTGTGTACTTTGTTTCATCATTATCTTTTTCATTTCTTACTTTCACTATTTACTCTGTTGTTCAAGAGAAGGAGCACTACACACGTGTGTCATGTAATGTCTATAATCATTGGTATTATAATTTAATTCAATTTCAATTTCGGTTTTTATTAAAAATATACCAAATAAAAAGTCCAAAAACTAACAATAATTGGCTCACATTGTATCATATAAAAATACATTAAAAACAGTAGATTAAAAAAATTCAGTAACCATCATTACCTACAGACATATTCATCATCCGCACTATCAAACATTTATATTTCAATTTCCAAAAAGTGCAATGATGAAAGGAATAAAGACAAAGATCTGATTGAGACTGACCTACAAGGAACCCTGCGCGTGTTCCATTGGGTAGTATCGTCTCATGCTGCTGGCATGCATACGTGATAGCTTCAAGCTGCAGAGAAGAGAGGTGCCCATAATCCATGGTGCTCTCTGGTATGCTCAGATGATACCATACGTTAGGAGGCTGCACACTGGCGAGGGAACTCGTCTCAACTACAGCGTCAGGGTGACTCTGACCAATCTTCACTGCAATCAGAATGGGTTTGTAAACACAAAAAAATATGTAATTAGGAAGTTGTTGTACGAGTAAGTGGTGTCCTTAAAATAAACCATGAAAGGTTCAGTATAATGTGAAAGGAATCAGTTGCCCTAGAAAAAAATTGTTGGTCTAAGAAAGACTTGCTCTTGAACTGCTGATATAAATGCTAACGAAGGACCCTTCACAAGGCACATTGCCAGAGTTAACTGTTAAGAAAGAGTAACCTCTGTTCTTATTGCTTGCAATTGGCACTCTTAACAAATGTAAATCATATTGGGCGACCTCAATGATTCCTTTGTTATTCAATCATATTTTGATGTTCATTTACAGTGATCTGCATAAACTTCACAATAAACAAAAATAGCGGTAGTTTTGTTTGGTAGCCATCTGGGCAACACAGATAGACTTTTAGACTGTCTCGCAGGTGGGCAATGGCACCTGAGCAACACCTAATTTTGAGTCCTGGAACTTCAAAACCCCCAAAATATTGTGAAAAGCAAATATGTTGAATGTATTCCAAACATTGCAGATGGTGTCCTCTTTTCCTTGCTATCAGTGATTCATTAGTTGTTGTGCCTCACCATTTTATTGTTACCATTTCTGTTAAGTCACATGGATTGGAAAAGAAGACCTTTGGGTCACAGTTATTTAGTTGATCTTTTTCTTTTCCCGGCATCCATGTGACTCTTTTCCAAATGTACTCTTGTTTTGTATTCACTGATTTTCTTTGTTTTTGCAGAATAAATAATAATAATAATAAGAAGAAGAAGAACAGTTGACAATCTCCAGGAGTACTCACATTTACTTGGAGTGTAGTTTGCGTAGGTGTCGGCAAAGCTAAGAGTCTCATCCTCCTCCAGGTCGTCATCATCGTCATCATCGATGATCCGGAATGGGTGCCGCCTTGTGACGGTCAGAGTCTTGTTTACTCCCTGTATGAGACATGTAATAAGAAACACAGGTTAAGAACTTGTTTAGATACAACGTTAAGGAAACATGTCCGGGTCCGCTTTTTCATGGATAAGTCATCCAAAAGATATGCAAAACTTGAAAAAAAATTAAACAGAAATTGGAGTGGCGTGAACTGCAGCAGCTGTGCACATACAGCGAAATTCCTCTGTTGGAGGGCTTCACAATGTTGTAATTATTAGATGCAATCCACAACCTTTATTTTTTTTTCTCAAAATGAAGAAGGCAGAATGAAGAATGTTGTATTAACTAACCTGAGAAGTTGAAGGATAAAAAGGCATTTTCATCTTTGCCATTGGGTCATCATTCTTGGGTAGTTGGAATGAAGCTGATCTGACGACAGTGGATCCATTGCCCATCACAATAGGTGAAGATGATCTGTTCGAAACAACCCCTGGATGAGAGACTGTTTGCATAGTCCTAATAACCCCCGGTTTCATTAGGGCTGAGTCTGTATTAGATCTGGTAAGACTATATGGCTTAGTGTCATTGAGGACGATCGTCTTCTTGGTCGTTGGCTGCTGCACGCCCGGGCTTGATGGTCTAACAACAAACTTGACATACTGCTTGGTCAGTGGATTGCCTCCCTTGAGAGCGGCGAGAGTGGATGTGGTAATGGAGTTGTTGAGACCCTTCTCAGAGGATGTAGTGGTCAGAATAATAGGCTTGGTCGTGACTATCTGCTGACCGTCTGGTCTGCTGCTGATGATCTTGAGCATGCTGCCTGGTGAGCTCAGACCTCCTGCTGATGACATGGAGGTCATCTGGCGTATGACGATGGTTTGTTTAGAGGATGTCGGAAAGGCAGGCTGATGGTTCCCTGTCACTGTTCTAGTAGTACTGATCAGATTCTGTAATAGTCAATGTTAACGATTCATTATTTTCATTGATTGCTTTGAAAGTCAATATTCTTATCTTATAAATGCCAAAACCATTCACGATTGGAAATGACTAATTGGAAAATCAGTCTGAGGTGCTGGAAAGGTTTTAATTACAGACATCTTCAGGATATGTTAAAATCAAAAACACAAAGAGAACAAAGGAGGTTTGATCCTTTTCGAACAAACTGATAATTTTGCCTTTAATTTTGTTAACTTTTTTCTAAATTATTCCAGAACAAAATTGTCAATATCCAAACAATGACTTACCAAAGAACATTTTTGCTGTTGCTGATATATAAAGCAGACTATTTGATCAATAAAACAATAACTTGTCCACTGTACCACATATTGACATACATGTAAGATGGTCTTAAAAGTTACCTGTGGCTGGTTATATGAGCTTGAAGGTGTTTCTTGCAACATCTGTAGAAGTGGATCCGATTCTTCTTCCTCCACACCACTAGCAGCCATGGCCTGGCATTGAAATAGAAGAAAGGAAGGAGAGAGAGAGAGAGAGAGAGAGAGAGAGAGAGAGGGTGAGGATGAGAGAGGGATGGAAAATGAAGCAGACACACACACAGAGAAAGACAGAGACCAAGAGAAACAAAGATACAATAATTGTAACAGAGACGGAGTAAAAATGAGAAACAGAAAGAGAGAGAGAGAGACAGGGGGTGGAGACAGATTCAAATAAATAACATCCATGAGCCAATGATTCAAGTCCCATCACATCCCTGTAATTGCCTTAGTGTTTCACATGATATTACTAATCAATAATTATCTTTATATCTAGCTGTGAAAATGCAGTGAACTGCCCGTTTGAATTCTGATAGCACTTTGTTCTTTATAAATACTGCATTAGTCATGGTACAATTGATCATTATCAATACCAGCACCATTACCACCATCACAATCATCACCATCATCATCAGCATCATTGTCATCATCATCATCATCATCATCATCATCATCATCATCATCGTCATCATCATCATCATCATCATCATCATCATCATCATCATAATCATTGTCATCATCATGCTCATCATTATCTTCATTATCATCATCATCATCATCACCATCATCATCATTGTCATCATCATTATCATCATTATCATCATCATGCTCATCATTATCTTCATTATCATCATCATCATTATCATCATTGTCATCATCATCATCATCATCATCATCATCATCGTCGTCATCATCATCATCATCATCATCATCATCGTCATCATCATCATCATCATCATCATCATTGTCATCATCATGCTCATCATTATCTTCATTATCATCATCATCATGCTCATCAGCACCATCATTGTCATCATCATCACCACCACCATCATCATGCTCATCAGCATCATCATGCTCATCAGCACCTTCATCATCAGCAGCAGCAGCCCCTTATCATCACAACCACCATCATCGTCCCCATCATCATCACCATCATCGTCACCACCATCATCACCATCATCATCACCATCATCGTCACCACCATCATCACCATCAGCATCATCATCACAAGTTCACAACCACCATCACCAAAGCATCATCACCGTAGTGGTCACTCACCTGAGCCAGCACACTGCTAGGATCGCCTGAGAGGGAGTTATTCTCATCATCATCCTCCATAGAAGGGTTCAATATATCATCAAGAGATAGTCCGCTCTCACAAAGGGCAGCAGACAGGAGATCAGGTGGATTGCCTGAATCCCCCATGGTATTAACTCTAGTAATAGCAACAAAACATTTACAGATTTATTTGAAAATCTTTAAGAGTGGCATAGGATTATAGAAACAATAGCCCCGAAGTTTATGAACTTTTTGATCCAGTGAATATCAAGGCAATGTTGAGAAAGCTTGCCTAGCTAGGGGTTAAACCCATCAGAAAATCATCAGAAAATCATGTAAAATGATCTGTATTCAGGCATCCACACCAGATTAATTGTAAGAAACAAAATTAACAATGTCACTCAGGTAAAGCATTGGCAAGCTTACAAATAAGAAACATACAGTAGTCCTTTTGTAAACTGCTGCAGTTGTGTTTATAAATCTCCAAAGAGTGAATTCCCTGTGCCCCCCCCCCTTCCTGCCTGCCTATTAAACAATAGGACACTTGGTCTTACCCTGAATACACCATTACACTTACGGCTTAGTGTACTGGCTGAATTTTTCTGCACGTTTACATATCCTACAGATCCTCCATTCGCAATCTTACCCAGTTTCATAACCTAGCACACTTTTTGACAATATAGTCACTCTACTTTTAGAATCCCTTCATTTTTCTTTTTCCCAGGGATTTCGCTAAATGAACTAATCACTATTATTGTAAGTCAGGTAATTTCATGAAGACTGCATGTATTTGCGTTTGCTGCAGAATCAACCATCATGGCAAATAACTCTCATCATAGGTCACATTTTTGTAATGTAGATCGCATGTTATCATCAGGAACATGTGGAAGGTAAGCAAAGACAGAGTGCTATCACTATATCAGTATCGCTCCGCCTCTGGTAACACATTTTCCACTTTTTTTAGTGACCGAGCCCGTGGTTTTGTTGTTGTCGGTCCCGTGTGCACGTCATATTCCTTTTACTACAACAATTATATTGATTAATGGATTCAAATCCGTCAAAATCTGTGAGATCATCAACAAATGGTGAAACCGCGAAAGACCGTAACAGATCTGTGATTAGATCTATAGAGTATAGGTATGTTGTGGAGTGTATAATTGTATTTTTGTTATTATAGAATCTACATTTCATTCAATAGTAGATTCTAGAAGTCTAGATCTATTTTTCTTTTTTCTTTTTGTTAAAATCTGGCAATTTTCTGAATTAGACCCTAGTTCTAGATCTAGACAACGAGCGCAGAAATTGTATGTAGATCTAGGCCTAGGTCGTCTACACTAGATCTACGCTCACGCTGGGTACTGTAGTGACGGAGCGGAATATAACTTACTGAGCCTAAATCTTAACTATAATTATATAACCGACTATAATAAGGATTTATCCTACCATAGGCTGTATACTATACTGCTTGAAGTCTGTCTCAAGAAGCGCTTGAAGTGTTGCTCGTTGAGTGGAGCTCCACCGTCGCTAGTAGTAGTAGACCGAAGAGACAGAAGAGACGGGCAATCAACAGTGTTTGTCGCGTGCAGTCTCAGGTTCAATCTAACGTTCCCAGTGATAAGCACGCCCGCGGAAACTACCGCGGGTGTCGCCTAATGCGGGACTTACGCGCATATGCCGCCAGAGCCGTAGTGGCTCAGGCTGAATCACTACATTATTCCCCACTTAATGAGTTTGAAGCCTACTTCTAACTAAAACTAAACTAAAACTAACTTAAAACTACTCCCGTACCGCAGTGCGGGGTCACGCCGTTCCCGCTGGTGGATGGGTCAAGGACCCTCCTTGCCAGCACCGGTGAAGTCTTGGTCTTTCCAGGGGGCGGGCGCCTTTATCATACCTTATAACGTACTGTATTCCAAACTTTGGTACGGGAAATATTATGTAAAGTACAGGTAAAATGCACTGTAAAATGTAAAATGCACTGTATTCCACAATTTGGTATATTTAAGTACTAAATAGGATTCAAGTCCCGGAAATGTCCCAGGGATCAAGAACAGAAAGAAACAGAAATATACCAGTTAACCCTTACCGTGCTGGTGTCACGTGTAAATGACAAAGAATAGCAGTCCTGGCACGGGCGTAAGGGATTAACGGGGGCATTACAGGCATAGAGAAACAGAAATATACCAGTTAACCCTTACCGTGCCGGTAATACATAATGAAAAATTGCAATACGTCTTGGCACGGGCGTAAGGGATTAACCGGGGCATTACATTAAATTCCCAAGGTGACCGAGCATGAAAGTGTGAGTGATCAACATAAACGATGAATGGCAATAAGTGTGCAGAAAAGGGGAAGAGCCCAATGGCTCCCCATTCCCCAAGTGCAGTTTGGATGGTACAATGTCCAGAAACTGGGCAGTCCCACATGAGAGCCAAACGGCTCCCTACAGGCAGTCCAAACGGTGCATATAAGAAGTATTAGAATGATAAAAGCAGATCACTGAAACCAGATGGAAAATGATATAGAAGGTGAAAACACTTCCAACAAAATAAGATTACATTCTCTGGGCCACTCGGCACCCGGGGGCACCCGGGGGCACCCGTTTCATGGCCTCGAACACACATGAGTGCTCTGTCTCCCTGTGGAAAGAATGCTTCCTAGTCAGCTCTTAAAGCGGAGCAGCTATTTCAGCATAGATAACTCCGCTAACCGAAGCAGAAACTTTTCAGTTTTATTTAATTGTTATCTATTCAGTTTAAAAACATCAACACTTAAAGTTCAGGAACTCAGAATGGACGATTTACAATGAAATTAAACAGTGTAAACAACAGTGAACTAAAATATATATATTTAAGACAAACATGTTATTTCCCAGGAACAGGAACCGGCACCATGTCCTCGCGGACGAGCCGTTGTGAATGGCTTTGATAATGAACCATAATATATATACTTAACATGTTATTTCCCCCGATCAAACACGATCCGAGGAATCCAAAATGGGAGCCTGTGGGTGGGCTGGAAAAGGGAAAGGTCCTTACTCTGGAGCCCTGGACTCCCAACAACCTTACATCCTACCCGCTTCCCACTAGAAGGAGGCACCACGGCCGTCCTAGCGACTACCTGGACAAAGGGACCGACCGAAGAGTCAGGCGGGTCACTAACATTATTTACCTTGACAAAGGGACCGACCGAAGGGTCAGGCGGGTCACTAACATTAACTACCTTGTCCAAGGGACCGACCGAAGAGTCAGGCGGGTCACTAACATTAACTACCTTGTCCAAGGGACCGACCGAAGAGTCCGGCGGGTCACTAACATTAACTACACCCGTATTCACCGATTGTAGGCCTCTTGGTTTCCAGATCGGAGATCGGCCTCGGTCTCCGATCCCTCCAGGTTTTCCGGAACACCAGTAGCCACGGGAGATAGAGGGCGGGCATTGGAAAGCATAGAAAACTCCAAAGACTTAACAGTCTTCAGTATTTCTTCTAGCATACAATCGGTATTGTACGCATGCGTCTTAAGACTGGCGACTTCCTCTTTTAAATAGCCAATGTCATTCCTGGCCTGAACTTCAAAAGGCGTTGTGACCTTCCCCCGGTCCTCCACAGGAGCCGGACGGGGAACATCTCGACCTTTGGAAACGGTTGGGGAACGATTCAGGGGATGGGGTTGCCTATAACGATAAATTACCGGCTCCTCAACCGTATCATAACTGTCTACCTCCTGATCGTACATGCAAGTCTGCTGCACCTGCTGCCGAGAAGCCGAATACGTACGGCGAGCCTCGCTCCCATAAACAACACGTTGGGTATGTTGCGCCCACCTGATGGCTTCCAGGGCCTCCTCGACGGACTTCGGGCGCGTATTGAGAGCTGTTAACCCCGCCGCCTTATCCGTACAACCCTGGCATAACTGCAATACCATTTGAGTGCTGTCACCCCGTTGGTCCCACCCAAAAGCTTCAAAGGACAAAGCTTGGAGCCGATCGGACCACCCAAGGAGAGACTCCTCCGGGAGTTGGCGAGCCGTTCGAAATTCGGCTATGGCCTCCTCCGGGAATCGGGTAGCCCCAAACCGACGCCCCATCGCTGTTAACATATGGTAATAAGAATTAGTGCCCATATCCCTAAGGTTCGAAAAACAATCTGAGGCCGACCCCTCCAAACACCAGCCTAGCGCATCCAAACACTCGCTTGGACTCCACTGACACGATACAGCATAACTGGTGAACTTCCTGAGAAAGGAATGCCAACTTGTTCGCCCATCGTAATTAAGTGACCTCGGCAGACGGGGGGGCCAATCTCGGCGCCCCTGCGACCGGTACTCCCCCTGACCCCCTGATGAGGATTCCCTGGGAGGATACTGAATGTCGGGTCGGGATTCCCTGGAAGAGGGATAAACATAATCCCTACGTGGGGGTTCCCTGAAAGGCGGACCATAATTATTAGAAGGGGATTCCCTAGAAGGGGGATAACAATAATCCCTACGTGGGGGTTCTCTGGACGGGGATTCCCTAGGAGGATAAGACCTGTCGGGCGGGGATTCCCTGGACGGCGGACAGTCAACGGCCCTAAGCCGATACTCGGCTGTGGGCTCGGCTGGGGAGCTGGCCGGTTGCGGCGAGCTCCTGCCCTGCTGTTGCTCAGCCGTAGAACTGGCTACAGGCCCAGCTGGGCCTCCATCTGTAGGTTTAACTATCTTAGCCTGATAAGGCTCAAAATCAAATAAACGTAAAAGCTCCTTGGCTTCATGGAGACGGGGACACTGCATAAATAACTCCTCAGTTAAGCTCCCACATTGCTCCCTCCAACTAATAATTTTGTGGGACTTAGTTCTATCCACAACGGCCAGTAAAGCCTCCTCAGTCCCATAATTCACTTTAACCTTCTCCGAGGCCATAACCGGCTTTAAATCAGCAACGATTAAATAGCCAAATGATAAAATTAAATACACAATCTTTCCTTCTTGCTTACTTAATAATACCCTACTTAGTTTCCTAAGAGCTTACTAAGTGCCTGACAGGTAAATACTAAAACCCTAAACCTCACCGAAAAAACACCGCGGAATTATCTCCACGGTGAACAGCTTCAGCGAGCGGGCCAAAACTAAACCCTACTAAGTAACCCTAAAGGACTACACTTAAACCGGCAACAAACCTCACCGAAAAACACCGCGGAACTATCTCCACGGTATAATGCTCGGCGAGATGGCCGTACAATATTAGTAATGATGAAATGAAGATGAAATTAAATACCACCCACGATTTAACCCAAAATCCACAGATATACAAAACAATACCGACAGTCAAAAATCCCACTTAGGTACCTACCCAATCCTTCCTTCTTGCTTACTTACTAACGTACGTAGTTCCTTCAAGGAAAATACTTCTTGCTTAGACTACTTAGTTTCTTAAAGGAAAATACTTGCTTACTTACTTAGTTTCTTACTTAGTTTCTTACAGGAAAGACCTATTGCCTACTTAAAAAGTAAGAACTTACTTAGTTTCTTTCCAAAATCTTACTTAGTTTCTTACTAAAAAATTCCTACTTAAACAACCCTATACCCATAGTATACCTCACCGAAAAAACACCGCGGAATTATCTCCACGGTAATAATACTTCGGCGAGAGGGTTGAAACTAATTTAATTATACTCCTACTCACTAATTCGTAGTGATTCAGCCTGAGCCACTACGGCTCTGGCGGCATATGCGCGTAAGTCCCGCATTAGGCGACACCCGCGGTAGTTTCCGCGGGCGTGCTTATCACTGGGAACGTTAGATTGAACCTGAGACTGCACGCGACAAACACTGTTGATTGCCCGTCTCTTCTGTCTCTTCGGTCTACTACTACTAGCGACGGTGGAGCTCCACTCAACGAGCAACACTTCAAGCGCTTCTTGAGACAGACTTCAAGCAGTATAGTATACAGCCTATGGTAGGATAAATCCTTATTATAGTCGTTCATGTAATTATAGTTAAGATTTAGGCCCAGTAAGTTATATTCCGCTCCGTCACTACAATGGCGTAATCTCTGAAATAACATGTTAAGTATATATATTATGGTTCATTATCAAAGCCATTCACAACGGCTCGTCCGCGAGGACATGGTGCCGGTTCCTGTTCCTGGGAAATAACATGTTTGTCTTAAATATATATATTTTAGTTCACTTTTGTTTACACTGTTTAATTTCATTGTAAATCGTCCATTCTGAGTTCCTGAACTTTAAGTGTTGATGTTTTTAAACTGAATAGATAACAATTAAATAAAACTGAAAAGTTTCTGCTTCGGTTAGCGGAGTTATCAATGCTGAATTAGCTGCTCCGCTTTAAGAGCTGACTAGGAAGCATTCTTTCCACAGGGAGACAGAGCACTCATGTGTGTTCGAGGCCATAAAACGGCCGGCTTTTGATATCTCCCAAGTGACACTACGTGGTACTGGTTCCAATAATAAGTCAGAATATGATCATGTTTTGGGGGAGTAATTCCTCTGGAGTAATTCCTCTGGATCAACAAGAGCCTTTTGGATTTGCTTGATGGTGTTAGGGGCCTGGGTGCCCTTAATGATATCAGGAACTTGCCGGCAGTGGCTATTGTGCCCCCGGTGCCGAGTGGCTCACCTTCTATATCATTTTCCATCTGATTTCAGTGATCTGCTTTTATCATTCTAATACTTCTTATATGCACCGTTTGGACTGCCTGTAGGGAGCCGTTTGGCTCTCATGTGGGACTGCCCAGTTTCTGGACATTGTACCATCCAAACTGCACTTGGGGAATGGGGAGCCATTGGGCTCTTCCCCTTTTCTGCACACTTATTGCCATTCATCGTTTATGTTGATCACTCACACTTTCATGCTCGGTCACCTTGGGAATTTAATGTAATGCCCCGGTTAATCCCTTATGCCCGTGCCAAGAAGTTTTGCACTTTGTCATTATGTATAATCGGCACGGTAAGGGTTAACTGGTATATTTCTGTTTCTTTATGCCTGTAATGCCCCGGTTAATCCCTTACGCCCGTGCCAGGACTGCTATTCTTTGTCATTTACACGTGACACCGGCACGGTAAGGGTTAACTGGTATATTTCTGTTTCTTTCTGTTCTTGATCCCTGGGACATTTCCGGGACTTGAATCCTATTTAGTACTTAAATATACCAAATTGTGGAATACAGTGCATTTTACATTTTACAGTGCATTTTACCTGTACTTTAAATAATATTTCCCGTACCAAAGTTTGGAATACAGTACGTAGTAAGGTATGATAAAGGCGCCCGCCCCCTGGAAAGACCAAGACTTCACTGGTGCTGGCAAGGAGGGTCCTTGACCCATCCACCAGCGGGAACGGCGTGACCCCGCACTGCGGTACGGGAGTAGTTTTAAGTTAGTTTTAGTTTAGTTTTAGTTAGAAGTAGGCTTCAAACTCATTAAGTGGGGAATAATGTAGTGATTCAGCCTGAGCCACTACGGCTCTGGCGGCATATGCGCGTAAGTCCCGCATTAGGCGACACCCGCGGTAGTTTCCGCGGGCGTGCTTATCACTGGGAACGTTAGATTGAACCTGAGACTGCACGCGACAAACACTGTTGATTGCCCGTCTCTTCTGTCTCTTCGGTCTACTACTACTAGCGACGGTGGAGCTCCACTCAACGAGCAACACTTCAAGCGCTTCTTGAGACAGACTTCAAGCAGTATAGTATACAGCCTATGGTAGGATAAATCCTTATTATAGTCGTTCATGTAATTATAGTTAAGATTTAGGCCCAGTAAGTTATATTCCGCTCCGTCACTACAATGGCGTAATCGCTAATTTTTTTCCGAACCTGTTCGGGCTAGTTTTTTAATTTTATCGCGCACGTTTTTGAGCCGCCATCTTTGTCGGTATTCACTCGTGTGTTGAAGGGATTTTCTATTTTTGTAATTTCATTCGTAGGGCCTTGTAAGCTAGTTTATTCCTCATTTGTAGTTGATTAGTGCTGTAGATTAGTATTTTAGGGACTCGTAGAGTTTTTTCAGTGCTGTATTCCGATTTTTGGGTACTCATTTCGGTGTTTTGGGGATAATTTTTTGTGGTCGCACACATGTCCGAGCCGCCATCTTGGATACGTTGACTCGTGTGTTGAAGGGATTTTTTATTTTTGGAACTTTTTTCGTAGGGCCTTATAAGCTCATATTTTTTCATTTCTTGTCTACTTAGGGTTGTAGGATAGTTTTTTAGGGACTCGTTGGTATTTTTACGGCCGTATTTCGATTTTGACATCGGTTTCGGTCAGTTTTTGTACTTAAATTTGCTCGTTTTTTTTCCTACTCACTAGACTAGTTGTACAGCCGTTTTTTGTCGTGCTCGTAGTTTTGATCCTCTCGCCAGAGTTTTATACTGTGGAGATAATTCCACGGTGTTCTTTTTCGGTGAGGTATAGGGTCGGTTAAGTAGAACTTAGTAAGTAAGGGTAGGCTCTATTTAGACTAGTTTCAACCCTCTTGCCGAAATATTATTACCGTGGAGATAATTCCACGGTGTTTTTTCGGTGAGGTATACTATGGGTATAGGGTTGTTTAAGTAGGAGTAGAATTAGTGAGTAGGAGTAGATCTATAATTAAATTAGTTTCAACCCTCTCGCCGAAGTATTATTACCGTGGAGATAATTCCGCGGTGTTTTTTCGGTGAGGTATACTATGGGTATAGGGTTGTTTAAGTAGGAATTTTTTAGTAAGAAACTAAGTAAGATTATGAAAGAAACTAGTCTAAGTAAGATTTTGGAAAGAAACTAAGTAAGTTCTTACTTTTTTAAGTAGGCAATAGGTCTTTCCTGTAAGAAACTAAGTAAGAAACTAAGTAAGTAAGCAAGTATTTTCCTTTAAGAAACTAAGTAGTCTAAGCAAGAAGTATTTTCCTTGAAGGAACTACGTACGTTAGTAAGTAAGCAAGAAGGAAGGATTGGGTAGGTACCTAAGTGGGATTTTTGACTGTCAGTCTTGTTTTGGATATCTGTGGATTTTGGGTTAAATCGTGGGTGGTATTTAATTTCATCTTCATTTCATCATTACTAATATTGTACGGCCATCTCGCCGAGCATTATACCGTGGAGATAGTTCCGCGGTGTTTTTCGGTGAAGTATATTGCCGGTTTAAGTGTAGTCCTTTAGTGTTACTTAGTAGGGTTTAGTTTTGGCCCGCTCGCTGAAGCTGTTCACCGTGGAGATAATTCCGCGGTGTTTTTCAGTGAGGTTTAGGGTTTCAGTATTTACCTGTCAGGCACTTAGTAAGCTATTAGGAAACTAAGTAGGGTATTATTAAGTAAGCAAGAAGGAAAGATTGTATGTGTATTTAATTTTATCATTTGGTTATATAATCGTTGCTGATTTGAAGCCGGTTATGACCTCGGAGAGGGTTAAAGTGAATTATGGGACTGAGGAGGCTTTACTGGCCGTTGTGGATAGAACTAAGTCCCACAAGATTTTTAGTTGGAGGGAGCAATGTGGGAGTTTAACTGAGGAGTTATTTTTGCAGTGTCCCCGTCTCCATGAAGCCAAGGAGCTGGTACATTTATTTGATTTTGAGCCTTATCGGGTGGATCAGGCTGAGCAGGCACAGGGGGTGGGGGAGGGGACTGGGCAAACCTTGACTGCACAAACCCAGTCTGTCCAGAGTCCGGGTCCCGTTCCTTATGGGCATACAGTGTACCCCCCATTTTCGGGTGAAGGCCCAGCTGGGCCTATATCCGGGTCTGCGCCCTCCCCAGCCGGGCCCTCCGCCGACTATCGGCTTAGGGATGATAGCAGTGTACCCTCCAGGGAACCCCCACGTAGGGATTGTCCCTCTTCTAGAGAATCCCCTTCTAGTAATTGTGGTCCGCTTTCCAGGGAACCCCCACGTAGGGATTATGTATATCCCCCTTCTGGGGAATCCCGACCTGACATTCAGTATCCTCCCAGGGAATCCTCACCTGTGGGTCAGGGAGAGTACCGGTCACAGGGGCGCCGGGATTGGCCCCCCCGTCTGCCGAGGTCACTTAATTACGATGGGCGAACAAGTTGGCATTCCTTTCTCAGGAAGTTCACCAGTTATGCTGTATCGTGTCAGTGGAGTCCAAGCGAGTGTTTGGATGCGCTAGGCTGGTGTTTGGAGGGGTCGGCCTCAGATTGTTTTTCGAACCTTAGGGATATGGGCACTAATTCTTATTACCATATGTTAACAGCGATGGGGCGTCGGTTTGGGGCTACCCGATTTCCGGAGGAGGCCATAGCCGAATTTCGAACGGCTCGCCAACTCCCGGAGGAGTCTCTTCTTGGGTGGTCCGATCGGCTCCAAGCTTTGTCCTTTGAAGCTTTTGGGTGGGACCAACGGGGTGACAGCACTCAAATGGTATTGCAGTTATGCCAGGGTTGTACGGATAAGGCGGCGGGTTTAACAGCTCTCAATACGCGCCCGAAGTCCGTCGAGGAGGCCCTGGAAGCCATCAGGTGGGCGCAACATACCCAACGTGTTGTTTATGGGAGCGAGGCTCGCCGTACGTATTCGGCTTCTCGGCAGCAGGTGCAGCAGACTTGCATGTACGATCAGGAGGTGGACAGGTATGATACGGTAATTTATCATCATAGGCAACCCCATCCCCTAGATCGTTCCCCAACAGTTTCCAAAGGTCAAGATGTTCCCCGTCCGGCTCCCGTGGAGGACCGGGGGAAGGTCACAACGCCTTTTGAAGTTCAGGCCAGGAATGACATTGGCTATTTAAAAGAGGAAGTCGCCAGTCTTAAGACGCATGCGTACAATACCGATTGTATGCTAGAAGAAATACTGAAGACTGTTAAGTCTTTGGAGTTTTCTATGCTTTCCAATGCCCGCCCTCTATCTCCCGTGGCTACTGGTGTTCCGGAAAACCTGGAGGGATCGGAGAGCGAGGCCGATCTCCGATCTGGAAACCGAGAGGCCTACAATCGGTAAATACTGGGGTAGTTAATGTAGTTAGTGACCCGCCGGATTCTTCGGTCGGTCCCTTGGACAAGGTAGTTAATGTTAGTGACCCGCCTGACTCTTCGGTCGGTCCCTTGGACAAGGTAGTTAATGTTAGTGACCCGCCTGACTCTTCGGTCGGTCCCTTTGTCAAGGTAAATAATGTTAGTGACCCGCCTGACTCTTCGGTCGGTCCCTTTGTCCAGGTAGTCGCTAGGACGGCCGTGGGGCCTCCTTCTAGTGGGAAGCGGGTAGGATGTAAGGTTGTTGGGAGTCCAGGGCTCCAGAGTAAGGACCTTTCCCTTTTCCAGCCCACCCGCAGGCTCCCATTTTGGATTCCTCGGATCGTGTTTGATCGGGGGAAATAACATGTTAAGTATATATATTATGGTTCATTATCAAAGCCATTCACAACGGCTCGTCCGCGAGGACATGGTGCCGGTTCCTGTTCCTGGGAAATAACATGTTTGTCTTAAATATATATATTTTAGTTCACTTTTGTTTACACTGTTTAATTTCATTGTAAATCGTCCATTCTGAGTTCCTGAACTTTAAGTGTTGATGTTTTTAAACTGAATAGATAACAATTAAATAAAACTGAAAAGTTTCTGCTTCGGTTAGCGGAGTTATCAATGCTGAATTAGCTGCTCCGCTTTAAGAGCTGACTAGGAAGCATTCTTTCCACAGGGAGACAGAGCACTCATGTGTGTTCGAGGCCATAAAACGGCCGGCTTTTGATATCTCCCAAGTGACACTACGTGGTACTGGTTCCAATAATAAGTCAGAATATGATCATGTTTTGGGGGAGTAATTCCTCTGGAGTAATTCCTCTGGATCAACAAGAGCCTTTTGGATTTGCTTGATGGTGTTAGGGGCCTGGGTGCCCTTAATGATATCAGGAACTTGCCGGCAGTGGCTATTGTGCCCCCGGTGCCGAGTGGCTCACCTTCTATATCATTTTCCATCTGATTTCAGTGATCTGCTTTTATCATTCTAATACTTCTTATATGCACCGTTTGGACTGCCTGTAGGGAGCCGTTTGGCTCTCATGTGGGACTGCCCAGTTTCTGGACATTGTACCATCCAAACTGCACTTGGGGAATGGGGAGCCATTGGGCTCTTCCCCTTTTCTGCACACTTATTGCCATTCATCGTTTATGTTGATCACTCACACTTTCATGCTCGGTCACCTTGGGAATTTAATGTAATGCCCCGGTTAATCCCTTATGCCCGTGCCAAGAAGTTTTGCACTTTGTCATTATGTATAATCGGCACGGTAAGGGTTAACTGGTATATTTCTGTTTCTTTATGCCTGTAATGCCCCGGTTAATCCCTTACGCCCGTGCCAGGACTGCTATTCTTTGTCATTTACACGTGACACCGGCACGGTAAGGGTTAACTGGTATATTTCTGTTTCTTTCTGTTCTTGATCCCTGGGACATTTCCGGGACTTGAATCCTATTTAGTACTTAAATATACCAAATTGTGGAATACAGTGCATTTTACATTTTACAGTGCATTTTACCTGTACTTTAAATAATATTTCCCGTACCAAAGTTTGGAATACAGTACGTAGTAAGGTATGATAAAGGCGCCCGCCCCCTGGAAAGACCAAGACTTCACTGGTGCTGGCAAGGAGGGTCCTTGACCCATCCACCAGCGGGAACGGCGTGACCCCGCACTGCGGTACGGGAGTAGTTTTAAGTTAGTTTTAGTTTAGTTTTAGTTAGAAGTAGGCTTCAAACTCATTAAGTGGGGAATAATGTAGTGATTCAGCCTGAGCCACTACGGCTCTGGCGGCATATGCGCGTAAGTCCCGCATTAGGCGACACCCGCGGTAGTTTCCGCGGGCGTGCTTATCACTGGGAACGTTAGATTGAACCTGAGACTGCACGCGACAAACACTGTTGATTGCCCGTCTCTTCTGTCTCTTCGGTCTACTACTACTAGCGACGGTGGAGCTCCACTCAACGAGCAACACTTCAAGCGCTTCTTGAGACAGACTTCAAGCAGTATAGTATACAGCCTATGGTAGGATAAATCCTTATTATAGTCGTTCATGTAATTATAGTTAAGATTTAGGCCCAGTAAGTTATATTCCGCTCCGTCACTACATTATTGAATCACTACACTAAGCCGTTGTGAATGGCTTTGATAATGAACCATAATATATATACTTAACATGTTATTTCCCCCGATCAAACACGATCCGAGGAATCCAAAATGGGAGCCTGTGGGTGGGCTGGAAAAGGGAAAGGTCCTTACTCTGGAGCCCTGGACTCCCAACAACCTTACATCCTACCCGCTTCCCACTAGAAGGAGGCACCACGGCCGTCCTAGCGACTACCTGGACAAAGGGACCGACCGAAGAGTCAGGCGGGTCACTAACATTATTTACCTTGACAAAGGGACCGACCGAAGGGTCAGGCGGGTCACTAACATTAACTACCTTGTCCAAGGGACCGACCGAAGAGTCAGGCGGGTCACTAACATTAACTACCTTGTCCAAGGGACCGACCGAAGAGTCCGGCGGGTCACTAACATTAACTACACCCGTATTCACCGATTGTAGGCCTCTTGGTTTCCAGATCGGAGATCGGCCTCGGTCTCCGATCCCTCCAGGTTTTCCGGAACACCAGTAGCCACGGGAGATAGAGGGCGGGCATTGGAAAGCATAGAAAACTCCAAAGACTTAACAGTCTTCAGTATTTCTTCTAGCATACAATCGGTATTGTACGCATGCGTCTTAAGACTGGCGACTCCTACTCACTAATTCGTAGTAATGTAGTGATTCAGCCTGAGCCACTACGGCTCTGGCGGCATATGCGCGTAAGTCCCGCATTAGGCGACACCCGCGGTAGTTTCCGCGGGCGTGCTTATCACTGGGAACGTTAGATTGAACCTGAGACTGCACGCGACAAACACTGTTGATTGCCCGTCTCTTCTGTCTCTTCGGTCTACTACTACTAGCGACGGTGGAGCTCCACTCAACGAGCAACACTTCAAGTTCAGGAACTCAGAATGGACGATTTACAATGAAATTAAACAGTGTAAACAACAGTGAACTAAAATATATATATTTAAGACAAACATGTTATTTCCCAGGAACAGGAACCGGCACCATGTCCTCGCGGACGAGCCGTTGTGAATGGCTTTGATAATGAACCATAATATATATACTTAACATGTTATTTCCCCCGATCAAACACGATCCGAGGAATCCAAAATGGGAGCCTGTGGGTGGGCTGGAAAAGGGAAAGGTCCTTACTCTGGAGCCCTGGACTCCCAACAACCTTACATCCTACCCGCTTCCCACTAGAAGGAGGCACCACGGCCGTCCTAGCGACTACCTGGACAAAGGGACCGACCGAAGAGTCAGGCGGGTCACTAACATTATTTACCTTGACAAAGGGACCGACCGAAGGGTCAGGCGGGTCACTAACATTAACTACCTTGTCCAAGGGACCGACCGAAGAGTCAGGCGGGTCACTAACATTAACTACCTTGTCCAAGGGACCGACCGAAGAGTCCGGCGGGTCACTAACATTAACTACACCCGTATTCACCGATTGTAGGCCTCTTGGTTTCCAGATCGGAGATCGGCCTCGGTCTCCGATCCCTCCAGGTTTTCCGGAACACCAGTAGCCACGGGAGATAGAGGGCGGGCATTGGAAAGCATAGAAAACTCCAAAGACTTAACAGTCTTCAGTATTTCTTCTAGCATACAATCGGTATTGTACGCATGCGTCTTAAGACTGGCGACTTCCTCTTTTAAATAGCCAATGTCATTCCTGGCCTGAACTTCAAAAGGCCCTACGAATGAAATTACGAAAATAGAAAATCCCTTCAACACACGAGTGAACGCCGACAAGATGGCGGCTCAAAAACGTGCGCGATAAAAAAAAACTAGCCCCTACAGGTCCGAAAAAGAGCGATTACGCCATTGTAGTGACGGAGCGGAATATAACTTACTGAGCCTAAATCTTAACTATAATTATATAACCGACTATAATAAGGATTTATCCTACCATAGGCTGTATACTATACTGCTTGAAGTCTGTCTCAAGAAGCGCTTGAAGTGTTGCTCGTTGAGTGGAGCTCCACCGTCGCTAGTAGTAGTAGACCGAAGAGACAGAAGAGACGGGCAATCAACAGTGTTTGTCGCGTGCAGTCTCAGGTTCAATCTAACGTTCCCAGTGATAAGCACGCCCGCGGAAACTACCGCGGGTGTCGCCTAATGCGGGACTTACGCGCATATGCCGCCAGAGCCGTAGTGGCTCAGGCTGAATCACTACAGTACTATTATTATTGGCCTCCCTAATTGAAAATTTTGGTTTAAAATCTACCTAGAGGTCTTCTTCCTCTTCTTCTTCTTCTTCCTTTTGAGTACAGACCTCTTTACAGAGTATTATCGTACAAACTATTATTAAATGTGCAAAAGATCTACACCCATTAGAAAGCAATGCAACGACTGTGTTTACAAATGAATAGTCTACCACTAGCCCACTGCACTATTAGTACCAGTGCAGCGCCAGCGCGCGGTACGAATTAATCATGATCATACACGATGCAGATGGAGATAGATGACTCCACCGTATTTGTCCCTCAGCGTCGTGCCGTTTATGCAGATAAAACAAAAGTAACCCACTAATTACTGCCCAAAATCTGCAACATATAATGTAGCAACTGATGATAAAAAGGAAAGATACGATACCTCAGTTTATTGTCGCGAAATAATGGAGTCCCTTAACTTGAAGTTGCACTTGGTATTGCGGAAGTCCGTCGAGACGAACGAACTGCACATGTACGTATCCGGAGTCCGAGATAGATTGTGCATGCTGCATACACTAGCTATGCGCAAGATGATATGCATGCGTGCACAGTGCAGAACTGAAAAAACCGGTCAAATCTTATGAGGACGTTGTATGGCATTGCCAATCTAACAAACTATTAGGAAATATATGATATAATATAATTTACCACTAAAAACTAGTTTATATGCTCATATTATATAAAAAATAAGTATTTATTTTTTATTTTTCATATCAATAAACGTTTGTAGTGTGTCATGAGGATTTTAAGACTACTTTCAGTAAATTCTATTAGATTGTTAAACAAAAAATATGTATAAACGGATAGATAATCAAATCGCATGGAATATGACTGAATAATGTAAATTCATGATGGACATTTTGTATTTCTGGTTGAAAAATCAATCGAAAAACAAAACTAGAGATTAAACTGTGTAAACTCCGGTCTTCATTTGAAACAAAACGATCTACAAAAAATTAGACGACTTAAAAATATATTTTACATTCAAGCGTACTTGTGTAGGTTTGCTATAAGACAAAATATGCCACGTAGAGGTCACGAATGCTCTCTACTTGCTGCTATGCGCAGCAGTGTTCCTACTAACTTCTGGCACAAAATCTGTAGTACGCGTGGCAAAATATGAGTGATCGACAATATAGGGAATAACACAGCTTGTTGTATTGACTCTCATGCATTGAGCTTGCAGGCAAAAGCTTGATTAAAAATTGTTCTTGTTTTGAAACATTAATTGTACAAGATGGCAACTTATCATTACGTCCTTTTTATTGCTTTTTTTGTCATGTGTATGACAACAGTAAAAGCATATTTCATTGCCATTGATGCCCATGCAGAAGAATGTTTCCACGACAGAGTGTCATCTGGGACAAGAATGGCCCTCACATTTGAAGTTGCAGAGGGAGGATTTCTTGACATTGATGTGAAGGTGAATATGAAAAAATATTTTCATTACTCTTTCCTCAAGTATTTATTTGCATTCATCCTTTTTCTTTCTCAGATTGTGTAGTTATTTAACACATATTTGATTTGATTTTGTGTTCTTGTGTATTGTTAAATTTATACTCTTAGTCTTACTCTTAGACTTATGAATTTTGTTATGAATATATTATTGATGATGATGGGGAATTGTGTGTCTGGTCAGCTGTCAGTGAAGTTCGAACGCTTTATAAAATAAAGCAGTCACTGCACTGACACTGTTGCCTTTGTTTATAACCAAAATGTTTTGTCAAATAACCCCAAACCATCATAGATATTCGTTCTTTTGTATAACATATTCTTCAAAGATGTATGAAATGTAATAAATATTGCATTTAAACATCTTCAAGTCACTGTTTTAAATCAACTGTCCAGATACCATAGAACAAATTTTTTGTCTCTTTTGTCTTGTTTTGGGTAGGGTCGGCTCCTCTAAAGAGAGGAGCCAACCCTACCCGAATCAAAGGAGCCAACGAACGAAACGAAAGAGACAGAAATTTGGTCTCCAGATCGATACCACAGCCTGTCCAGACACACATTTTGGGTATAGGCCTAGACCTTATTCTTATTTCTTTACTTAATTCTTTTTTAAAGGGGACAAAGTTGAAACTTTCCTCATCATGCCCTGACTGAGTCCATGTTCCCCCTTTTCCCTCCATTTGTCCCTATTTGTCATTCTTAGAGTCCAGTATCTGTAAAGTAGACGTTAATAGACCCTCTAGCTCTACTTCAAATCATAAATGAATGAAAATATTAATGATATGAATTATTCCTCTTGTAATGATTTTCTTTTTTACCGTTAGAAATTAATCTTTCAACCCTACACCAACATATAGGAGACCTCACCAAGCATTTGTCTTTCCCTTAATCTCTTTTCTTTGTCTATAGACTGGATCTGTGTGTCGTTTATTTGTTGTTGTTGTTTTCTTTTCATTTTTTTTTTTTTGTTTTGGTCAAACAAGGGCAAATCCCATTGAATTGGTGGACAGTCTGACAGTTATTGAAATGTAAAGGTAGTTTGTTCCAAAGTTCAGCGGAAGCTTTGCAAAATGAGCGATGACCATAAGAAAGAGTTGACACCGAAGAAGGCACGAGGTTTAATTGTGAAGATGACCATAGACTGCAGAGGGTTTGTATTCCTGGATTAGTTCTTGCAGATAAATTGGTGCCAATATTTGAACACAATTATAAATTAAATCCATGTAGCTGTTGAATTATGAGTAATGTGTACCTATGTTTGCCCTTCTTAACCTCAGATTTCTGGACCAGATGGTAAAGCTATTCACACAGGGGAGAGAGAGTCCAATGGTAAATACACCTTTGCAGCTCACATGGATGGAGTTTACAGATACTGCTTCAGCAATAAGATGTCAACAATGACACCTAAGATTGTTATGTTCTCTATGGATGTAGGAGACCAACCTAAAGATCAAGGAATAGAAACAGAAGGTAGGTTAATCTGGCTTGAAAATATTTTTTTTTTAAATAATTTTAAAAATCCTGAAATGAGTATGCTTACATGCTCTTCTTTGAATACTGTAAAACAGTGTCTTTTACAGATAGTTTGATGATAGGGAGCCTCATACTGCCTAGCTTAGATATCTGGCTTGAAAACTTTGTTTTGTGGATAATTAAATAAAATCCTGAAATGATTAAGCTTATGCTCTTCTTTGGAAGCTGTAAACGAAAATCAGGAGAGAAGACAGCCTTTACATTTTGTCTTTGTAAAAACAACATGCCTTTAATATGTGAAATTGAAATAGGACTGAGGAATGCGTACTAGATGATTATGAAAGTCAACTTACAATGAGCATTTTAGACAATATGAACGTTGACTTAATACATCATTTCATCATGTGTATAATTGTATAACTTTAAAGTATTTAAATCTTCCATGTGCTGCAAAATGTTTGCTATTTGAATAGCCATCAATATCTCATTCCTTATTTATATAATTTCTGGGATTTTTTCCTTCTCATTATCATATTTTAAAGGGATAGAAGTAACATACAAATTATAGTCTCTTGTAACAAAATACCAAATGTGATGGAGTACACAAAATTTCCCTGAAAAATAGTTTGTTCAATGTACATGTATGTGGCATAGTTTGCCAGATATTGTAATAAATAATGGAATTGCCAATGTCTCTTTTATCCATCGTGTCTATGAGTCCCTGAGATTCCCTCTTTCTTGCTATTATTGATCCTACTCTTGTTTCACCTTTCTTCTCTTTCAGAGCATCAGAGCAAACTTGAAGAGATGGTGAATGAACTAGCAACAGGTCTTACAGGGGTCAAACATGAACTAGAATATATGGAAGTCAGAGAAAGGGTTCATAGATCAAGTAAGTAATCATTTAATCTAAAACCTGTCAGTCTCTCTTCTTCTCTGTTACTTTCCATGTATATTTGTTTTTATATGTGGTGTGTGAAGACTACTTTTACTATTTTACTGTAAAACATAACTTTTGTAGTTTTGTAGATGTCTTGTAAAGATGTATGAATATGTGGGATTGTCACATTTCATTTGCCATGAAAATAAAGTCACAATTATAGGGAATGATAAATGCTCAATTTTGCTTTAATTGTCAGCTTAACAAGGTTCATATTGACATAGAATGACAAAGATGTCACTGACTTATGACTGTCACTACTCTAATTTCTCAGACAAGTGTAACTAATTTATTTCTTCCTAAGACTCCATCCGTGGTCACAGTTAATACTTCTTGATCTTTCTTTGAATGTCAAACATTTCATTATTTTGCCCATTTCAATGTTTGCATTTTTCAACTTCATATTAATCAATTCCTCCTTTTTTTTTATTTTCATCTTTTTTCCCACTTGCAGTTAACGACAACACAAATTCCAGAGTGGTATTATGGGCATTCTTTGAGAGCTTGGTGCTGGTTGCCATGACGCTAGGACAGGTGTATTATCTTAAGAGATTCTTTGAAGTCAGGAGAGTGGTGTAAACATTAAGCACTAAGTAGTTTTAAATATCAGGGCCCATATTCATAAAACTTTATTAGGCCTAGTACCTTATTCTGAAAACTGTATTGTTATCTCTAGTGTTAATGGAGAGAATGTTCATTTTCACCACAAATTAAAATTGCTCAGAACAAACTCTTTTTGGTGCTCCCACAGGTTTCTCTGTAAAATATTTACTTTTTAGCAGAAAATGTCAGAAACTAACTAGCGACCTTTCCTAGATTTAGTATAACAATTAAGAATTAAGAAAATAATATAGTTTTGAGAGTAGGATGATTACTACCACCAGCATATGCCTAACAGGTGTGTAAATAACTGAAGACTGACTTATGTTTTATGAATATGGGCCTATAGAACTGTAGATTGGGGTTATGTAGACATGAAGGTCATCTTGGTTTCTTGTCATGAAGATTGCTTCTCTTATTACAATAGAATTGACACCGACTGTCAAGAACTAATAAGGACGTTGTTCACACAGTATTGTTTTTAAACTTCTGAATGACTTTTAGACAATTTCTTTTGATATACAGTTTAATAACTCCAGGTCATAAATTTTCAATGGAATGAAAAGAAATGATCATTGCTGATAGTGTGATACACACCAAGGAAATCCAACTAGAAATAGTTATTAATTTGTGTCCACATGTAGATTTTTATCATCTTTTCTTCTAGAAAGGTCTGTATGCTTCTTGCTGAAAATGTTGAAAAGTAGTTATCATTCTGTTTAAAGCAAGAAAGGCGTCAACTCTGTGTTAGAGTGTATGAGTTAAAACCCTTCTTCCTCCAAACAGAGGATATTTACCCTTGCCATGACATGGTAATCTCATTTAGTGAAATACTAAATGAATCTTAAGTATGGACTGTAACTCCATTTGTCATCTCCAGGAAATTAATTGAACAAGGAAAACTGTTTCTAGTGAATTTCAATATCTCAAGTTGCTCAATATTTATTTTGTTACAAAAATGGCAGTTTGATATAGACTGTAATGGTTTTATATTGTAAACACTAAAACCAACAAAAGTAAAGTTTAGATAAATTTACAATTAAGTGTTTTTTTTGCATTGCGACTTGTTTTACCTTTGATTTTTTCCCAACTTTTTTGTGTGTTTAGAAAATTACGAATATATGTTGAAATGTTCTATAGGAATTTAAAGGATAAATTGGTAGGCAACTATACTACTATAGGGTAGAGAAATAGAGTGAAGCACATAGTCCCCTTATGTATAAAAATTGTATTTATTATTATTACAGCATTGCACATGCATTTCTTTTCTTTCTTTTTTTCCTCATTGAGATGTAGGTACTACTTGAGTTAATCAGTTGGAAACTATTTGTAAAGATGTAATCATCGTAAGTAAATGTAGAAGTACATGGAATGCATGAATTCTTGAGGAACATAGGGAATAATTGGTTTATTGTTTAAATTAAAATCTCTTTGGATATCTTTTTCAGATTTGTTATTCGATCTGTTCTGCATCGGTTTCCTGTTATGTCTATTTCATCATGTTTTTGATATGTTGAATATGCTGTTTTTCAGGTTATCAAATTTGAATGTTCTTTAATTCATATTATTCTTGGAATAAAGTGTTTTTTAATGACTTAAAATCATGACAGAGAAAGTATATAAAGCCATTATGGTTGAGGTGTGTTTTAAAAATAGATTCCTTTGTATTTGCAGGTATTATTCCATGAATTTCCATCTAAGTTATAGGGATAACAATAGCATGCATGGTTATAGCGATCTTACCATTCTAAAATATGACATATTAGATGTGAATTGATTACTGTTAACCAAGGTTAACAATTTAAAAAAAAATTGTGATGTGCAATTCATCTGACAATATTTGTTTTCTTTTCCTAGTTGGGTCATTTATATATTATGTGTTTTACTGTTGGATTCTCGTTGTCAACATCCATTATGTTTAATGTGTCACAATGTTTTTAGGTACAAACTTTTATTCCAGGTTGTATAACTACAATGTATGGTACCTAACCGAGTATCTAGAAATTATGTGTTCAGACAAGGATATTGCCAAGTTATTGAACACATCACATTCTCAAATTATATATTTCAACTTTTTTAAGATGAGGTATATATTGAGGCATGATGCAAGAATGCATACCAGTATTTAAATGTAAAGCTGGAGTTACAATGTTTATCCTCATTTCCTTTGTACAATAGCATGTGAAGGTGGATATTAATTTTTAATTTACATATGTAAATGTGAAATTTAGGTATTCTCTTGGTTTTGATACAAGTTCGTAGTTTGTTGTAATGCCTTTCTTTGGTAAGGATGGTGTTATAGTTTTGCCTTTAGGTATGAGACATGTAAGATGATCGGAATAGAACAGAATGTTATCAGTCTTGGTACAGTCAATTCAATTGGTTATACTGGTACATGTAGTTGTTACTTGTTAGTCATTTATTTTCAGTGTGCATGCAGTGATGAGAGTAGTAGGCAAGAAATACTCTATAAAGTACATTGTTATCTGTTCAGCTTTGTATATTGATAAATATTTCTCTTTCTTTTCTTTTCTTTTCTTTTGATTTTGTTTTTTGTTAAATTCTTATCAAGTTGTAAACTTTGAAATGCTCATGTATATACACATGTACATGTAAAGTTCTGCATTTTCCATGATTTATTAAAGACTTCTACTTTATGAAATTATCTATTATATGCCTCTTGTGTGGGTTTGTTTATACAGGGTGTCTAAAAGAAACTACAATGAAATTTAAATTTTGTCCTGTTTTGGTTTTATGGATTAGCATTAGTGTGTTGTTTATTTGTGCGGTGTTTAGGGGGTGGGGGAAGTCCAATGTGGGTTAGTATGTTGGTGTTAAGAGTATGTTAGTAAGTTAGGTTATAGTGTTAGAAGCCATCAAAGACTGCATGTAGACATCTCATTTGGGACTCGCTATGGTCCATGATAATACCCCCAGATTACTGAGACGACTTGATGGGCATTGTGTCACAAATTATTTTGACCCTAGTAATAATCATTATAAAATGAAAATGGACCAAAAAAGATTGCCAAAATATGCTGCCCATATAGAGGTAGAAACTAGAAAGTTATAGTATTTTACCACTTGGATGCTGAGTTTATGTGTCACAGAAAATGATATAGACTGTTGCAATCTCTTTGTTATAATGTACCAATGTTAACTCTGAATAATAATTGGCCGTTAATAAAAGAAAAACATCAAAGAAGAAGTACAATAAATATGCTTATCATGAGTGATTTTTTTCTTCTTCTAAAGTGACAAGAAAATAAATGACTGTAATGTCCTTCAACACTCTATATCCCCCGCTTCCCCTCCCCGTTGTTTTCTAAAGTCATTCTAACTTATACTTTATTTCAAAACTTACCAAATCAGAAATTATAATAGCTTTTTGAGAATAGCCTACATGGGAAAAATAGGATCATACAGAATTATCACAAAAATAGAATTATATAAAATGCCAACCATAATTAATTAAATTATAATTACAGAAAAATCAGACATTGACCAAAATATAGGGTAGAAATTTAGAATTTAAAAAAAAACTAAATGAGTAACAAATCAGAACAAGAGCAGCGGCAAGTGTTTAGCAATGTCGTACTTTTTGACGTACCGAGCGACCATTATGAATACCGGTATTCATTTATTGCATGCGTGTGCGGTACTTTCACAACAAGGAAGGTTCTGCAATTCTGCAATTTATTGTACGACTACGTGACGTTCCTCATCGTTTGACTTAATTTTGCAGCAATACCGGTGAGCAAAGAACGATTTTTTTTTTTTTTTACTGTATAATTAATGAACGAATGGACTCAAAATATCTTTGAAAAAGATCAAAATGCAGACCAAATGTATTTTTGGGGTATATTTTGTGTGTGTGCTCGCGTTTTTTCCTTCTGACCGGATGGAAACAACACAGATTATAAGCTGTGGGACAATACTGTGGACCATAGTCTATTCACACACAAGACAGTGCACTGTTATGTTAGAAATTCCCTCTGGAATTGTGTTGATAGGTCTATTTTTGTCACTGAATGTCATTGTCTCATAGAATGAACCATAAAAAGATGACTGAGTGAGTGCTATATATACTAAATTATGATATGAATATTGAATGATGACCCGATAGTGAATTGATTTTGTTTTCAATGCCAAAATTTAACCAAAAAGGCAAAGGCAAAGCAACAACAAAAAAGGTTTTCTCTAGCAAAGCTAGCATATCACAAAACTTTCAAAAGAACAAATGCGCTGACATCCAGTTGACACAGGTGAATATTCTTCTCAATGGAATGTTGCCAATCTTGCACTTACAACGGTTTCATGAAATGATGCCTACCCCCAGGGTGATGTGGAAGAGGTTTTTTCAGTTTAACATCTCTTGAATTTTAACGCTGGCTCTTCTAGCTTCTCTAACACAAAAAGAACCCTCCCATACTCCCTGCAGTCATCTTAATAATATCTCATTATCTGCCAGTGTAAAATATACTTTCAGTTCACAGGATCTCTTAATCTAAATACAAAGTTTAGGACTTGGTTTTGTAATTTACTAGCATACATGTAAGTGCAATTTTCTCAGTGATATTTAAGTATTTCATTGTTAAAATCCCAAGAGCTCTTTTTCAGTTTAAAACCTGAGCAAATTATTGCAATTAACACAAAATGTTCAACTCTGTTTTACTTTGTAGTGCCACATATAAATATTTAAACAAAAACAAGAAGTAGGGTCTCAATTTGAGCCCTGCTATCATTCTGATGTTGTTCTCAACTATTAAAATTGATCATGATTTGGTCTTGGGTCATATACAGTTAAAGGTAAAGACCAGTATTGGAAACGCCCCAATTTCAAAAAATGAAATGGAAGCTCTCATAACTAATCATGTGAAAGAATATGTTTTGACTAATACATGATGATAAAAAATTTGCCGGGAAACCGCCTAATAATTCATATATTTGGTAAATTTGTTTCTCTCATGGACTGTGAGAGATATAGGGTAGTCCCATATACATGTACATCTTCCTGTGTATAGTACTTGTAACTTTATGAAGAATGGGCCAAATTTCTTATCATTTTGATGATTCCAGAACCTTGCAGATGCTAGATGCTAGATGATCAACCTTTTCTGATCGATTCCACAATGTTTCTTTCACAATGCAATTGCATGACCATAACTGGTCTTTACCTTTAAACCATAATATCTGTGACAATGTGAAAGTAAATTTTATCAAATCTATGATGCTGACCAACATATGTGTGATCTACTTTCAGGTACAACTGAGAATTGACAAGATGAGTTTTGTTGAAAGCCTGCCACCACACTGGACTAATGACAGCCTGACAAAGAAGAAGGCTCTTCTGTGTAACAAGATAGTAAGCATCCTATACAATACCTAATCTCTATAAATGATTAATCATTTGAAAATAATTAATGAGTCACTGTCTCTATTTTGATAGAGTGAAACAAGTTATAGGAGTTTTTTAAATCCCTCTGGCGCTATATGTGTTTAAAAAATTATCATAAATGAAATTGAAAGAGTCAAATTTAGTAGTAGGCTTTGTTTTATTTTTAGATTGGGCTTAATATATTTATTGTTTCAAACCTTTAAATGAAAATCAACAGATTGTCTACACTCTACACTTTGCTTTGAAAGTTGGGAGTCCTCAATTGATTTCCTAATTTTGCAAGAATAAGAAATTGATGGAGGTTTATAATCAAAGGAAAGTAGAGTCACACCTGTCTATTGAGGCTGCCCAATGGAAACAGCAAAAGTTGTCAGTGTAGACAGGTGGCCTTTTAAAGGCAGGTTTATAAAACACAAATTATTTCTCCAGGGAGACAAAATGCATGGTCATTATAGACAGGTGACATTTATAGAGAGGTGGCCACTAAGATAGATTTGACTGTATACCATTATGATATGATTCAGAATGTCTTCTGTACTTGTGATTAGTGTACTGCACTCTACATTTGTTATCTTTTGTTCTTCTATTTGAAAAAAAGTTTCTTTCTGTTTTTCAAACCTTTTCTTTTGTTATCATGATTTTTGCAGAAGAATCCTTTTTGCATGTCTTTGAAGACCTTTCCCACCAGCAAGCATCAAAGACTAACCAGACAACCAGGCGTCAACTTCAAGACCAGGTAAGAACACTCAAGGCCCCATTTCACAAAACTTGTCATCAGTGACAAATGACAGTTTTTGTTATAAGCTACTGAAGTCCTTGCCTCTGATTAGTTATCAGCAGATTTGTCACTGATTTTTGTCATTTGTCATTGAAAAATGGCTTTGTGAAACACTCCCCAGGAATGTTCTCAAGAAAAGATGATCCCCTGGTGAACCTCTATCAAAAAGTTGTTTAGTATGAAAGGATTTACAGAGATCCAATTAATATCAATTTGGTAATCTCAGACAAAATTACACATTTTGTATGTACAGTATTGTTTTTATACATCTTTGTCTTTTACAAGATATAATATAAATAACAATTTAAAGTCTCACACATAGGAAATATAAGAAACATTGCTTTTAGCTGGATACATTTCTACAGGTGACGGGGTTGTAGAAAAAGATGTCTGCTTTACTTGCTTGTTTTGGATACACTTGATAAAGTACCATACAAGTGTTCGAAAATTTGTACCATTATGCCTGTATTTATTAAGAAATCACATTTTCAGCACAGCGTTCAATTGTCCCTCATTGTTTACAGGAGTGGTGTTGTGTTCAATCCAATCACGCCCTTGGAGATCTTACGAGGAACCTTACAGAAGCGAATCAACAAGGATATCCATTGCATATTCCAGTATTATGCTCAGGTAGGTCTCTTGCCAATATTAGGGACTTTTAGATTTGCACGTCGACAGCTTTGACTGCAACGTGTGACGTTATTTTAAGGCACTGCGCATGCGTCACGTCGTTTCAGTCGGCGATCGAAAATGCGTCAACCTTGATTTTCCTAAATCTAGTACGGTACTAGTATATGCCGCGTGTGCGTAAAATATACAGTTCCTCAGGTAGACAAAGGAACATCCCTTCCCTGCCATTATGTGAAAATGTGTAGAACAGGTGTCACTTGCATATTCACCTGTTCTACACATTTTTACATAATAGCAGTGAAGGGATGTTCTACCACAGCAGTAGGCCATTTTCGTAGTGTAACCAAATTTAATGCATAAGTCTTTGTGAAGTGCCTCAATACAAATTATTTCATTCACCTGATAGGAATAATAGTAATTCAATATTAAGTGTTGCTAGGTAGGTCAAGCCATCATGTTGTCCAACCTGGCAACAATTAATGTATGCAGTTCGGATTCTTTCTATTAAAATACTATTATTCTTATCAGGTGAATGCAATAATCTGTATTGAGGCACTTCACAAAGACTTATGCATTAAATTTGGTTACATTACGAAAATGGCCTATTGTTGAGGGTAGAATGAGGAACTGTATATTTTGTCCTCTTTCTTTGTCCGTCATATTCATAGTGTTACTTACTGCATGCATGTATATCGCCGAGTGCAATCTAAAAGATTTCTAATTGTAGTCAACATGGGCAGTTGAGTACGTTGACACGCATGATCAGTCGGCGTTCGTCGTGTTCTCGTCCACTCAATCTAAAAGTCCCTATTGTCTGCGAAACTAAATGTTCGTTATTTTGTTATTAGCATTTTAAAGGATATAATTCTCTGACAAGCATTGTTTGAATGTAGGAACGTATGAATATTATATGAACTTATTTACCGGCAGTGCTTAATTTTGCATCTACACAATGCACTGTTCTTGTTAATATGTATATTAAAATCTTCAAAATTACTTAAGAGTTTACTAGGTGGCTCTTAAAAAGAAATACATTACAAAATGAAAAATCTAGTATGTGCATTATTCTACCTAATGAAACAGGAAAGGGGGAATAGGTATGAACGTAATTGAATTTTATGAAGTATTTGATCTGAGACTTCTTTATGTAAGATTCTTGTTTTTTAAGCTACATCATTTGCTATTTTTAACAATACTAATCTCGACTGTCAATTCTGAGTAGTTTTTGTTAGTCACCTTGGTTACCGGTATGTGTTCTCTCACTCTCTGTCTCTCTTGGATTTTTTTTCTTCATGTGCCACAACTTCAGTTTTGTACTGTAATGATGAAAATAAAACTGCATTTCAATTTCATTTCAGTTTTTCTACATGGCTGTTGAGAACATGAGAGAGAACTATGGAGCAGACAGCGTGACTGAAGAACATGTATTGACTGTCTTCAGGAACAGCTTGGAAGCGGTAAGCTGTTTAAATATTTATTATTCTTATTATTGTCTCAAGAAAAAAGGAATTTTTATATGAATTTCAATTTGAAGGGAGAGTCTGCCAGATATGAGGCCTTTGCTTACAATCTAATGCATATGCATTTATCAAGATGCAGATATAGACCATCTGTGTGTGGTGGCTTGGCTTAGCACCTGCAGTCTCTGTGTACCAGTACACAGTGAAGTTGAATAGTCAGTATAGAACAGTGAATCTCCTCTGATAACTTGACATGCAAGTGAATGGAGTAAATATGGATAAGGTTGTAATTTCCTGTGAGTAATGTGAGTAATTGCATTTATACTCCACATTATTGTTTACCATCACAATTTCCACACTCTATTCCACCCTTCTGGAGTGGAAAGAGAGACATTTAATAGGCAATATGTACAGGCACCTTGTGGTAATTACCGACTTCTCATTACCACACTATACAGGCCAAAGATCTATTCTATTCATCCGATTATCATACAGGCAAAGAAAAACAAAGGGGGACAATAGTAATGGTTACATTGTAGTAGCGACTATCTCATCTGTCCCATCCTGTACAGGCCAAAGATTTATTTCGGTCCTCTGATAAGCAGACAAGTAAAGAGAGACAGTCACCAGTAACCAAGGGAGACAAAAAAAAGTGGTCTTTATAGACAGGTGATCTTTATGTACATGTTTCAATGAGAACCCATTTTCAAGGGAAACAAAAAATGTGTCCTTTGTAGATGGGTGGTTTTTGTAGACAGGTGGTCGTAAAGCAGGTTTGACTGTAGCATTTACCATTTTCTATTTTTCACACTGTACAGGCAAAGGATCTATTCCAGCCCTCTGGGAAGCAGACAGGTAAAGAGAGACATGGATCAGGTTCTCATAAGATCAATGTCAAGATGCATCTAGATAAGATGAAGACATCAGAAGCTGTGCTCAGAAGGAATGATGATGAAGATTGTGATGAACCAGAGAGAAAGGTCAGTCCTTCATCTTGGTGATATCAATCAAAGTTTTACAGTTTTGTAATATAATGCCTTAGTAGGTTGTGCACACTTTTTGTTTTCCTTCTTCGAAATGTTTGCAAAACCATATATTGAAAAGTTAAAGTAAAGTGTTTACCATCTAATTTTATGAATAATGACAACAGGATACATCACTTTTTATTTGAAACAGGAATGTTTCAGACCCTCAAAGCTTTTGCATCATTATTGAGAAATACTATTGGTCCTAAAATGTTCAAATTATTAATATTTAGATCTTGTTTTACTGTTTGCAGAGATCCAAGCACAATCCAGACAACAACTCCACATTCTCACTGAGGCCACCTCCTAGGATACAGACAAGGAAGGTATGTCTAAATAATAATAATAATAATAATACACTATTTATATAGCGCAAAATAAACATAAGTTTCTCTTTGCGCTGTACAAGTTTATATATAATCACATAAAAGGAATCAATACAGAGAAATATACAAATCTTATACTACTAAAATAACTAAGTAAGTAAGGATAGTTTAAAATAATTAATTAAGGCTAAAGAGGTGCGTTTTTAGTGAAGATTTGAATGTTGCAGAAGTGGGTGCCTGCCGTATGAAATTGGGGAGATTGTTCCAAAGGTTTGGTCCAGCAACTGCAAATGATCTGCCCCCATAGAATATAGTATTGGTTTTTGGTACACAAAGTAATGCTTGATTGCTTGAACGGAGGGTTCGGGGTGAGTGGTATTGTTTGAGCAAATCAGTCAGGTATGAAGGAGAAGGACTATGTTGTGCTTTAAATGTAATTAATAAGAGTTTGAATATGATGCGCATATCTACAGGAAGCCAGTGTAGTTTCTTAAGAGTACTAGTTATACTTTGTTGGCGTGGAGTGCGAGTGACCAGTCTCGCTGCAATGTTCTGTATCATCTGGATCAGGTGAATATCAATTGCGGGAAGTCCAAACAACAAGCTGTTACAGGAGTCTAATCTGCTTGTCACAAATGTATACTAAACATCTTGAATCTAGTCAGCTTATCACCTTCCTCAGCTGAGAAACTACACCCAGTATTCATGTGCATTGTAAATAGAGTATGAAGTTATTCCATAGTTGTCAGTGAAAAATACATAATTTTTCATAAATAATTTTTCACTAATAAAGTCAATAGTGATTGAGACATTTTCTGTTTAGATCCAGAAGGGCATTAACCCACAATTTTCACAGAGTTAACACCCTTCTTGCTCCAACTAAGAAGTTTGCTCCCATATTAATTATCCCCTACGGCTCTTCCTTTAAAAAAATTGCTATATACATGTACGTATTATGTCAGGCGGCTTGAGCATTCCTTTGGATGGGTGCATAAGAAATGTTGCTACAGTGAAACCTGTCTATAAAGACCATCCAAGGGAGACAAGAAATGTTGTCTTTATATGGCGGTGATCTTTAAGCACAGGTTCCTTTAGTATTGTTTCAATGAGAAACCATTTTCAAGAAAACAAAAATGTGGTCGTTGTAGACAGGTGGTCACTAAAGCAGGTTTGACTGTATTCTTATTTTTGTACCATCAGAGGAAAGGGCGCCCTCCTGCACATCACCGTGACTACACGGATGTGATCACGACCTCCTCCTCTGGGAGCTATAAGAGTAACAAGGTCAAGGTAGAACCGGTCAAGAAAGAAGGACCAAAGTGGGACCCATCTAGACTGGTCCATGGCTCCAGGTTTGTCATGGGTGCCAAGGCTAACAAGTAAGATCATTCTTCATTTATTTGTGTGTGATCAACTTATAATTTTGTAAAGGATAAAAGTAGGGAAAGATTTCTATGTAGGTTTCTTTTGTATAAGTTTTGATAGTTGAGAGCTCCAAAATCATACTTGTTTCATAGCCTTCAATGAAAAGGAACCCAGTATATAGCTATTAAACCTGTTATATATAATATGACCGAGATGGAAAAAAATAAAACTAATAATGGCAAAATGAAAGAGAAGTAACAGTGATGATGATGATAATGACAAAAGTAGTATAAAACAGTCATAGTTGAATGTGTTAATCATTATTTGTGTTTGCTACTAGAGATAATGTTGACAGAGATTCTAGTTGAAATTTGGTAACTCCTTTTTTTTTCTCCCTCTAATATTTGTTTTCTTTCCAGAGCTCTTGGTCTAGGTGCTACCAGAGGAAGATTATACATCAAGCATCCAGAACTATTCAAGGTAAAATCTCTCATTCCTATTCCAAATCAATTGATGAACATGTTTTGAATAGGTCGGTAGAGATTTTTAAACTCATTTCAGTCTTTTGAATGTCTTAATATGAATGATTTTGAGCATAGACATTTTCTGAATGCCAGTAGATAAGTCCATACCATATAAAAAAAAGATCTCATGGAACTCATAAGTAGAAATAGGCAACTTACATAGATATGTTACCCCTGGCAGTCAAGGCACTTCACTGGCAAGTAATGTTCCCATGGTATTCTATGAGCAGTGTTTTATGGAATAAACTGACTTACTCTGAAAGTAGAGAAACCAGGGAGGTGTTTCATAAAGCTGTGCGTAAAGTTGTGCATGACTTTACGAATGACCTAAATGGGATTCTAAAATCCTTTTATTTGCATACCGGTAAGCTAAGTTGAAATATGCAGATGTAGCTTAACCTTATCATTATTAACAAAAAATTGTAATTTAAAGTGCATTTTTGGCTACAATGTAATTGAGATTATTGGAAATACAGTCAAACTTTTTTAAAATGTCAGGAAAATCTTTGAGCATCCCATTAGGCTCTTCATATTCAAATCATTTGTAAGGTCGTTCGTAACTTTACGCACAGCTTTATGAAACACCCCCCTGGTCCCTGTTTCATAAAACTTGTTATCACTAACAAGTCTTAAATTTCCAAGACAAATCTGCTCTCAGCCAATCAAATGCCATGATTTCAGTAGCTTATAACAGTTATTGTTACTTGTCATTTATAACAAGCTTTATGAAACAGGGCCCAGATGTAGTGATGATTAGTCTTTTGGTCAGTAGGATATCAGCTGATTATATTTTAACAATCATTTTTTAATGTAGTATGCTGGGGACCAAGATGACAAACAGTGGCTGTATGATAATCATCTCATGCCAGCGACTGGAGGAAAGGCTTACATCCTCCTACTTGAAGATGTTCTTGATTTGGCAGAGACAGAAGAGTATAAGTAAGTCAAAAGTTGAAAATTTTCCTTTGCACACACAACCCCACCCCCCCCCCTTCAGGATTAATGTCATTTAAAGCTTTGAAGGTAATGTACACGGTTGGTAAAATCAAGAGCTGTGAAATAATAAGCAGGCAAATAAGGATATCATTTCTATCTTAAACACTAAACTAATATTTGCCCCAATGTTAAGATTGGCCATGTTATTGTGGTGTTATGTTTTGTAGAAGATCCCTATGTACCTTGTTCTTGATAAGTCACAAATTCTAATTGCCATGGCATGCAACGTTCCCTTTTTCTCAGGTGAAGCCACATTTTGGGCAACACAAATAATAGGAAATTTCTATTTCTAGGCTATTATGAGTTATGTTAATAAAAGCAATGCATAGTGTGATCATTGTTAGATAACACTTTGACCCTTTAGCTTTCTGTTGTAACAGGAAATGATTTGCATTATATATCGACCATACATTGATTTTAAAATTTATACCATGATTTCCCTTTTACCCCTTCTCTTTTTCTTTCCCACCATGCTTTTCACACCCCTTCCCTTCACTTTATTCCTTCACCCCCAAACAGGGAATGTGGAAGTCTAGCGCTAGAGGAGCTGCAAACATTCAACGTTCCACCTGAGATCTTGGAGAAGATGAGACGCTACATGGAAACGCATCGCACAGACTGTGATGGTAGCAACAATAGCAGTGATATCAATGAAAATTAATGATGAAAGTCTCCTTTTCGAACTGATGTTTATTTGGTTCAATATTGCTCTATTTTTTGTTTAAATGGGGAAGGTATGTGTAGTAAAAAAAAAACATGAGATTACATTATGCCCTCAACAACTAAGCTTTTGCATTTTTCATGTAAGGCGATTCCATGCAATGTGTCCAATTGGACATTTGACATTTATCCATCTTGTTTCGTCCAAAAATGAAAGTCATGTTACAGGATCATTGACTTGTCTTTTCCTGGTATCACTAACATTATGTGTCATATATATATAGATATGTCGTAGAGGATACATTGCACAGAATCGCCCATACGAGAAAATTGGGTCCTCTTTTCTCAAATCTGTGACATAAATGTATGCATACAATTGGCCACTGGCTGATATGTACATAGTTCTCATGTAGGGATATATATCCATTAGTTTTACAACTGGGTATTCAACTTAAAAGGACCATCAACTTTCAGAGAACCTTCCTACAGGTTTTTTTTTCTTCCAATGGGGAGGGGGGGGGGGGCATGTGTATTTAGTTAAGTTATGTAGAAGTATAGAGAAGAAATATATTGTGCAATGTATGTGTAAAAGCAGTTTTCATTTACTGCTACAGTTATTTAATATATTATATTGTTGCTATGTGGATTGTATCAAAGCACAAAGGACATTCCAGTTTCCTGTTTCAGTTTTTATTTTTGTACTGTTGTGCCATAATCACTTTGAATAAAACAATATACATAAACATTACTTAAAAACTGAAATGATGGGGTTAGAAATTGGGTTACATATTAAGCCAAGTTAATCATGGTTATCAACTTTAAGAAGAGTATATTTTCATAAGCAAACAAATTGTAAATGCTTCTAATATTATATGATGGGAGTCTTCATTGTTTAGTTAAATAAGAGAGTAGAATTGTGAGATAAGGACCCTGTAACAATTCAATGGGGTTTGATCTGGAAAAATTATAGCAATTATTTATTTTGCTAATAGATTGAAATTGTGATACTGCAGGCCCTATTCAGAATGAGGTGGGAAATAGACATAAAGACATAAAGGTGAGAGGCGAAGTTTGAATATTTAAGCTTACATAGTAGTTCCCCTTTTGTACATGTAATATAAAGGATTGACCGGAAGCAGTCATATTGCCGTTTGACACATTTTCCCATTTTGAGATTGAGCATGCATCATAGCATAGATCTTTTCAACCACTGAGTTTGTACCTAGATGTTTCAGTTAAGAAAAATCTGGAATATCATAAAGCTGCCAAGGGCAATCAATCATTACAGCTTGCTTCTTGATCTTCTGGGGAATTTCATTGTTCTTGTCAATTTCTCATACTTAAAGTACTTCTCATCTTCCAAAGCAATCTTGACAGAGCCCTTTAATTGATCTGTTGTTGACTTATTGGCTCCTCACAGCTATTCACTGCTTTTAGTAGGGTTGTAATGTAGAGTTAGCACACAACAGATGACCATTCTTGATAGATTTAACAAGATTTATTTAATGAAAACAATTTACTGTACATTCAAATGAATTATTATGTTTATAAACGAAGGAAATAAATACTATTTACAAATGGCAGAAATATAAACATGTTTATATAAAGAAGGCTATTTTTATTCTACTTAACCATGATAGAGTAATTTGAATAAATACGAACAATTTTCCTGAAACAACCACATGATCCAATCAGTTTCTATTTTGTTTATTTTTGTCATAGCGAAGCTAAGAGAACAAGTTGAAATGGTTCAATGTTTTATGATACAGCAGGTTTCAACTTTTATTCATTCATTCTATTTAGGTTTCAATGTAGCAGGATTCTATTTTGATCAGAAAAGAAAAGAATTTAGGGCTCTACACTATTTTTTTATTATGTTTAGTAGGAGGCCTGGGTTGGACGTTTTGAAGGCTGTATCGATGAGCAGCCCACATTACAATTTTGAAATGGGGGGGGGGGGGGGGGGGGGGGGTTCCAAACTAATTTCAAGCACCCATGTGTTCTAGACACCTGTTGATATTGAGCCCTCCCTAATGCAAATACATTGTGTACAACACAGATATATACAATGTATTTCATGTACAATATTTTCAGTCACCAATGTACATCAAAGATACAGAATAGAAAAGCTCAAAGTTTTTTGAACTATGTTTCTAATGACACAAAAAGTTTGACAGCAAATTTTGATGACACTTGAAGTACTGATGGGTACTGGCATACTAATCTTATATTACTGATAAATCTATTCCTATTACCAAAATGAATTCTCATTAATTATACTTTCTTATTTTCTGTAACCAATCATTTTGGAACAGTTTGTAAGAAATAAATGTCCATTTTGTATATTCAGAGTTAATCCAGTTAATGGTTATAGATAACAGTTCTATCATTATAGACTAGTCATGCAGTGTTTATGTTTAATATCTACAGGAATACTTGAATACAGAAAGAACGAGTACATTCATACAATATTGATTTAATGTACAGTACATATACAACTTAAGATTAATAGAGAGAAAAAATACATATAGAAGTTTTGAGAATTCTATTAATGGCAACATCAGTCATCTCTGGTTCATTAAGAATGGGACATGATAACAATTTCTTAAAAGCTGGCAAGAGATTTTGGTTGTGAAATATCAGTAACAAAAACGTACCTTTTGTTAGATAGGTCTGATTTCTATAATGCAAAAGCGAAAGATACTACATATGAAAAGGTAGTATAACGTTGTTCTATTATTATCATGAATACTCACAGTGAAACTAATTTTGAGAGTAACTTGTCATGGAGCTACATCACTTTCTGGATCATGTAGTAAATGAACCGACAGGAAGTTGGGATAATCAAAATGATTGTATATACTTAGCATCGAGCAAGTCCCAAGGCTTTTTGGAATTACGAGTCACAAATAAATGGTGTAAATATCATGGGACAATAAATACATTTGCATATATTAATTTTCCTGATGTATGGTTCGTTCCAAGTTTCAGTAGGGCTGTTAGTCAAGTATCGGGCATATTTAGATCTTTGATGTAGTCTAAATATCGGGCCAAAATTTAGACTTGCTAACCTTGCTACAAATTACACACAAAACTACGAACGTCCGAACACACACATGCACATATGGGACTAAGAAGTAGTCTAATTGCCCTAAAGAACGATCTTTGTATTCAAAATACAGTGATCCTTTGTTACATTACAACAGTATAGATAATAATATCGATTATGTTTTTATTTATATGTCAATAATATGAATACACATACCTAAGCTAATTAACTTTCAATATACCTCTTTTCTATGGACATTAGTAAAAAAAACTAGATGGAACTTCAACTGCGCGCAGTCGAAAATGATGCCTCCGTCATAGAGCAATTTTACAAACCAAAACAGAAGAAATTTTTTCGAAGTCAAGTTCAATTGTAATCCATTAACAGGTTCTCAGAATATTGTGATTACAAGCTATTTTTGCATACATAATGAGCCCATGACCTTTGACCTTATGAACCAAGAATCTACTCAGTTCATTGGCTCTGCAAGAAACATACATGACCTAAGTTGGCAGGAATCCATCAATCGGTTCTTGAGATAACGCGATCACGAGCTGTTTTTGCATACATAATGTGCCCTGTGGCCTTTGACCTTTGACCTTGTGACCCCTACATCTAATCAGTTCATCGGCTCTGCAAGTAACATACATGACCTAAGTTTGGCAGCAATCCATCAATCGGTTCTTCAGATAACGCGATCACAAGCTTGTTTTGCATACATAATGAGCCATGTGGCCTTTGACCTTTGACCTCGTGACCCCAAAATCTAATCAGTTCATCGGCTCTACAAGATACATACATGACCTAAGTTTGGCAGCAATCCATCAATCGGTTCTTCAGATAACGCGATCACGAGCTCGTTTTGCATACATAATGAGCCCTGTGACCTTTGACCTTTGACCTCGTGACCTCAAAATCTATTCAGTTTTTCAGCTTTGCAAGTAACATACATGACCTAAGTTTGGCAGCAATCCATCAATCGGTTCTTCAGATAACGCGATCACGAGCTCGTTTTGCATACATAATGAGCCCTGTGACCTTTGACCTTTGACCTCGTGACCCCAAAATCTAATCAGTTCATCGGCTTTACAAGATACATACATGACCAAAGTTTGGCAGAAATCCATCAACCAGTTCTTCAGATAACGCGATCACGAGCTCGTTTTGCATACATAATGAGCCCTGTGACCTTTGACCTTTGACCTCGTAACCCCAAAATCTAATCAGTTCATCGGCCCTACAAGATACATACATGACCAAAGTTTGGCAGGAATCCATCAACCAGTTCTTCAGATAACGCGATCACGAGCTCGTTTTGCATACATAATGAGCCCTGTGACCTTTGACCTTTGACCTCGTAACCCCAAAATCTAATCAGTTCATCAGCTCTACAAGATACATATATGACCAAAGTTTGGCAGGAATCCATCAACCAGTTCTTCAGATAACGCGATCACGAGAACGGGACGTACGTACGTACAGACGTACGTACGTACGTACGTACGGACGTACGGACGGACGGACAACCCGAAAACATAATGCCTCCGGCTACTTCGTAACGGAGGCATAAAAAGATGCAAACTTGTCTCTTTCCCCATTCTGAGGATAGCTCACATTCATCAATCAACCCAAATAGCTGCTTCAACATCCCTTAGAAAGCCTCCACCGAGCGCCCCAAACCCTCCCAACCCCACCCCGCCAGGCCCCCCACCGGGCATCCCTCCAGACTCCCCACAGAACGCAGCATGGGTCTCTATACTGTACTGAGGAAACTTCTGCATGCATATCGGACAGGGGACCAGGTCAAAAGTCATCCGTGGCTCGGGATCATGTGAGATGTCTAGCTCATCGTCTGTGACATCAGATCTAGTGGGGGAGTAGTTAGTCCATGGGTTGGGTAAGTCAGTAGAAGGTGAATTCCTTCCTCGACCCCTTCCTCTTCCCCTACCCCTGGGCTGACCCCGCCCTCCTCTCTGCCCCCTTCCTCTACCAGAGGTTGAGGGCGTGGCACGATCATCTTCATCATCGGAACTAAAGGATGCATCAATAAATTCTACTGAAGTAGGCATCTTTCCTTTCTTTGTCACAGCTTTAGCACCTCCTCTGCCTCTCCCCCTCCCCCGGCCTCTTGCCCTACCCTGACCACTCCCTCGTCCAGGGGTGGAAGCAGAACCTGATTGACCATCGTTATTCCGACCCCTCCCTCTGACCGTCCTACCGGTAGCACCACGCTTACTCCCTCGCCCTCCTCTCCTTGGAGTACACACATCTTCCTCCCTACCATCCATCCCCATCTCATACCCCATTGCACCATCCATCGCCGTAGTAACTCCTCCAGCAGCTCCACCAATGTGTCTCTTAGTGGATGAATCACCAGGGTGTCCGTGGACTAGAGCGTTGGCGCTGCGTTTCAGGAGCGTTGCAGGACTTGGTGATGAGCTGACTGATGTTGAATCACGTTTCCCTCGGCAATCCAAGATGTGTATGTTCATACGAGATGCAGGATACAAACCTGTTCAGAAAGAAAGATGAACAAAAATGAATGTTGCTATAATGAAGGACTTGAACATGTTGAATAATTATACTAAGTTAGACAGTACCACCTGTGCGCTTAGAAACGCCTGTATAAAGCGCCCTATAAATGTAATTATTATTATTAATATTATTAAAAAGATCTTCATATGAATTCTACAACCAAATAATGGGATTTATATCTAATCATCTCTGTAGCTATCAACAAAATTAAGATTTATTTTATTGTCGATTCATACTGACTGCATAAATACTGGTGACACAATCAGCATTGTTGATGCACAAAATCCCACCATTAAGCCACTAAAAATTACTCAATCTGCTAATGTTATAACTAATAACAGACATAACAAGTTTTTGTTTATATTTTTTTCATAGATTTGTCCTAATAAAAGCAGGAAACATATAATGTATCGCCACCACACCCTCCCCCCCCTTCTCTCTCTCTCTCTCTCTCTGTCTGTCTCTGTCTCTCTCTCTGTCTGTCTCTCTCTCTCTCTCTCTCTCACTTCCTCTCTCACTTCCTCTCTCTTGTTCATAGAGGCATACAGTAATGACCGCTGACCTTACCTCCACACTTATGGCATGGTTTGCCCTCACCAGATTGAGCGGCAGGTGAGTTCATCCAAGATGGAAGGTCACGACCTTTGACCTCTGGCTCTTCGGGCTCGAAGCCAGAGTGAAAGATCCTTTGATCGTCCCTGACAAGAAACAACAAACATTTGCTGTAAACAATCTGCAGATAATAGCTATACCTAACAAGTGTACATGAAGAAATGTTATGGCATATGTGACATGGTATCTTTACCACAAGCCATATAACCTGCATAACATGTTTATGTACTACCTAATATATATGTGACAATTGCAACTCAAAAAACACAGGAAATCTGCATAAATTAGAGCTCAGTAAAGGAGTATTTGGTTCAGATGATAACATCTTAGTTTATATTATTTCCTGAAAGAGTATACTTTGTTTTTGTAATCCCAAATTTTGGAAGCACACAACAATCTAGACATGGTATTTTTGCAGTGTTTTGTAGACCTTTGGTTCGTTTGATCTTGGGTTTGTTGTAACAGTTTTTAAAATAATTTCCTTATGACCCAGGCTACTACTCTTTGATCTCCTAAACTTAAAATTTGAGTAAGCTGTTACATTGATACCTATTGGAAATAAAGAATAGGATGTGCTTAATTGGTGTGCCAAGTTTAGGACAATCTCATAATCCCTTCACAGAAATTTATACAGAGATCTAATCCTCCCTTTGTCACCTTGCCCTGATACCTAGGGAAATATTGAATAGAATATAGACTTTAAAGTTTAAACGCCTTTTTCTTAGAAGTTACATTTTTTTAACTAGACATTCTTCTCCTCGTTACTTTTTACTTTAATGGGTTACTAACGTTCAATTGTTATATCTCATTCTAAATCTGAGAATCGGACAGAAACTAAGGAATTATTTCTGGCCACTGTTTGGTGGTTTTGTGGTGCTGGGTGGGTTACATCTTGAAATGTGTCATCCTATTTTCACAGAAAATAAAAGCAGTGCTCAAATTTGGTTCAACCTCACCTTCAGTGGCAGACACATAAGAAATCATTTCTTTTTTAAATCAATCTGCAAATATCACTGAAACACTGCTGACCAACATTAAGCCTTACGTCCAAATGAACAGTACCAACTGAGTCAGGGATAAAGCAAAGTTAATAAAAAGTCAGTAACAAAATAAAAATCACATACCTCAAAGGTGGGCTTGAAGAAACAGAAGAAGATTTTGACTGTAAACTTCCAGTGTTCTTGTTATTCCTGCTGAGTCCAGCATTTGGAGAGGGTTTAGCGTGTAACCATCCTGAGTTAATGTCCTTATTGCTCAGTCCAATGTTTGGAATATTAGGGGTGGGTTTGGCTTGTAACCATCCATTCTCTTTTTTACTAGTCCTTCTTAGTCCAATGTCTGGTATATCAGTACCGGCAGGGTCATCCAGGGCTTCCACAGCATGGATCGCTAGACGCTTGAAGATTGCTTTCTCATTCTTCGCTAGCTTCCTACCTAAACAACTCTCAAACTTTGGTCTCAGTTCTGTGGTTGAAAGAGAACAAAATTTCACTTGCACAAATTGAATAACTCCATATTTAGACAATATGAATGATTCATAAAACATGGGATGAGTAATTTTGAGGAATGAAATATTGTATCATACTTGAAAATATGTGTTTAAAACTTTAAATACACAGACATTTGAAGATTTATATATAATATGTGCCTAAACTATCTATGGTAACAAGCTGCATTACATTTGCATAAGATTCAGATGACTGTTTATGTGCCCATTATTACATGTACCTCACAGAATTTACACATTTTTTGTCCTCATCAACTCAAAGTTCTGATATCTATTGCATACATCTACAATTTAGGCAGATTTAATTGTATATGATTGATACCACTTCCAAGGCCATATTGGAAGTTAAAGGGAAAGTCCACCCCCAAAATAAGTTTGTTTCGATAGAGGCAGAATAATAAGAAAATCAGGTGAGTGAAAGTTTGAGCAAATTCTGAATGAAAATAAGAAAGTTATGAATTATTGAAGTTGTGATCAATCAAATACAAATTGGCAACTCTGTGACCTATTATATGAGCTCTCCTTCATTTGCTTTGTGCATAATATTCCATAAAATCATGTTTTCTTCGTTATTGATGACGGAATATATATTTGTTCCTTGCAGGGGGAGTATAGAAACATATTTGCAATTATTATATTTAGGGTGCATGTATGGTTGAAATTATTCTTGGGGGAAAATGAAAATTTTAGATTTTTTTAGTACTGAGCAAATGGAAGTTGAGCTCGCATGATACGTCATAGAGTTGCCAATTTGTGTTTGATTGATCACAACTTCAAAAATCCTAACTTCCTTATTTTTAATCGGAATTTGTTCAAACTTTCATTGACTTGTTTCTCTCATTTTTCTACTCCTATTAAAACTAACTTAATTTCAGGGTGGACTTCCCCTTTAAAGATAATGGGTGGTATTCTGATAGCGCGTACTAAGTTGAGCCTGGCTGAACTTAGTCCACACTTTTATGGAGTGCCTGTTGCCAACTCATTTACCCTGTACAGATTATTTTAATCCTGCAATGAAAAGTGTCAAAAAAATTCATTTTGCAATGTAATGGGAAGAAAAAGATAATATGAGTATGAACTGAATTTCAACAGTCTTTGTAGGTTATCTTTGTCATGAATATTGAAGGAGGAAGATGACACCTAGCATTCCATAGAAGTGTGAACTAAAATGTTTGTTTAGTCTGGACTTAGCCCGGGCTCAACTTATGAGAATACCACAAGTTAAAACAGCAAGGGGAAAACACTGTCATGTACCTGTGAGAGTAGCATCTTTTAACGCTGGGCCAATGTGGGCCAAAAACTCCTTGACCTGTTCCTCAAGAAGAATCACTGCATCATCAGGCGGCTGCTCTAAAACAGATATATTGTTCTTTCCTTTCCCTCTCTTGAATGACGTGGATGATGATGATGATGATGATGATGCTATTGGGGTGGTTGCTAACAGTGATGATGCTGATGGGTTTTCGTTGTTGATTGGTGCGGTCCGAGAGGGAGAAGATGGCGTTCTCTTTCCCGATGCAGCTAGGATCAGCTGAGCAGCTCTGCCCAAGGAATGTCCACTCTGAGACTTAGATTCTGATGTAGACTCTATCCTGACCAGTCTGTCCTTAAGGTTTGAGGTTGCAGTACTCCTGTACATCAATGATATAAGGAATGCATTAGCAATATACCAGTTTGTAGATACAATCTGCCCTTGCGCAAATAAAGGTCACTTGTACAAAATTGTAAAACTCACTAAGACTAATACTAGATACATGCTCAAAAAAAGTCATGTAATCATTATTCATGCATGCATCTGTGATACATTCTATTGAACACAGGTGGAAGTAATCATTTAAAGAGGGCAAACAAAGAATCACCTCCATGACTTTAACTGTGATTATTCCAAAAGGTACAAAGTGGGATTTATCTATTTTTAAAAGATCTGTGGATATTTGGAGTCATCTGAACCATATACTACAAACTGGTCTATTGAAGGAATAAAACGGTGGATAACTAATGTCCTATTGATCACAATCATTTCCTTTGTGTGAAACAGGCGAAGGCTATTTGAGTAGATTAGTCACTAATTTCAGTTAAACTAGACTGGTGTATGACTACATCCTCATGTCTATGAGCTCGAATTTGCATAAATATATGTTCAGGCTACAGTTTGAGGTGTTTGGAAAGTACCAGGTACTAGTACTGCAATCATATTTCCTTCAGCAAAAAGGAATCCATTTTCCTTCAACAATATGATACTTTAAGATTACACTATGAAATGAATTATCAATATTATCAATATTATGAGCCAATAATATTCAATTATATAGTACATGTATATATTGTACAACATAAATATCCACAATCATATAAAACACTGCAAGTGGAAAAAGAAAAAAAAATGTCTACTTACTCTCCTTGATTGATATTATTAAATGTTTTCTGGAAAGCTGCATTTGACTTCCATGACGGTGATAGGATAGAGACTCTATCTTGTGGTTTCTGGACAGGCTTAGGCTTCTGGACCGGCTGCTTTCTCTCCTTAATCAAAGATGTGAAGAAGAAAAAAAAAAAAAACGTTTAAGACGATAACACATGATTTTACACAGTCGCACCCATATACCAATTCATAGTCACTTAATGATACAAAGATTTGAAGGGAATCCAATTTCTAGATACACTACACAATAAATGAAGAAATCGATAGAGTATGAGTTTGCAGATGATGTTTCCATTCTTCAAGGGTATCCTGTATAAAATGTTCATCCATTATGCTTGACATAGCTTGAACACTGACAATATATATTTAATTATATATTTATTGGTATATAATGATCGACCAGCAGCACAAAGCTGAAAGGGTCAATTTACAAAGGTACAGTGATGTATGTACAATAGGATTACAAAACATAGTACCGGTAAATAAATCAGTAACATAATGACAATACAGCAGAATTATATTGCATTTGTTCATGTACAAGCACATAAAGTGAAAGGATGAACTAGCAGGAGATATATATATATTTTTTTTATTAAATTGAAATTAAAAAAAATCTCATGATTCTCATCGGAGCATATGAAAATGTATACGTCTGTTGGGTTTGCATATGAAAAATATGACACTAGAACCCAGAGGAAACCATAGACAGCTGACTTACCGTATGCATGTTATTAGTCAGTCTATCTTCACTTCCTGTCTCCTTCTGCTCCATCGAACTGATCTTGATAAAAGCGAGACCAAACTGAGTATCTTTCTTGAAAGGCTGTCTACAAACCACCTTGATCCGATCCCAATACTCCTCACGAGCATCCTCACAAAGCTGATCTGTAAACACAAGCAAAACAACACAGTCAGCTAATAATAGAAATCATTACCATGACTTTAAAGTCTTCTCTACCATGTGCCTGAATTTGTCTCCAAAACACCGGAAAATCAATTACAAATTATAGCTCACTCAGGTAGAGTTGGGGATTGTTGCTATTAACATCTTGTTGAGCATTAGATTCGTCTGGGACTGTTTCATTCCTGTTTCATTCCTATGTGTTTCCTGTGCCATTCCTGTGTCTTCATGTGCCATTCTAACAGTAAAATGCTACCTCACAAACCTTTGTATATTCCTTTTCGAATACTTTTAAAGAAGCATTTATGTGCCTAATCCCAATTTTTTTTTTTTTTTAGTTGAATGTAGAAAAATATACTGCAATAAACTGAACTAAGAGGAAGCAGTTCCTTGTGAGTATGCTTCATTGTTCTACTACACCTTAATCAGAATGTTCAATGGTCTTGGCATTCCTAGTATATCTTACCTCTAGAGAACATCTTAACTCCGGTCTTGTTTTTGCCTTGCTTACTATCCATGGGTGTCATACAGCTTGTGGTTGGTACCAGAGTCTTGAACTGATCATCGGATGCTGAGGACCGACGCACTAGCATCTCAATCAATGCTGAACCATAGTTCCCTGGATTTTTAGAACAATAGTGGTGGTAAGAGATAAGCGGTGGGATGACCATGCAGAACATAATTTTTTCTAAATCTAAATCAAGGCAGAACTAAAGATATTTGGTTTGCATTTTTAAGTGCAATCATGTCATACCTTTTTTTGAGGATTAAGATTACCTGTTTACAGCGGCCACTTCTGTTGTGTCAAGTTTGACAGATATGAGTGCTGTACAAGAAACCACTTTTATTATTATCATAATTTATGTATCATTATTTGTTTTTATTCCCAGCATACAAAGCCTTTCACATCGCTAAGGAACAAGTTCCCAAACAATTTGTCTCTGAATAACCAAAACTGTGTGAACAATATGAATGAGGAGACAATCATACTGTATATCACACATAAAGAAGAAGATATTGTTCATTATTTTAAATGATTGTATTAACATTTACTGGCTATTGTAATATTACACTGAAAATTGAAGAGACAAGAAACTGTAAATAAAACACTTTGATGTCTAGCGTGCATATAACTTTCAGGAATTAAAAAAAGAAATTTCATGCCTCAAAATGGTAGACTATACAAAACTGACTAATTGAAGAAGCTGTACACATAAACATGCAAAATAATGAGGCATGTACATCAGAGATGCATGTACACCAGACCGTATGTTCCAGGGCCAAGATGAAAAGATTTTATTTTAATAAATTATATTCACTAAACAATATGTCTCAGACCCAAGACCAGACATCCAACATCTAAGACCAAGACAATGTCCTTTGGCAAGACATTGATCAACATTTGCCACACTCAAGCCAGGTGATGTAAATGGGTACCTGGCAGGAATTAATTCTTTGAAATGCTAGGGCGCCGTAATGGCAGCACAGCTAAAGCCGGGGTAATAATCTCCAAGTTTGGAAGCGCTTAGTGATTCTAATAAGCGCTATATAAAAACTGAGTATTATAATTATTATTATTATGAATTCAAAATGTATTCTAACCTATGTCTATGAATCCAATCTTAACAGCTCTCTCCAACTGAAACTCCACTTGAACTGATCCTGATCGGTCACTGGGAGCACACAGCCAGCGTCTCCATTGGTTGGTTTCAAGCAGGTTTCTTGCACAATGGTCTGCATCCTACACATGAAACAAGACAATTACATATTGTTAATGTTTAATACAATTTCTTCTAGAAGATAAGGATTCATAGCAGTAACCACATGAGATGAACTCAAATTAGCATGACCTAGAAATATTTCGAAAATTTAAACAAAAGTGTTTGTTTTTTATCTAGAATTTAGAAAGCTTGCTTATAGATTCTCGTTATATGTTCATTTTTCTGATACTATAATCTTAAATTATTGTTCTTCAAATGAATGGGAGAAAAAAAGGCAGTAAAATTCTTTAAAAAATATCTTTGGGACTTAATCTGTCATCTCCTTCTCTCTCCGGGAAAACAACTGGTAGTCATGATGATGGTGATGATGATGGTGATGATGACGATGAAAATGGTGATGGCGATGATGATTTTGATGATGGTGGTGATGATGATTTTGATGACAATGATAATGGTGATGCTTATCTGTGATCATTAGGAATAAGTGACTTTGTTTATCTTCATGTTTTGAAATTAAACTAAAGACAAAGTTGTATGCCATAATTAAGCAGTTGTCTTGTCAAGTAATTAAGAAGAATTGACAAGCAAAAAGTCTGCAAGTCCAAGAGTCATGAATCACTGATCAGATTGGCATAGATAGACTATAGATAAACAAAACAGTTAAAGTAAAGATTAAATTCCACGATACTTGATGATAGTCACTGACTAACTTTTGACACACATAGGGCCCGAATTCACAAAGCAAGGTTTGAGCTCAGACCAAGGTTTGAGCTCAAACCTCCTTTTGTTTCGCCAAACCTCTCTTTGTTATTTACAAACCAGGTTTGTAAATAACAAAGAGAGGTTTGGCGAAACAAAAGGAGGTTTGAGCTCAAACCTTGGTCTGAGCTCAAACCTTGCTTTGTGAATTCGGGCCATAATGTTTGTAACGAAACTTGCAACACATGCACAACCTTTGTTATTTTTTAATTTTAGACCAAGCTTGTAAATTGCCCTGGCCATGCTGGCATAAATTTAATGTTGGTTCACCATGTTCATTTAAATAAGAGTAGATCTAGACCTAGATGCATAGATCTAGGTCTATGTTAATTATTGTTAACTTGTATGTTGTAACTTTACTCTTTAGTCAATCTGAATCTCCAACATTATTATAAATATAAATTACAATTAATATTCATCCACTCATCATGTCATGTCTCATCTGCTTATACCCCAGAATCAGATCATGCAGTCAACTCAGTCAAAGTTCATGTGAACACAACAAAAATACATTCATGACACTAGATCTACACATTCTCACTTCGATCTCTCTCTGTTCCCTCCACTTTTCGGAGATCAGCGAGTTTATCGCATTTAAAGTAGTAGGCTGCTGTAAATATGTTATAAAATCGTGTCGACTATACTCACTGCTCAGTATTGACTCTAAATTCTTAGACTAAGTCAGTAAGTGAAGTAGATCTAGATCTAGATCTAACTGAGTAAGTCGGAGAGGCCTAGTAGAGGTCTAGTGACTAGCACATAGCCTAGACCTATTTCACATCAAACTAAGCAAGTGGTAGTGGTACTAGTACAGTCACTGTACGTACTACGTGTACGATCGAGTGAGAACTCCTAGATATATCATGACATGTCTATACATAACTTCAATTCTTGTCAAAATTTTAGATGATGCAAAGCATTTCCTACATTCTGTATTAAATTACAGCTTGCTTACTTGAGAGCTGAATGAAACAATGTTCTTCAGTTTTACAGGAGCCATCTCGTCGTACAGTTGAGCAACACCTGTGCTCAATGCAACACCTGTGCTCAATGCAAAACAGATTTAGAAAGGCGCGCCACAGACTTTACGCGCATGCGCTCTTCATAATTATTATGTTGACAGCTAATCCAAAGACCCAAGACCCATGGGGCTTTCGGATTTCACAAAAGTAGACCTAATTAACCTTCATGTATTGTATTGGATTGTATTATATTGTATTGTATTGTATTGTATTTATTAAATTTATTTGATGTACATCAATATTCTGTTTATAAACATATAAATCACTTTACAATGTATAAACTGTAACAAATCAACTTCTGTTTGGAAACATAATGTCAATGTCATATTTATAAGTCAATTTACAATGTAATGTAACAAATCAATATTCTGTAAACATATAGATCTATACCGTATAAATCAATTTACATGAATGGGTAATTCCCCTCATTTAGGCAATACGGCCGCAGACGCTTTTTAGGGGTAAATCTTCAGTTTCTTAATTGTTGACTCTTCCGTGCCCTGGTAGCAATTAACTTCTTGAAGAACTTGGGACAGGAGGAACTATACCAAATTGATTAATTGATTGATTCCTGGATTGATTAATTGATTTTATTCGCCAAGCCTCCAACATACAAGAACAAACAAAATTAACAAATGACCGGTTGGTTACCTCCAATTTAACACAGGACATAGTATATGATGAATTGATAACAAAGTAAACCAAAGTAAGAACCAAACTTACGAAAACTTTGTTTTTTAAATAAGACTGGACTCCAAGTATTGAAGTTCATGATCAGGGGTGGCGGAGCGACTTCGAAAGTGAGGGGGGGGGGAGGGGCACCAACAAAAAAGTGCACTTTCTGGAGAGAAAAAAAGAGGCACCTACAAAGGGAAATCTCAAAGCGCAAATATACATTTTCTAGACATTGGTATACTCCGCTACATTGTAATCATATATTATCAGGGATGAATTCAATATATGTTTCTCTTTATACACCATACAAGATATTGCTTAATTTTTCAGTGGGTGTGATGGTCCGAAAATTCATTTGCGAGCCAACGAAGGGAGTGAAGAAAACAAATTAATTTGTGAGACAGCAGCACACACAAAAAATACATCAGAGGAAAAACCCCAATCCTGAGCCTTATTAGCACATTCTCATAACGGAAAACTGAAAAAGACCTTTGATTAGTAACATAATTATATCATCTATGAATGCGATTGAGCTTTGGGGGAAAATCTTTTTAGCCGCTTAAAATTAGGGGCAAGTTAAATGTTGAGAGATAAAGGGGACACTAAGTTTTATCAAAAGGGATAAAGAGGCACTCACCAGGGCTGAAAAGGGGCACTTATGAGAATGGTAAGGGGCACTTGTAAAAAAGAAAGTGTGCATTAGTTGAAATCAAAGGGGCACCGATCAGATTTTAATAGGGGCGTTTATCGGAGGTGAAAGGGGGCTTTTATGCGAAGGGGGAAGTGGCTCTTATTAAAAGGAAAACGGGCACGTGTCAAAATAAAAGGGCAATTATTAGAGGTAAAAAAATATACAAAGAACACTTAGGGCCTATCAGGAGGGAAAGGGGCACTTGTCAAAGTAAAAACGAGTATCTCTCATATTAGAGTATAGGGTTAGTTGTCGGAGGTGAAGGGGCACTTATCTACAGTGAAAAAGAGTAACTTCTCGTTCCTGGAAAGGGTCATTTACCGGAGATGAACAAGGGCTTTTATGAGAAGGGGGAATGGGCTCTCTTTTAATGGGGGCGCTTTCATTAGGAAAAGAGATGAAAAAACACTTACCATGAGCGAAAGGGGCACTTGTCAAAGTAAAAACGAGTATCTCTAATATTTGAATAGGGGTAATTATCGGAGGTGAAGGGGCACGTATCTAAAGTTAAAAGGAGTAACTTCTCGTTCCTGGAAAGGGTCATTTACCGGAGATGAACAAGGGCTTTTATGAGAAGGGGGAATGGGCTCTCTTTTAATGGGGGCGCTTTCATTAGGAAAAGAGATGAAAAAACACTTACCAGGAGCGAAAGGGGCACTTGTCAAAGTAAAAACGAGTATCTCTAATATTTGAATAGGGGTAATTATCGGAGGTGAAGGGGCACGTATCTAAAGTTAAAAGGAGTAACTTCTCGTTCCTGGAAAGGGTCATTTACCGGAGATGAACAAGGGCTTTTATGAGAAGGGGAAGGGGCTCTTTTTTAAATGGGGGTACTTTCATTAGGAAAAGGGGCACTTATTATAATTGAAAAGGGGCACATGTGAAAATATAAGGTAATCTTATTCGAGTTAAAAAAAGGGGGTCGTTATCAAAAGGGGAAGGGGCACTTCTAAAAAAGGAAAGGGGCACTTGTCAAAGTAAAAGGGGCACCTCTCAGATTTGAATAGCGCAATTATCAGAGGTGAAGGGGGCACTTTTCAAAAGTGAAAAGGGGCACTTCTAGTACCTGATAAGGACCACTTAGGCAGGGGCGGCGATTTAAAAAACCGTTTATTTGGGGGGGGGAGAAGAAAAAAAATCTGCATCGTCACCGCTCTTACATGTTACATGCAGGCCCCCGCGGAACGTTTTTCAAAGTGGGAGGGGGGGGGGGCTAAAGAATTTGCGATCAGATAGAGCATGCATATCACTAATCGGAGTGGGGTCCAGGGGGCGAAGCCCCCAGAGGCTCAGCGGTTTTAGGCATTAAATTACTATCAGATGAGCACCCAGGGGCCGCCTTAGGGCCCTTGGTGGGGTCTAAGGGGCGGAGCCACCGTAAGCTCAGGTGTTTTAGGCATTTAATTATGGTCAGCTGAGCAACCAGGGGCCCGCCTTAGGGCCCTTGGTGGGGTAAAGGGGGCAGAGCCCCCGGAAGCTCAGGGAAAATCATGCCATTTCAGTAACATTTGTAAATTAGTCACTGGGATCAAATTAGAAATAAACCACGTTTGAATTTTATCGGGGGGGGGGGGGGGCTGCCCAAAGCACGAGTTAGTGAGCATAGTGAAAAAATTGTATTCCTTAAGCTACGGTCACAAAGGTTCGTAAGAACGATGCGTTCGTACGAATCTCCCTGTTTTTCCATTGTCTTTCCGAATTTCCATTGTCTGAAAATCGTTCGTACGGCGTTCGTAGCAGTTCGCAATGGCATTTGTGACCGAGGCTTTAGCAAAACTATAGTATGAAAACAAACAATATACTTTTTGCATTTCACTTTTCTACAATATTTAATTGTATATTTTGGAGGATATTATGCGAGGGAGTATAGCTCCCGAGCCAGATGATTTTTGCATTTTTATTTGTCTTAATGCTGCACTCTTGGGCCCTCCAAAGCCTAATAGTGTGTTGCAGTCTTTAATCAGCATTTGCTGTACATTATTTTATTGCACTTTTTCAAATTTTCCGGGGGGACGATTGGGGGGGGGGGGGGGACGTGTTCCCCCGTCCCCCGGGATCGCCGCCCCTGCACTTAGGCCCACTAGATATTAGAGAAAGGGCACTTATGAAAATGGAAAATGGACTCTTATTGCAAAGGAAAATGGGGCACTTAAGGGGCACTTCTCCAAATTAATTGGGGCACTTATCAAAGTAAAAGGGGAACTCCCGCCTCTGTTCACGATGAATAACAGGATAACGGAAAACCACTTCACTAAGTCATCAGGAAAGAAATGTCCATGAATTTGAATGAGTTAGTAAACCAGTCTATTCGGACAAAACACACAGGAATAAGTACACGTCTTGTTTCTTTCATAGTGCGAAACGTTTGTTCCTTTGTTAAAAAAATGCCCTTCACCATGCATAAATGTGATGTCATGCTATCAAACCTATTTGGGAAGATGCTATGAAAATTATTAATCTCTTTCAATCATTGCCTTTATATCGGCTTATCTGTGTAAAAAAGGGGGAAAACCATTCTTTAATTTTGATCTAATAAAAACGTCACTTTTAATAGTACCGATCATCGATATAGCATGCAGAGACCTCTATCCACTATGCAATGATTGCGTTGCAAGTATATAGGCCCCAGAGTCAGGGATGGCGATTTCTTTTCATAACCGGGGGGGGGGGGGGGGGACGAAATGCGAAGGAAAATATGTAATCCGTTGGTATCACCAGTGGCATAATGAGACATTTGTTAATCACTGGTATCGAATTAGAAATAAACCACGTTTTAATTATATCGGGGGAACTGCCCCCCCCCCCATCAGTACACCAGTGGGTATCACTGGTGATACCAACGAAATGCAGATATTCTACACAATTTACTTGTACATTTCGAAGGAAATATATGTGAGGGAGCGTAGCTTGGGCCTTCCAGAGCCTAAAAGTGTGTTGCAGTATTCAGTTAGTATTTGCTATACATTTTCTTTTTGTACTTTTTCAAATTTTCCGGAGGGGGGGGGGGGGGGGGGAGACGAAAAATATGAGGGGGGAGGGGACGTCCTCCCCGTACCTCCCGGGATCGCCGCCCATGCAGAGCCATTTATAATCATGGTGCATGGTAGGCCCTCATTTACAAAAGACGTCTGGACCATCTCCCGCTCCTTCTAACTCACCGGGGTTGGAGATCCGGTGGGGCGGGGACAAGCCCCCCAACGCCAGAATTTTTGAAAAATGAATGAAAAAAAAAAAAAAATACCCGAACAACGGATAAACATGACTTTCCGAAAATGTTAATAGAATGCAAAATGCGAAATGACGAGCTTCGATCAGCATGCAGGCTATCATTTTCTGGTTCTTCTGAATATGCCTGCGCTTTATATCATCTGACAACCTTAAAAATGCAAAGTAAAAGTTATTGCTAATTCGTCCGGACTTGTCAAAAGGAGCAAAAGGGGCATGGGGGGGGGGGGGGGGGGAGGAGGTTCTTTGTATTTGATATTTACATGATAATGTCAATTTGATTACAAATTTTAATCGATTGAATTTAATTTCACACGCACTTCAGGGGAATATATACCTAGCTGCAGGCGCGTACGCAGGGGGGGGGGGGGGTGTTTGGGGGGGTTAAACCCCCCCTTTGCAGGGGCGGATCTAGCTTTTTGCTCAGGGGGGGGGGTTGACCAATAATGACGATGCGGAGCATCGTCCACGAGCCGCGAAGCGGCGAGCCGATTTTTTTGGGGTGTTTATTTGAACCCCGTAAGTGATGTTTTCCTGGCATCTATTAACACAATGGAAACCATAAAAAGCAGTGCATGATAATGTCTTTTTAAATCAAGTAACAGTTAAATACACAGTTATATCCAGAGTTATCATGTGTTTGGTTAAGTTACCAGATGAGTTGAATATCTTCTCACAATATTTGCACTTGAAAGGGTTTCTGTCCAGCGTGCGTTCTTTTTTTTTTTTTTTTTTTTCCCTTTTTCTTTTTTTTTTTTTTTTAATGTAGGGATTTTGGGGATGAGAATCGGCAACGCTGGCCTAGCTTGTCACTTCGGCGGTGGCCCGTGTCCTCAAAAAAGCTGATGGGGGGGGGGGGGCAAGGGACTCTGTGACATTTGTTCGCCCAACCCCCCCCTCCCCCCAAAAAGAAATAATAATAATAATAATAATAATAATAATAATAAATGAAATAAATACATAGAAATAGAATAAAATAAAATTACAAGTTTAAAAAAAAGATAAGATTTAAAAAAAATGGTCCCCGGATTTTTTTTTTTTGGGGGGGTTGCAACCCCAACCCCCCCTCTAGATTGTCTATTGAAGGGTTAGCACATTTTGGCTGTTAATGTTTAGTGACAAAAACTTGGTTTAGCGTGATAAAAGACCCAAGTCGTACGCGAACTGTATGTCATGCCTTGTCTGTTCAAGTGACAAGTCGCCCCCTCCATTCGGTTTCCACCAAAAATGAAAAGCATCAGCTAATACCCATCCCCTCTTCCACTCGACTCGATTGTGGACTATTTGTGGTCTAGCGCCATCTCTAATTATTGGCGCCGATTATGACGTCGTATCACGTGTCAATTATTTATGCAAAATAGCGTCCTGCGACCTCGCCTGTCCATAGATATCAGAACAGATCATCATGTCGGCAGATTCACGTAAGAAAATTTAACCATTTAGTATGTTTTCTATCGATATTGCATGATAGATGAATCAGTAAAGATCTTAAGAGTCTTTTGAAATACTTTCCATGTTTTTCTGATTTCTCATAATCCGTAATATGGATACCGAAAATTCTTCTAGCCCGAAAGTTTATTTTGTGCTTTGCCTTTGGCGTGCCACATGCATTGCCATTGACTTTGTGTATGTTGTGAGTGTGCTATGACCATGCATGTGTACATGAAATGTGATTGTGAATTTAGATTTTGGTGACTTGATTTTGAATGATATCTGATGAAGTATTATGTGTATTTATCAGTGTTTGTATAAGCATTTCTCGAACATATTTGAAATGTATGACTATAACTAGGGACAGAAATGGGTATTTTGATATTGCACTTTGGGATCTTTAAATGTATCAGAATTGTTTTATCTTTTAATTCCCAGTTGATTAATGTAAAAATCATAAAAATCGGCCAAGGGGCTGATTTTTTATGATTTTTCTAAAATGTCATGCATCGGTAATTTTCAATGGTATTTTTCAATGGAAAGTTTGGTCAAATCCTAAGACAAAGGTAAGTCTTTTCATAGTGAAAGTTATGTAAACAAAAAAGTAAACAACTTCATACAAGAATATTTCTGATATAGAATGTGCTTGAGGTTTATTTCAAATGAAAACATGACTTACATTAGCAGACAAAACAGATGTCACAATTCAAAGACATTATCATCAATTTATTATTCCGTGGTTGCCATGGAAACAAAGGAAAATAAACAAATGTAAACAAAGGTAAATAACTTCGTCCGACAATGAGTTTTAAGTACAAAACTTCTTTTAATGTATTTATCATTATTCAGTTAGCAATATATAACAGTTCTGAAATGACAATATCAGTTCTCTTCTCGTAATTACAATTTATATTTGTTTACCACTTTCTTCTCTTATTCAGTGATGTAAACAAAAGAGTAAACAAATTGATTGTCGCGTAAAAATGCTGTACGTTGATCAATTTCTTTCATTTCTTCTCTTAATAAATGACTGAATGGTTATATTTTTGTTGATGTATTATGATTTGTACTAGAGACTTTGAGTGGTACTGTAAATGCTGTGTAACTATTAAGTAAACAAACACATACTAAATTTCAAATACTTGCAAGTTGACTGTTACTTTACATGTACATGTATTTATAAGAAACGGGGTCTCATTAATGGAACAAACTTCCATATAATATATGCATAATTATACACTTGTACCTTTCTTTCTAAAGGCTTTCTAGTACAAGTACAACATAAATTTACTTAGTTTGGGGCTGCATTCAGCAATGCAAAAAAAAAGAAATAAATTCTATATTATATAACTTATTTTTGAATATGACCTTTAACAATTTTTTTTTTTACTCTTTCTCTCTCTGCAGGCAATTTCTATGCTAAGTTAAGAAGGGATTTATACAAGCTCTCTTCAAAGAACATCATTGATAATCATTACTTTAACTACAGTGCAGTATGAAGAAATGATTCACCTACCACCTCGAATTGTCTTTACTACATGTATAATTTAAATCATAACAATACACCATGCTTGTGAGGAATTTAAAAATGTTCCATTTCTTCAGTTGCACTAACTAGACAGGTACATGTTTAAGACTACCAATAGGCCAGGTATCACTTACTCTACAACAATTTCCAGATTACCTTCTTTATAGTCATCCACTAACTTGTAAGAATATATTGCAGAATCACCATCATATTTGATGTTGAACCAGCTTGGGAAACCTGGCACTTGACTAATAACAGTTCCTCGATATGGGACTCTCTCATCACCTTCACTGTAATAGTGTATTACTGACTTGCCCTTCAAGAGTGGTATTGATACAATATCTTCTGAATTACTTCTTTCCACACATGTACCCTCCTCTACAGACTGGGCAGCATCAATAAATTTGAATAAATGCAATCTTACTTCTTGCCATGGAAGAGTAGTGTACCTGTTTGATCCATCATTTTTTCTGGTGAATGAAAATTTCTTATCACCAGGAATGTACTGGCACAACATCAATCTTCTAAACTGAATCTGTTTCTTTAACGCTACATGACGTTCATTGTCAGAATCACATTCTATCATTTTGTCATTGACTTGACTTCTAGTCTGCCAGAGACCTGCATCAATGATGGTGGATGTCAAGTCAGATCTTCTTTTAGTTTCTCTCTCCCTCTGTGCTTTCAATTTGCTTTCTTTCTCTAGTTGATTTTTTAACAGAATTTTTTGTCGCTCTTCATTTCGTTCCTTGTTTGTTTGTACAAGTTCATTTCTAGATCTTGAAATAATGGTCTTTAGCATACCTTCAAACTTTTCTGAAGAAAGAGCATCTATATATTGTGATGTTTTGTTAAAAAGGAACATAATTTGTGCTTCATTAGTGATGGCAGCAACATTGGGTCTTTTTTTAGGAGGAAGTCGAGGTAACCAAAAATTCGTTCAGGTAATTTATTGTGTTTTGGGGCCGAGGCTGTTTCACTTACATACGTCTCATCTTCCTGTAGGTTATGATATTTCCCCCCCGGTAAATAATCTTTTGTAACTCTTTCCAGCAGCTGGTGAAGTGCAATAAAGGTGTGCTTGAGCATACTGTGCACTTCACCGTCATGCTCTGTTTTTTCGGTAAGAGATTCAAGCACTTCATCTTTTGATATCAATTCCTCCGGAAAACAAGACAGATTACCCTGCATGAATTCTTCTAGTTTGCTGTCATCACTAATACACTCCCCTAAAAATGTGTGAAGTGAGGTGTACGTTTGACACAAGTCAAGTATGTGACCCTCTTTTTCTGTAATGCGCCACAAAGGTGCTGTTATAAGCTTATTTAAAAGCCCCAGTACCCGACAGCCTACAATGTAAACCGGAACACCTACATCAGCATGTACAGCTTTCAACAATTTATTTGGTGTGCCATGCACCTTGCTCAGAAACTCTGTAATATTATTGTGCAAATGATATACACACCCACCAAGTAGAAAAATGACATTGAATCTGTTCCCATGAAAATTCAGCAGGTAAGTTTTTGTGATGTTACATCGTTTAAGGAACGTTTTCCAGGCACGATGGCAGCCACTTTTCTCATCTCCACCCTTAGAAAAAGCTTTACATGCTGTTCTCACAAATCGTGTTGTTCCTGCTTCCGTCTTACTTACATTAACACCAGGGATTGATGCTGCTCCTGGATTTGGGTCAGTGTGCATATCTTCATAAGTTTTGAATGATGAAGATATGGTTTCAGCCATGGAAACGAGAAGATGTAGGCCGCAGAAAAAATTATTCATTTCAGTTAGTTTTGCCTTAGTAGATTCATTGAAATGTTGCCACCCTCTTTATACAAAGGTAGACACTCTTCCCTAAATGTCTTAAGCATAACATTAAACAAACATTCTGTGGCTGCTCTGTCACTCATTGTATTTTTTATTTTTGTTAGAATTTCCAAACCTACATCATTCCGGGCAACCCATCGGATAATTCCGAACATATGGAGCTTATGTCATCTAAGACAAGTTTCAAAGTCCCTAGTGTATTTTCGGCTGATTTCGAAATCATTTCTCGCATCCCAAGAACATAGCTGGAACCCTCACTATCATGCATTGTGTATGCCATAAAAATGTCTCCACCTTTTGGAGTCTCGTCCGTTCCAATTGTCAGATTGTCATGTTTGACCAACTCTTCTAACTGTTTCTGCGCCAATAACAACCTTTCTCTATTCATGTTGGCAACAGTACGTCCTGTAGGAGTATTATCAGGAACTTTCCCGATCATTCTAAGAACTGTCTCAATGACCCGCCCTACATTATCAAAACCAACATTATGGTCCAATAAAGAATAAACACATTTCCGGACATCACTCTTGTATGTCATAAAAACCATCCTCGCCATCCATCATGTTCACTACATCACTTTGGTGCCCTTTTAGCTTAGAGTTATATTCCAGGAGTTCCTTAATTCGTTCTTCTTGGTCATTGACCAATTTTTGCAATGTTTCAATAACATGTTCTGCCTCCTTTGCTGTATCTTGCTCCTCTTGCTTTCTTGATTCAAGTTCATCAGTTAATTTTTGGGCCTCTCTTTGTACAGATGAGAAATTTTGCACAAACTTCTGTTTTTTCATGGTGATTTTTTCCAGGTCCTTTTCTAGTGATCTTCTTTTTGTTCTTTCTTCTTGGGTTTGAGTTTTCTGATACTTTTGCCTTCGTTGTTGGAGGAGCAGCTTATGAGGAGATGGTCTTTCGCGTAGGGAGTTATTTTCTTCTTTAAGTAGTGAGTTTTCTTGCTGTAACTTTTTGCTCTGTGTTTTTAAAACTTCGTATTCAAAGATGGTAGATTCTGTCTCTTTAAATGGAGGTTGTCTTTTCCTGCAAGTGATGGTAGGGAATATTCACTGTCCTCCCAAGTTGTGATATCGTCTGGGGATCTGCTTTTGTTCTTCATGTGGCCTTGTCTAGTTTTAAAAAAACTCTTCGACTGGTTGCTGATTCTTTTAGGCCAATCTTCACCTTCGGGAAAGTTTGGAAGTAGCAGCTTCAGCCACAACACCAAGTCGGACCAAGTCTTCTTCTGTTCATTTCTGAGTTGCATCAGTTGGTAGATATGCTTGTTCTTAAGAGTGTGTCCAAGGGGTCCAAATGTCAGATTGTTAGTGACAAGCTTTTGCAAAAGCTCATCCGATAGAAGAGGTACTGGTCCTGGATTAGCCTCAACATCATTGCAGGCAGATAACAACTGGCTACACTGGGGTAGTAGATGCAGAGACGCCATTCCCACAGTTACTGCTATCAAGATGGCACAAAATGTTCTTAAACCAGGGCCGAGGCTCCACGATGAATGGTCAAATTGAAACTCATTTTCGTACTGCGATGACCTTGCTGCCTTTGATGAAGGCATTCTGAAGAGTCCAATCCTCTGCCGCCACACTTCCAGGTGACATCCCATTTCGAGATGAATTCTGTTGACGAAAAAAGAAAAGTACATGTAATTTAATTAAGTTGATTTCCTTTTTTACTGTATTACCTTAATCAAATATAGGCCTATAATAAAAAATAAAAAAATACACTGAGGTCAGCATGAAACCATCTTCAAGAAGAGAAATAAATGTTGACCATCTCCACAAAAGCAACCTCTCCAAAAAAAAATTAACATGCAGTATCACAATGAAACTATGGACTGGTTTGTGACTCCAAGAAATTTTATCGGGCGACAAGATAATAACTCACCTGAGTTGAATTGAATAAAGAAATGTATTGATCTAATTCATGTGAATGTGTGTAAAGGAAAGAAGAGCCAAATATGATAAACTTTCAATATAAAAGTCTTTAGTTTTAACTTTCAATATTATTCTGTCAGTTTTTTACATTCAATTACACCCTTTTCTCATTTGATTATCAACACTGAAATTATCATGTATTAAGGGGTGTAAGTACACTTCATGGAACAGCCGTCAACAAAAAATGAGCGTGACCCATTCGCACAAAAGGTATCTTCCATCTTTCGGACGCCCTCCCTACATTGATTCGGCCACACCACACACACTATACTGCACTGCGATGACTCAGCTCAGCCACCGCGGCAGTCACAGCACAACACACACACACTGCACTGAATGTACTTGCGATCGCATGCGCTACAAAACCAAACAAAATCATCGTTATTTTCCAGTAGAAAACTCTTTTGTCTACAAACTGATACCAAATTCATTAATATTCTGATAAAATTTAAAGGAAAAAACCAAGGTTAAAGTGGTACTTACCTCAAAAATGATCGTAATTTTGCAAATCTTGGCCGATTTTCAAGCTAGTTGTGTCCGATGTATTGCAGGTAGTTTTGGTATCCGATATATACCCCTACCTAACGCAATGCAACGCGAAATCGTCTAAAATGGATACAAAGAAAATTGACTTCGCTTCATCGATGGAAAACGAAGTTTTTGCGTGCAGACCGAAGGATGCGTAGTTGCGTTGCGCAGTAGCCCGTTGCGGTCCCTACTATAACTAGTGGTTAGGTGAGTGCATCACCTGCTTTCTCGTTTTTAACAAAGACAAAATTAAGCCTTCAGTTTTTGTCATTTTTTTTCAATTTCAAATTTTCATTTCACTTCATGTGAATCAGTTCTTTTGTTCTGAAAATGGTTGTTTGCATTTTTCATGACGTTCGGCCAGCCTATTTTCCAATTGGCCAGCCTATTTTACAATTGGCCGACAGTTTTTAGACTTTATTCAATCTTTTTCTGAAGATCGTTTTCATGTTTTTGGTGCTTTTTCATTAAAAAAATTGAAGAAAGAAAATGATAAACAAACGGTGCCCTAAAAAAATGGACGCTAAACATTATTTTTGTATAAATTTCTCCTTTGCTGTGGTGATTTATCAGTATGTGCGCTGGTTCGAGAATGAGGAACGTCCCAGAAAAAATAAGGATCATCCTCATTTTCGCAGAAGTTTCATATTTCCGATCTGCGCGCTGGTGAGGCGAAAAACAGATTCTGCGATAATTCTGCGATAATTCTGCGATGATTCTCTTGAAGGATTTTACATTGACTTTCACGTTATGAGTGATAAATCCTTGGGAAGATGGACAACCCACAAAAGTAGATGGTTGAACTGGGGTTATTTTCTAAAGTGGAATCCTTTTTTCGCATCGCCAGCACCTGGTTCGTGAACCCGAAACCTGCAGAGGGCCGATGAAGAAAAAAAAAATCCGCGAAAAAGTGGACGATAGAGTCTACTTATTTTTAAGAATGCAATTTGTCCGCGTTTACGAGGATATCCTCGGGCGATCCTCATTCTCAGACCATCGCCCCTACTGTTGATGTAAACATTAAATTGTCCCATCTGATCGATGGTCTGTACTGAAAATTGTCATGAAAGGTGCCCTATAATTGGCATTTGACAGAGACTTTGTAAAATGACAACAAAAAACAAAACAAATGTCCGGTATGTAAAGGAGTGATAGACTTTAAAAGAAAAAGTTTCAGATTCTAGACTCAAGATAAAATTTCAATTTTGGTAGTTCCAAACTTCCATAGAAAGCCCAAATAATCATGTGGTGTGAGGAATTCTTTGATAATAGATCTAGGGTCTACTACATTTATGGCACTTGTCAGTGGAACGAAACACAATTTCACTGCAGCAACTGTTGACACAAAAGAAATATTTGTGTATTTGCCTTTTCGGAAGTCAAAAGCCCATTTAAAAATTGTATGTACTGTATAGACTACTATGGGATTACTTTATCTGATTATTAAAAATTGTTATGGGGCATTTGGGCTACCATAATCAAACCGCAAATATATATGTTGCAAGTTTTAGATTTGGAAAGGAAAGAAGGTATTTACATGTGTAATGTTTTAGTGGTACGTTCAGTAGCAAATTTTCATTCAAAATGATTCAAGTAATCCCAATGATGAGATGCCTTACAATAGCTGGAATTACCGTATGACTCCTGATTCCATCGTGGCTCCTGAGGAAATAGTTGACAAAGACTAAAATCAAATCACTTCTCACAACCAATAATTTTTGCCTGTCAGAACTTAAGTCAGAAGCCCTTTTGAAAAATTCTTAAAAACTGAATATTTGCCTTGAGCCATCTGCTTACCACATTTCTTTTTTTGCCAGTGTAAACAGAAACGGTATTTACTGTGTATGCATAGGAATTTGAGCTTCTCTTTATTTTCAGAACTATTGTTTTCCTTTTTCTCTTTACAGAATACGCTGGTTATGGCGCCACCCAACAGTCGTAAGTAGTCATTTATTTGATTGATAGACAAAGGGGGTAGAAGATTTATCTGGCTATTAAAATTTGTTTTTGGCATTTGGGCTACTGTATTCAGATTGGAAATATGTGTTGCAAGTTTTAGAATTGGATTTGTAAATGAAATAAGGCATGTATTTTATTTTGTTTTTAAAAGTAACTTTAATAAGAAATTTGCATTTGCAAAATCCTTATGATGATATGCCTTACAAATAGCTGGAATTACCGTATGACTCCTGATTCCATCGTGGCTTCTGAGGGAATGGAGTAAGGAAGTAAAATTAAGTTTTATAAAATCATCTGTTATTGATCCTTTGATAAATTTTGATATGTATAGTGAACAATTTATTTGCAAGCCTTAGATCCTCGGGGCAGTGGTAATGTTTGTTTTTCGTTCACACACGACCTGTTAAGATTTGTAAGTTTTTATGTAATTTGTATGCTTTCTAATTGCTTTAGAGCTCCATTATTTTGTCATGATGTAATGCTTAATTTAGAGCTTGTATTTGTTGTTTTTGAAGGTATGGGTATGGAGGCACTGCTGGATATCAACAACCTGCTGCTCAACCTGTAGCTAGCACTGGTTACCAACAACCAGCTGCACAGTATGGAACGGTAAGCAACCTCTACAGTTTAGTATCTTTAAAAAAAAAAAAAAAAAAAAAAAAATCAGAATTGAAAGTGGCTGCTTGTGAATGAGAAAAGCAGGGAAAAATAAAGTTTTGTTTATTGTACTGGTAAAATATTATTATTGTGGTCTACAGATATTAATTTATCTGGCTATTCAAATGTGTTTTTGGCATTTGGGCTACCATATCCAAACTGGAAATATGTGTTGCAAGTTTTAAAATTGGATTTGTAAAGGAACTCAGGCATGAATAATTGTATATTGTTTTAAAAGTACCTTTGATAAGAAATTTGCCTTTGAATAATCCTGATGATGAAATGCCTTACAAACAGCTGGAATTACCGTATGACTCCTGATTCAATCGTGGCTTCTGAGGGAATAGAGTAAGGAAGTAAAATTAAGTTTTATAAAATCATCTGTTATCAATAAATGTTGATATGTCCAATCCCTATCACTCTTCACCTGTTCTGTTATTCACCTGTTTTGATATTCACCTGTTGTGTTATTTGCAGCCTGGATATGGTCAAACAGCAGCGGCTCCTGCTCCAGCAGCAGCCGTAGCAGCAGCACCCCAGGCCTCTACCGCTGGCTATGACTACTCTCAACAACAGAGTCAGCCACAAGGTCAGCAGTCTTACTCAACCAGCACATACAGTCAACCAGCCGCACAGCAGCAACCACAAGCATATTCAGCTGGTTAGTATAGTCTGCAATTGAAAGAGTCAAATTTGGGACTGAAGCCTAATTTAGTCCTGTAATCTGGAAAGCTCCAAAAGAAGTTTGAAGGAAAAAATAGATCTGTGGCAAAAAAGCAAAATACAGGAAAAGAAATCAAAACTCTCATAAATGTTTTTAAAAGTTGAAAAAAATAAAATAATAGGTTGTAAATGGAATGATGTCACTAGGCCCAGTTTAGCGATGTAAAATGGCCCTGGAAAACTGTCGCTCAGGTGCCATGGCATTCAGGGCTTCAGACTGATGATATATAACACAGGGCTTATAACAACCATATTTCCTTGGGAAGTTAAATAGAATAGAGAGATGGAGACACTTTTTGATCTGTAGTTGTATCTTTTGCCTTGGAAGTAATTAGCCACATTAAGATTCCGTTTTACAAGATTGGGTCTCCACAATATTACGCAGATCAGGCTAACAGCCTGCTCCAGATAAGTATGTCTCTGACTAATCTGGCGTTCCCGCTGCGTAAATCAATGTCATGTACCGCTATCTTGTCGTCTAGATATTTGTGGATGACATGACGAAGTGCATGTACAATACCATTTCACCAATTCATCTTTCACGTTATGTGAAGATACTCTAAATGAAGGGCTTATAACTGAGAAGAGTCCAAGAGCAAATATGCCCCGGCTCAAAATCAATTATGATTGAACTTAGGTCAGATAGGCGATGGTTAAATATGAAGGTTTTACCCACATACTCTCTTGTGACTAGTAAGTTATATTGTTGCCAGGATTGCTCTTTGGTGGCATTCATGTCCTTTGGTCAAAGGTAGGCGAAAAACAATCTGGCTATTGCCCTGTTTCTATTGTTGGCAACACAAACATATCTTGAATTGTTTATATATATTATCTTCAGGTTTCAGCCAGCAGGCCGCTGCTAGCACGCCCAGCACAGGGTACGCCCAGCCTCCTGCAGCTCAGCCATCATACAGCCAGCCAGCTGCAGCAGCCCCGTCAAACTACAGCCAACCCCCTGCCCAGCCGCAGCAATCCCAGGGCTACCAGCAGCAGCCGCCGCCTCAGCAGAGTCAACCAGGAGGCTACAACCAAGGTCAGTCCGCTGGTGGTGGTGGTAGTGGTGGTGGGGGTTACTCACAAGGTGGACAACCACCAAGTAGCGGCGGGGGATACCAGAGTGGTGGGGGTGGACAGTATGGCCAAGACCAGCGACAAGGTGAGAATAGTGGCCGTGCTGTAACCTCCATTCCAAGGGACTGGTGCAAGACTCTGTCATAAGCTGAAGGCTGTAGACATCTTACTGAAACATGCTTAAAAAAGAAACGCCATGTTTTAATTGGATGTCAGTGAAGTGAGACTGATGACTTGCAAAGAGCCACAATTTCTATTCTGTTAACAGTTCTTTGTTCATGATGTTAGGAACTAGCTTCTCTCGAGGGTAGATGAATTTGCTTCCCTTGGCTGTCAAAACGAGTGCACTTCTGATTGCTGAAGGGTCTCTCTCTCCAAAACATTATATTGATGGTATACCAGTCTTCATTTCATGTATTGCCAATTAATTATGACAGTGTCTTGCTTCCCAGAAATCTTATTTATCAACACTCGTTTCTTCATGGTTTTGCGTAGATGGTTGACCTGCCTCTTTCTCTAACTTTTCAATTTTATTTGACTAACCTATAGCCTTGTAGAATCCCCTTTAGATGCTGAGGACCCATCTAGAGACTCTAGCTTTTTCCCCCTTTTTTAACGTGCCGTTTTCCCTGTAGTGAGTCTTAGCCTCTAGAGCAGTCGTGAGAACTGCAATGGCAACCTCAAGCCCAGAGAGTGTGCATCTGTAGATATATGTGAGGAAATTCACATTTTTTAATGCACATCAACTTGACATAATCTGCACATTTTCAATTGCTTATGGGTTTTCTCGCCCAGTCTACTAGGGAAACAGAGCAGTTGCTTTTTGGAGATTTTCCACTGCATAAAGCCATTAAAGTATCTGCTTGTTTGATTTCAGTCATGACGATGATATCTTCTTGTAAACCTCTAAACATGCTATCATTTCTTACCAGATAAAAATTGAAGTGTGCTTCCAGGTTCAAGATGAAATTATGTACGCGTGTGATTACTAATTTGCACTAGTTTGTTCGGAGCTTTCCCTACATTTACTATTTGCTGACTGTTAAATTAATTAATGTGCTAGATCAGAGATTGTGTTTCTTCAACTGTCAAGCTGGTAACAAAAGCTTCTGGATAAAAAATGTCAAGCTTCATATTGCAAGAATGTAAATTGGCCCATATATATCCTTATCCTGAGCTTTGTTCTTCAGATGAAACTATCAACAGATGTTTCTATACCAACGTCTAACTGCCTGTTCTAACCATTCTTTCATATATTTTACTTGATAACCTGAAGCTGTGAGGAGCAGCTACAAAGCCCATGCCTGCACACTATTTAATCTATCTCTATCAATGTTCTCCTTTCCAGGAGGCTACCAGCACCCGAGCTCTGGAGGCTACAGTCAACCACAAAGCCAGCAGTCAGGTTTGTTCACACGTCCCTTCTGCTACCATCCATCCACTCCTTCAGTGGATCTTGTTAATCGTCACACATTCTATGCTTTGGATAACGTTAGACATGTTCATATTTGCAGATTCCATTGGACAACATCCTATGACGATGATCATCATGATCAACGCATAAGTCGAAGAGCACTTGTGACATGTCAACACGTAAAAATGTCCTTTTTATGAAATGACATACATGAGATGAGTCACATGTGTGTGTCATCAGTTGAATAACAAAATAATTGCATGTATCTTTATCATATTCTAAAGGACTTGACTGAATTAGTTTAAGTCTGTTAACTGATTGCCTTGACTTGGATTCCTCGCTTTCCTCCAAAATTCACTCCGTAGAAGTGGAAAGAGTGTTACAAGAGAAATGATGATGAACCTTCACACACCTAGGAACTTTGTGCTACTCCAGTCAAAATGAAGCTCAGAGTCACCATTGCTCACCTAGCACGGCCCAAATTCACAAAGGAGGTTTGTCGACAAACCTAGGTTTATGTGCGTCATATGACTCGTTTCGATGCGTTTCAGATCAAGGTTCAGACAAACCTTGGTCTGAAACGCGTCATTTGACGCACACAAACCTAGGTTTGCCGACACCCTCCTCTGTGAATTTGGGCCTAAATGTCTACCACTTGAGTAAAAGTAAGCACTTGATAAGAAGACTTCCCATATGAGTTTATCAATCTGAATGATATCATTTGTTTTTGCAGGTGGTGGTGGTGGAGGTGGTGGCTATCAACAAGGCAGTGGACAAGGAAGTGGATATCAGCAAGGTGGAGGTGAGTTTGAAAATCATCCTTAGACAAATACTGTACTGTATCCTATAAATGAGAATGTGTAGGCTGTCTTGTGTGTATCTAAGACCAAGTAGACTCCAAAGTACACTGCTGAAGTGCAGGCTTGAGTGGTAATAAGATACAGAGGCTTTCCGGCCTATAGATGTACTACTTAACAGCATTGTGGTCCCATTTTTCAGTTGAATTTTCAGGTTAAAGATAAAAGTAGAAAGCTAGTGTTGATGTACTTAACAGATACAAAGGAAACTAAGTAAGGTAATGAACATGCATGCAAGTAGTGTGCTTAATATCACACTGGTATTAGACAAAGATCAAGATGATATGTAACAAGCAGGTGTTGTAACTCATTCTTTAAAAGTTCTGCCTTGGCGTGTTCAAATTAAGAGGGTGTATGGAAAGAATTCTGCTGAATGCCAGGTGTATGCATGGTCAATTGTCTATGTTTGTACATGTTGAATTAGAAAGATAAGTAGAGAGGTAACGTGAACCCTGATAAGAGCTTGTGGTTAATTCTTGGTGTTTTTATAGGGTACAACCAGCGACCTGGAGGGCCTGGGCCACAGGGAGGTGGGGGAGGATACAGACCCCCTCCCCAGGGTAAGTCACAACTACGGAGTAATGTGTCAGAGTCATTATAGAGTAAGATATCTGCAGGGTTAGGTACAGTACATCAACCCGATAAAAGGAACTGTATGAGTATTATGGTACACTTCAAGTTAGATTATTTTATTAAGTTGTTCATGTTTATAGCTACTTACGTACTATCATTGATAACATCACCCTTCCCTTCACTTTAAACACAGTAGTAACATTCCAACTTAGTAATGTAGAAGTCAGTGTTTCAAGTAATTTCTAACAAATTGATGATCCATTTCTAGTCCTGTTTCCGCATGTATGAACAATGTTTGACCAGTGGATGAACATGTTTGACCATTGGATATGTTGATACCATTGTAGGTGGACCGAGTGGCGGTGGAGGAGGAGGAGGAGGATACAACCGAGGAGGTCGTGATGATGGAGGCCGTGGGGGCAGTGGTTTCGGGGGAGGACGAGGAGGAGGAGGAGGAGGGGGTCGTGATGGAGGATTCGGGTGAGTTACAAGTATAGACAGATATTCATGGAATGCATATGTTTTAATGGTTCCTATTAAAACATACAGTGGCTCTTGATGAGAAGTAATAGGACATATACACAAATCTTTGGTAGTAATATATTTCACATCTATATCTTAATTTATTCATTTATTCATATCTTTATTATTTTTTTCTGATGTAGTGTGCTACATATGATTTTCATTGCCTTGTCATGAAACAACATACGAACTTATACATTGAGTGATTCGTAAAGCTGTGATAAAAAACTTGTACAGAAAATAAGTTTTAAGAAGTAAAAAGGTTGCGACAGGTTATTAGTTTTCTAGAAGTAAATTTTTGTCGCAAGTTGTAGCCTGTGGTGTCTTGAATAATGAAAGGCTCATATTGCACTGGCAGTAAAGTAATAATTTATGGTACATATTACGATGTGCAAAGGCTTGGGTGTTTTTTTAGGTACATCACTTTTTGTGCCTCCACACCGAGGCATTATATTTTTATAAATCTGGGTGTAGTGTTTGTTGAACCAAAGCCGATGTAGATCTAAAGCTAAGAGTAATACGCCCCTATTTTCATCAGTTCTGGTTCAGGACTTGGTCTATATATTTATTTGGTGTCAATGGTGTATTTTATTTTCATAATGAACAGTACATTTTGATCCGTTTCTCTAACAACATTACATGCCATGGTTTCTCGTTTCAGATATCATCCAAAGTATGAAAATATGTAGTAGTTGTAAGAATATATAAACTGTTGAAAGTAAAACAATTTATTTGCTTATTTCATATTTTTATATGTTTTGTAAAGAACCAGCCAAGTTTCAGACAAAAAGTAAATGTTTTCCTGAATTTCGGTTATTCAGGTTATTAAGACATGAATACAATATATGATGTAGTTATGGAATTTTGAGTGTACAAATAAATGCACATGGGTTTGAAATCAAGAAAGAAGAAACTGGTCATTTTGGAACCATATAGGTACATGTATTGGTAGTGTAAAAAGGTATACATAGAACTCCATTGGTAATGGGTCAGTAGTAGATGTGTTTTGGTTATGAGGTATTGAGGTGTGTATTTGACTGGTGTTTAATCACTTCTACAATTCTAGTTGACATGTGGGCAGAGATATATTCCTCATACTTAGAGCAGAACTGGTCATACATTAGACAGTAAAATTCATGTCACTATGAACCTGACGGACAAAGAAAGCGTACAAAATAAACAGTTCCTCAAGTAGACAAAGGAACATCCCTTCACTGCTATTATGTAAAAATGTGTAGAACAGGTATCGCATACATATTCACGTGTTCTATACATCTTTACATAATAGCAGTGAAGGGATGTTCCTTTATCTACCTGAGGAACTGTATATTTTGTCCGTCATGTTCATAGTGTGTGAATCTCACTCACATTCATGTATGGAAGCTAAAAAATCTCTCTGTGAGGTTATTAGTAGATGGAGATTAGATTTCTTGATTACTGCAAGAAGCACTCACTTGAACTTGTACCATGTGATATCATGAGCTGAGCACCATTGAGCAGCAGGAAATACAAAAACTTGTTAATTTCTGTGCCAGGGGTCCACAGTAATTTGTTATGTCACAGGTGGTCCAGAAAGCAAGATTCCAGGTGTGTTTGCATGAGTCTTATTGTTGTTTTCTTCTCTTGTGGATTTGATGAATTGAATCGCCCTACTTCAAGTCGGCTGAAGATGGAAACAGATGTGATAGGACTGCTACTATGACATTGAAAGAATAAACTACATTGATGTACAGCACTCTATTATCAATAAGACCACACAAAATCAACCTTTTTCTTTTTTTGAAACTTCCTATTCCAGGTCATGTCATCTCTCTATCTCTCTCGATCTCTTCTCTTTCCACTTCGTCCCTTGTCTTTTTCCTCTAAGATAAAGAGCTGCAATTACACTTTATACATATTTATAAAAAAACAAAAATGCCCTCTCTTATCAATGCATTCATTGAAGAAGCATGTCATCATGGTGTTAAGGAAAGAAAGGTATCTGGTTTGATATCAAATGAAATCTGTTTCCCCCTTTTGTAATGTACGACATTCATCCTCTGTCACCTACACACTCGGGTATGACATCCTTTGGGTACTTTGGTGGTTGCTTATGAGGACTTTAACAAAAATCATCTTGAGGTAAAGGCATTACATGACAGGACCTTCATATAGTTTCTATTCAGTACATGTGACAGCTTCAATGATAACTTGACCATTCATCTATCGGTTCACTCATGTTTTTCTTTGCGAAAAAAACAAAACTTCAAAGTAGTTGTATGGACTGAGCGAGAGTTGCAAATATGATTAAGTAGTGATAGTTGTCATGAATGACTTTACATGATACATCTTCACTCTTTCAGACTTCTCTTTTTCTAAAGACGCTTAGGAGTGGGCTCTCATGGGGAATTCAACGCAGTTTGGGTGTTTACAATAACAGCTGTTGTCATTGACCAGGATTAACCTTCAGTGTTTCATGTATGAAAACTGAGGACCCTCGTCCTTTAAGTTTGGAAGTGCATAAACAGCATGTTGAAAGAAATAAAATGGTATTGCTACTGGTTTACATCTATGCTTGTGTCTACATTCTATGGTATACTGACCCATCTACCAGAGGTATTCTAAGAAATGGAGAAAAAAAAGAAGCTCTTTACAGGAGTTCAAATGATTCAGGGTTGATTGTAAGAAGTGTTGAACTGGCTGGTTCTACTAAGAAAAGATATGGTTATATAGTGTGAAAATAAGTGGTACACAGTTATTCTCTCTTCCTGTTCACACACCGTTAATGTATTTAATAAATACTTTGCTAAAGATCATTTGTATTTCTTTAATACCATTCACTTCTATGAATTGAATGTGTGTCATTATGTGAGTGTGAGAGATATGTTACCCCCTTCCCTTCTCACATATTATTTGTGATGTTGCAAATATGGCACCTTCTTTTACCAAAAAATACATTCGGAGGAAAATGTAGATACAGTCAAACCTGTCTACAGCGACCGCCCAAGGGAAACAAAAAATGTGCTTGTTGTAGACAGGTTCTTTACTACATGTTTCAATGAGAAACCATTTTCAAGGGAAACAACAAATGTGGTTGTTGTAGACAAATGGTCACTAAAGCAGGTTTGACTGTAGTTTCTTTTCGATTATGAGATTAGGCTGAAGTCATGCTGCATGGTTGATGGTTATTTTTGAAGCCCTACATATTTTGATATGAGTCATATTTACTTCACAATTTTAACAAGTAGTTTTGTGTCCCAAGTGTTACAAAGTTGCTGCATGTCTTTGCTGACATAAAACATGCTAGGAAGTTGGTTGTATTTTATTAAAGGGTTTCTGTAGGTTAAATAGTATGTCAACACAGCACTTGTATTGAGCAATTAAGAGATGTCCTGTTCAGAACAGACATTTAGGGAATTTGGGTTTTTATCAGTTCTAGGATAAATAATATATTTCTAAATATGTTTTAGATATTACAAGTTGCTCAGAGGGTTGCAATTTCATGCAACCCGATTGGTTTCGTCCACAGCAGTAAAAACAAAAATATATTTAGATACTAGCCATTGTATTTGATAGTGAGTGAATGAAGTGTTGTAATTTTCTTTCTTTTTTTTTATTTGAAAAAGAAATAATTTTTTTTTAAGTAACAGAATGTTTAAACATTTTATTAAAGCGTGTAGAGTCTATAATTTAGTGATGATGTTTTTCCTCGTATATGATGAAATCAATGTAAAATTAAGTAAGGGCTTTTTTGTTGAATTGTGTAACTTTTTTTTTGAAAATGTGCATTTATAAAAATACACAAAAGTGTATATTTTAGGGAGTAATAGCATTGCACATATAAACGTGGAGCAGAATGATGCTGTTCTTATCACTTACAAAAGTAGTCTTGATAAGTACTCTGATTATACATACATACATACATACATCAAGAATGACAATAAGGAATGCAGAATAATTTTCCTTTAAAAAAAAATCTTGTTATTTTATTTCTTTATTTTCATACTATTTAATTTTTATTGCGTAGTGTGGTAGGAAACATTGAAATTGCATTTGAAAACATATTTTTAGGTGCATGTTGTCTCAATTCATGTTTTTGGTGAATTTGTAAAGAGAGGTTTATTTTTGAGAACCATTATTTCTAAAGAAGAGGTTATTTATCTGTCAGACATTTATGCTTGCAAAGTCCAATGAATGTGAGCCTTGAGTGTATTTAAGATTCAAGAAGAGAAGAAGAAAAAAAGTTTGCTTTACAGTTAAAGCAGGGCATGTGTTAGGAAGAATAAACCTCTCTGGACTAGTTAAAGTCGTATAAAATGTACATGTGTATATGAATATTGCCTGATTAGTCCTGAACAGTGGATCTACCTTCTGACTAGCCGGTATCCACAAGAAGATAATGAAGATTGTAAAGAGGCTTAAAGTGAGATCAGGGAAGGCTGCAATGCCCCCTCCCTCTCTCCTAAGCTCTTGGCTTGCTCTTCTCAAATCAACTTGCCCTTTTATTTGTCCTCTATCTATCTATACAACCAGTGATCGTGGTGGCGGAAGGGGTGGATTCAATAAGTACGGTGGTAAGTTTAGGTCACCCATCTCTGGTGTGTCGATCATCAATGTGTTCTAAATTTATTTAGTTTTTATTCTTATTGAAAAAATAGATGGATAAAACCCCCTTAGTGGCATTATTTGAAAGGGCTCTAAATGTAAAAGCATTTTCTGTTTGGATGGGTAAATTCATTCAGGGGCTCAACTTTCAAACTTTTCTTTAAGGTGGGTTATTTAAAGGATTGTTTTCAATCTTTGAAAGTACTTCTGAATGTGTAAAAGGAAATTAATATATTTTTATGATGTTTAAAGAGTTGATGGCAAGTTCCCATTCTTTTACTTTACTTCAAGTATCCTGTGCAACGTTGTGTTTAATCTCGAGAAAGATACACTTGCCGATAGCTAGTTTGGTAGTAACTTGTATTCGAGGGTCAAACTAAAAAAGACTGATGAAACAATTTGACAAAGATGTTTTTTTCACAAAAAAAGGGATCAATATATCATGGATATGGGTGATTAGGTTGTGGTTATGTGAATGTTCTTATTTATGAATATGTACCTATGAAATGTTATTCTTTTGCAGCAGTTGGGAATCAAGGAGAAGCAGACACTGCTCGTAAACGTTCATACTTTGACTAATGGTTCATATACAAACATACTCTTAAAGTTTTACATGGTGTTCACCAACAAAGCATACAGCGCACTGAGCGCAGTGTCGGTAGTAAAATGAGTTGTACTGCAAACTTACATATTTGGTTGTGTAGTTGTCATTGTGACAATGCGCGATAGAAATCAGTACCATCGAAATGGGATGAAACAGGAACTTTAATATAAAGAAAAATGCCAATATGTGATAATAAGTGTGTCCAGGAGTTGGTAAACAATGCAAGTTAGCGTGTCCTTCTGGTAATTTATCAAGCAAATACAGCATTGATGGCAGTAATGTTTTACTGAGTTGCAGCAAAGTTAGTCTCTGAAAATATAATCCTATCGGTAAAAGGAAATTACCAAGGCATGCTGCGATGCAGTCATACAGGAGTTGAGATCTTCAATATTAGAGTCTATGGGAAGTCAAGTGGGCATTTTTCCCCACTGCATATTTATGCTGAACATGAGGTTTCTTGCTCAGTTTGTGTGAGTTGGTGGGATGTACCAAATGGTTTGTAACAAACACATAGTCGCGGTACTACAATATTTGGGTTTGTGTGACGAGTTTTGCCCGTTTTAAGAACTTCATTGTGGCAAGGTACAAAGAGGTTATTAACACATAAATTAAGGATGAGCTTGGAAGGAGAAATTAAAGAAATATATATCAGTCTGATCCAGTAAGAAGATGATGCATAGAGTCTTCAAAAAATAATTCAAGAGTTAAAGCAAAGCACATTTATATCATTAATGAACACATAACTCCCTCTCCCTAGGATATGTCGGTTTGATATTGAAGAAAATCTAGTAATGTACATGTCGCGGCTGTGCAATTGTAGAGCATTGAATTACCAAAAAGAAAAGTTTATACTTTTAAAGAAAAAAATCTGGTCAACGGCTGAAGGTGCTAGGGTACAGTAAAGTTTGATGATTTTGACATCGAAAGAGGTAGTACCCCTCCAAGTCCAGCCTACGAGTATCATGAAAATGCAAGTGACGATGTTTGGGGATGTGAATGTTCTAAAAAGGTTGTGTTAAAAAGAAACTCACCATGAAAAATCTATTCATGGATTAGTAACAGTGTTGTGCCCAGCATGTTCATACATACACATATACACAAGCGTTAGCGTATCATGTCATGAAATAAAAATGTAAAACATGGGGTTTGAGCATGTTATAGTTCGGTTTTACAGCTGTAACATGACATTTATGTTATATCTGTTAAGCTACAAACTGTGCTTTACAGTAACTTTACTAACACAGTTTTGAATGTACAGGACTTAACGTATGTGTGAAGTTAGAATAAAATAAAAAATCTTGGTACAAAAGTAACTAAAACGCAGCAGCAGCATGCAAAGCATGGAGTATACTAAATGATACGGTTCAATTGTATCGATGGGATTTTTGTACCCGGCACAAGATAAAGCAATACATTTGGTGGAAGTACTGTACTGAATGAAAGTTAAACAAGTATTCATTTTTTACCAAGCAAGGTAGATCATAATGATTTGAAGTAGAACTTGCAAGGTAGAAACTGCTAGCGGTTTATCAGACGTGATTTGAGGTGCGTGTATATCTTGCTATACCCTCTCACTGTCAAAAGGTTTTAAAAAATAGAAAAAAAATATTTAAAAAACAAAACACGTAGGAAATGAAGTATCATATCACAGACACTACTAACCATAGATTTGTATTACTGTCTTCTAGGTTCTGTGCAAGGAACTCAATGTGAAGTGACGCAGCAAATATATTTTGATCACATGTTACTCTGTTATTAATGCAAGGTTCATTTTTGTGCTCTATTTAAAGGTGATGGCGGTGGTGGTGGAGGAGGAGGCGGCGGTGGATTCGGCCGCGACTCTGACAATGGATACAACAAAGGAGGTGGAGGTAAGGGAATTGTAAAATCTCAACTTTTTTGGGGGGCCATAACAATCGTGCATAAATAGAAAGTTGTTCTGATGTATATAGGCCATTTGTACCCTGCGAGGGGATGCTACGCTTTGCGTTGACTTGTTAATCTCGCACCAAATAGTAAAAATGCACATGTATAGTTGTTGTTTGAAAGTTGAAATTTTTGATCCCTATGTATCTATCAAGGTAGCTTCTCAAAGGTTGATTGTATATGTGTGAAATAATTAGTTGCAAGTCTATGCCCACATTGCCTGAATATCAGAAGGGCCTTACTTTATGAAAGTTTCAAAAGATATTACAGCCTTCTGGGTTTTCAGCAGATGATATGTTGAGGCAGTGAAAATGGAGAATGTAAAAGTATCTTTCTGCTTTGATCTTTTTGCGCAGAGATGGAAGTACAACACGATACCATATTCATCAGTGGAATGCTGCCAAACAGTGTCGATGAAGACAAGATCAAGGAACACTTTGGACAGATCGGTGTTGTCAAGGTAACGCACTTAATTATCTTTATACTTTGATATGATAGTTCTGGTCTGAGTTCTGGATATGGACCAACATTTTAGAGAAACTGATATTGGTTTTACTGTTGACAAATACAAAACCCATTGAGGGACTATAGTTGATAATTTTATTGGCTCGATTAATAGTAGTGTCAAATCAAGACTGAACACACTATGAATATGACGGACAAAGAAAGGGGACATAATATACAGTTCCTCATTCTACCCTCAACAATTGCTATGGTAGACAAAGGAACACCCCTTCACTGCTATTATGTAAAAATGTGTAGAACAGGTGACACATGCTTATTCACTTGTTCTACACATTTTTACATAATAGCAGTGAAGGCTTATCCTTTGTCTACCACAGAAATTGTTGAGGGTAGAATGAGGAACTGTATATTTTGTCCGCTTTCTTTGTCCGTCATGTTCATAGTGACAGACGTTGTATTAAAAACAAAGATATGCAAATTGAGGACAAATTTAAGAGACTGTCTAGCCTGTGATGATGAATGTGATGATCTAACAGCTTTGATTCCTGTTCTTTCTTTGATTGGTTCATTAGCTTGATAAGAGGACAAACAAGGATAGGATCTGGATCTATAAGAACAAGCAAACACATGAACCTACAGGAGAGGCTACAGTGACGTATGAAGACCCTCATACAGCTACATCAGCTATTGATTGGTTTAATGGTGAGTAGAGGAATCCTTGAGTGATTTAAAGCCCCACTGCACTCCTTATAGCTACTTGCAGCCCCTATATATATAGCAAATAATGCCTAATCGGTGCCTATTGGTCCCCCATGATCCTCTTTTTCTGATAATTGTGAGCTGATTTGATGAGATAACCCCCTGTCAGTGACCATGCAGGGAGGTCTAATCCTCCCTGGCCAAACTAGTGCAGACTGGCTTTAAACACTTGTCTGGAGATGGGGATGTCGTGTGTTCGATCCCGGGACAGTGCTTATGTCCTTGAACAAGGCATTTATCTATAGTGCTTCTCTCCGCTCGGGTTTTTAATGAGTTCCTGTGAGGATATTCAATTCCATTCAATTCAATTCAAAAAAAGAATTCAATTCAATACGAAAATCATTGTAGTTCGCTTAGCATTGTGAGCATCTGTAAAATGGCGATCGGCTGGAATGCTCCCTTGGGAGAGGAGAATGTCCATACATTGTGTGCGAACAATCCTGCATCCAATGACCAGGGTAGTAGATGTTTGAATCACTACTTAAACCCAGAATGTGATTATTATTAAACTCTATTCTAAGGTCTCATTGGTATTTTGCAAGTCCAAGGAAATGTGAAATTACATATTGTTATCTGTCTTGGGACATTGTCAAACTCCAACCCTGGCAATAGTTTTGGAACGTCCTCTGTCAAACATCATTCTTCAATATGTCACACCTACAAAGATGTTAAATATGTGTTTTCTCGTGCAAACCTGGAGGGCGTTTCCCAAAACTTGTTATCAATGACAAATGACAGTTTTTGTTATAAGCTACTAAAATCCTTGCTTCTGATTGGTTATCAACAGATTTGTCACTGATTTTTGTCATTTGTCATTGAAAAAAGGCTTTGTGAAATGGGTCCCTGTGTACCATGTAGTGACACTGTAGGTGCTCATGTTATTTCTCTATTTTCTCTGTATTTCAGGCAAGCCCTTCAATGGCGCTACCATCAAGGTAGAACTAGCCCAGCGTCCAGCCAACCGACTCGGTGGTGGTCGCGGCGGTCGTGGAGGTGGTGGAAGGGGCTTTGATAGGGGTGGTGATAGGGGCGGTCGTGGAGGGCGTGGCATGGACAGGGGTGGCCGAGGTGGTGGTGGACGTGGAGGTGGACGCGGAGGACCTGGTGGCGGTGGCTCATTCCGTGAAGGAGATTGGGAATGCTCGTAAGTATCGCATAAAAATGGTTTCTGTTGAATGCTAGAAAGTTGTAACTTAACTCTAAGCAAAGTACTTTTAGTTAAAATCCTCCTGGCTTCCTGCAAAATTTGTGCGGTTTCGGAAAATTCAGGATCATCAAAAGGATTCTTTAATTTTAAAATTATTTGCAGTGATAGGAACATGACAAAAAAAATATGTGATATAATATCACATAAACAATTCCAATTAGCCTTCTAGCTCTTAGAAACACTCCTTTCAACTCCAATCTTCACTGATATCCTTAGGCAAGATATCAACCTGCACTTGCTACTCTCCACCCAGGTGTTAAATGGGTACCTGGGAGGATGCGACCGTCATCGTTGGTCAAACAGTTTTTGAACGTCAAGTAATGCCTGTCTGGAATGCTCCCCAGGGAGTGGAGATTGTGCACATAGTGTGTGCGGGCAAGCACTGAATCCAATGACCGAGACATTTGTATTAAGCGCTATATAAAAACTAAAATATTATTGATTCAAAGAAGTGTGTATTATTTTTTTGTAGCAGCAAGGTAAAATTTATCTCTTTTTCTGTATTCCAGCTCGTGTGGTAACAAGAACTTTGGATGGAGACAGAACTGTAACAGATGCTCAGAAGCAAAGGAAGGAGGTGATGGTAAGTTCAAATTGCAAATTTTGTAAATACTTGGTGGCCCAATAAAAGGGAATAGCCTACTTCCAGTTATGTGGAGTCATATTCACTGGTACCAGCAGTTGGGAGAATGTTTTCACATGAAAAATGATACCAAGATTGACAAACTTTGTAGAGGGGTTTTTGTTTTAGGGATCATTTTGTGATGCAAGATTGGAATTCAAAAGGTATATATAACTGCACATAAGAGTTGCAGAGTGAGAGTGGAACTGATCAGTTGCAAATGGAATAAAGATGATTTTTGGATTGTTAACTGTGATTGATTTGTCTTTCTGTGCACAGGTGGACCCGACATGGGTGGCGGCATGAGGGGAGGCCGTGGAGGTGGATTCCGTGGTCGTGGTGGTGATCGTGGAGGTGATCGTGGACGTGGAGGCTTCGGTGATCGCGGTGGTGGTCGTGGAGGTTTTGGAGGAGGACGAGGTGGTGGATTCCGTGGTGGGCGTGGCGGTCCCGGAGGACCAGGTGGACCCGGTGGTCCAGGAGGGTTTAAGATGGGTGGAGATAGGATGGGCGGAGATAGGCGAGATAGAAGGGATAGGCCTTATTAGATTCAGCAAGGTTTTAGATGTATACAGACGCACACCAACCAGACAAACGATCGTTGTCATGATTTAATGGATAGAAATTAACTTTTAATCTCACATGGACTTGTCAACTGGCCAGTGTTGCGTGAGTTCACTAACTCTTTTGATATCAGGAGGTTTATGTTGAGGCTGTAAATATTCTTATTTGTGTAGCTTCATTATCTCAAAGTTAAACTGATGTATTCTTGATGTAAATCAGTGATTTAGAATCGGTCTGTGCAAGGGGAATTTTAATCATGGTCTATTACCAGGAAAGTTTAATCAAGTTTTTGTTAATGTAAGGCTGATCACACATGCACATAGATATTGGCACTGACCAAACAAAACCATTCTGAGTTCTGTGCTAAACAATTGAACAGATATCTGGAGAAATGACCCACTTTATATGCATTGTGCTTTTTGTTTAACTCCCTGTTATCAAATATTGTACTAGTGTTTTTTTATAAATGAGGTGAATGCTTTGAATGTTGGTAATTTATAAGAAAGCTTTTCTCTTGCATGAGCAACACACAACCTGGATAAAGTTAATTGAATAATTTTAAGTGCAAATTATTTGGAATGGGTAAAGTAAGCAAACTTTCTTCAAATTTCCAAAACAAGAATGGCCCACATTTTAATTATTGCCACAATAAAGTGCTGACTTTTTATCAACTTCTTTTTGGTTAATTTTCATTTCATTATATCATCTGTTGAGCCTTGTATAAGTATTTCATGTCTATATTGTAAGTATACTGTAGTGGCTTTTCTGCCTATTTTTAATGCTATGTCTTTGTCATTGTTGTAAAATAGAATAAAAAGGTGATGTTCCTGGAAAAAAAAGTTTTTGTGATTTCATTCTGAATTTGACTTTGTGAAAGAGGACTTGAATTTGTAAGTTTCCCAAATCCTGCCGTCGGTAGGTCAAACTTTTGTTAAATTGATAAATGGTCAAGTACCACTCTCATTCATCTCGGGTGGAAAAATAATGAAAGAAAACTAAAAGACAAATCTAGATGACCTGGCTGCAATGTAATTACAAGAAGTCTTTTACCCACTTTTGTTTTCTAAACCACTCAAATCGTACAGCAAGTGTCTTATGTATTGACCAAGGAGTTATAACTTCTCGCATTCATTGAGGGGAAATGGTGGTAGAGTTTGTGCTTGAACAAACGCATGGAAAATGGATTGAAATGGATCTTGGCGATCATTTCAGATGAATGGTTTGGTTGTCGCACTAACTTGTGAATTGAGTTGATATTGAGAAAGTGTGGTGCAAGAAAATAGCACATTTGAAAGACCAGAGAGAGAGAGAGAGATCTAAAGGGGTGGGGGGATTTGACTGGAATGGTACATACAGAGAGAGAGAGAAAAAAAAAATGAGAGCAGCAGAGAAGAGAAGCGGCGAGAGAGATCAAGACAAGAACTTCAATTGAGAAGTACAGAGAGAGAGAAAGATTTGTTTAAAGTAAGAAGGAGAGAGATCGAGGATAGGAGTTTCAAGTGAAGATGAAGATGGTGCATCAATATTTTGGAAAGGTACCATTTTACGAGTACTCTGTTCATATAGAACATACATGATGTACAAGCCTTTACACAACATACTTCAGCATCAAAACGTGTATGATACAATCAAGAACTATTCATAATTTCATACCCTTTGAAAATTGGATGTTTTTGTGACTTTCGTAACTCGAGAGATAGAGGTGGAATGGTTAAACTAAGGCCTTTGTGGAATACTTTTTGATGTAAGCTATAATACGTCACATTGTAAACAAACATAAAGCAGGACAAATCAATTTTTGACGTACAGTGCTTGAAATTTTCCAAAACTTGGTAAGGGTTTGAATAATTTAGTTGTTAACTGTACATCAATCACATCACACGATTCAAGATACAAGATCTGGAATGGGCCTTTTACATCACATCACGGCAGCGGAACTCATTTTATACTTCGTACACAGAGTACTTTTGTATGGTAACCCTATGGACATATTTATGGTTAAACTAAGGCCTTTGTGGAATACTTTTTGATGTAAGCTATAATACGTCACATTGTAAACAAACATAAAGCAGGACAAATCAATTTTTGACGTACAGTGCTTGAAATTTTCCAAAACTTGGTAAGGGTTTGAATAATTTAGTTGTTAACTGTACATCAATCACATCACACGATTCAAGATACAAGATCTGGAATGGGCCTTTTACATCACATCACGGCAGCGGAACTCATTTTATACTTCGTACACAGAGTACTTTTGTGTGGTAACCCTATGGACATATTTATCATTACTATGTAGAACAGAAATTTTGAATCCAAAATATGCTTATTAGAACCTCACAATATGATCGTGCAGTGTGTTGAAAAACAAATGTTTGGAGAACATTTTTCTTTGGAGAAAATTGAGATGAGAACAAAACAAAAAAGAGTAGCTTGCAATCAAGTTGTCAATTCATGTTCTGATATACCTTAACTTTTCATTTACTTTCTTATAAAGTTTCTTTTTTCAAACTTTACACAAGTTCCTCACATCTTCTGGCATGATTGAAAATGACTGGATAACTGGGTGATATTCTCTAAAGATAGCAAATAAATAACAATCATACAAAAGAATAAGGCCTCAAACAAACAGCAGTTACAAATTGAAGTATTTATTAGATGAAAAAGACCACATATAAGTAACATACATGTACATTTATATTTGCCAAAATCATAAAGTATAATATTTGATAAATAAAGTATGTACATTAATTTCCCTTAAAAATCATATCAACATTTACTCTTGCCTTTCTGTCACTAGCAACACATAGATGCCATAAAATAATTTCATCATCTTGTAGACAAAGAACGTCTTCAGAAATGTTAAAGTGTTCATTGTAATTTGGGATAATAAACAAAGTACTCATGTATTATCAAGACCTATGAATTATATAAGAGCATTTCAGAAAATCCTTGGCATTAGTAACCGTAACAAAATGAGTACCAGTAATGAACAAGTGGAGAATGAAATTGCCCTTAAAAATCTGACTCTAATTACCAGTAGTATTATTATTAAAATATACACTGTACATGCACACTTATAAAGGCAGCAAATTATCAAATCATGATGCACCCTGTTACAGCATTTTTATGCAATCAAGTTTTGGGGTCGGCCACTCAATGGGGCCGGCCACTCGATGGGGCCGGCCACTCGATGGGGTCGGCCACTCGATGGGGTCGGCCACTCGATGGGGTCGGCCACTCGACGGGGTTGGCCACTCAATGGGGTTGGCCACTCAATGGGGTCGGCCATTCAACGTACAAGAAACAGAAAATTGTCCATAAATCTATGTTTACCAATATTTTTGTGTAATGCTAACAATTATATACAATCCATACCGTCAAGTAGTTTATGTAATATCTACAAGTACAACAATTGCAAATGATCAGGATTTTAGAAAAAGGGATTTGTGGATTATACAATATATTTAGATATATATATGTATACATTATATAAATATATCTCTCTCTCTATTACATTTGATCTGACCACATAAAATCTTTTAATTTCACAGAAGTGTCCATGATGCAGTGATCGCTCATTATACAACACATCATAATGACATGGCAAACATGAACGAGACAATTTTAATATCTTCTTTAGTCTGATGAGAATCTGTTGTCTTAGAATGAGATGATAGAGCTTGATGCATGCCACTCAACGACTAGTAATTTATTTTGTATTGTAGAGCTTACACATGTAAATATGTCTCATCACGATGCTACAAGTAAAACATTTAATTCCATCAAAATGTCGCCTACATTTTGGTCTCTATACAGAGCACATATCGTCTGCCAACAGCAATACGGTCGTTAATACATATCATCTGTGTGGAGCCAGAAAAACGTTTGTAACTCATGTATATTAAGATAGAGTTAACACCCTTCTTGCCTTGAACTAGCGATATGCTTTTTCTCTTTTCCTTGTCATCGTGACATCTGCCCTTACAGTATTTATCCTACAGGATTTTTTTCCGTTTTGGAAAAAATAATGGATGGCTGAGGTTAAAGCAGACTTTATCCTTTCCTTTCAAAATCCAGACCATGATGGCATAAACACAAACAGGAACAAATAGTGTACACAAATCACAATATAAAATCTATAAGACATCTACATGTATTTCATACCGGTACTTGCAGCTTGACTTCCGGTATATCACATCTACATGTGTACATGGATCTTTCCTTTCTCCAGTTTAACTGTTTTCTATAACAGCACAGAGACCACAAATATGTCATACGTCTTTCTTGCAATTATTACATACATAACTAGACTGGAACCACTTCACAATATATCTGAAGTCTTGAATGATGAATACTAACTAGTACAGAGTAGAAATTGCCAATTAGCATAGATGTGTGTACTATAACAGTCATATACATTTCACATGATACATGTACCGTATGTCATCACAATCTCGGGTAGTTCAACATTAACCATTTATGACGACAAGTAATTTTTAACATCAAACAGTAATTAAAAAGATTATTCACACCTGAAAGTACTGCAAATTGAGAATATAAAAATAATCAAGACTTTTAATCTCTTATGTTTAACAAGTCTTTAAGGAGATTACATTTTTCCTCCATAATGTTTATATACTAAGAATTATACTACATTGAAAACAATTAAAAAGACACTTTTAAAACACACGACAGGTATGCTTCTTCCATATAAAACATTCTTGTGCATGTGGTGATCATGACTAGGAAACATCCTACATTGTCCATTGATCGAGGGGCAACCATTTCGCTTGAAATTATGAGATAAAATATTTTAAAAATTACCCAAAATATTAATATTTGTCATTTATATGGTCATTTGTCAAAATCCCTCCATTCAGTGCTTACACTGTTAACACTAGATACCCATACAAGTGTGCTTATGTTATCAAATGTTATATTAGGCTTGAATCCAACACGATGCAATAAACCTCATCAAAAACTGCAGCAGCGCAATAAAAAACACTTTGTGTCCATAGTGGCGGGAGGGACAGAGGCAACATGACACTAAAGACCCTCCACAAGTGCTCTTTGCTTTACACTCAAAACCAGTCTATTTATTCAGGGATAAGTTTCGCTGAGACTATGTCTGGCTTCACCGAATCCTATCCTCGGAGGAGAGCATCAAAAGACAAAATAAGTTTAAAATTTCCCCCAAGGAGACAGATTCTTTTGTCTATCTACCGGTACACTTATTTCATATCATTCTACTGTGCCATTTTTTCTTTAGTATGGTCTATTTAAAAATATAAAAAATAAAGTAAATATGATCTATATCATTCGTGAAAGGAAATCTTCAATAAATACCTGATTTTAATTTATTTGCAAATAAATGATTTATGTCTTGTTTTGTAGATATTCCTGATGCTTAGTCGGAATGCACAACAGTCACCTCAGCACTATATCTACTCTAGTACCCACAATTACAGAGACGCTAATATGTACGACAGTGTCACATGTATGTACCACAATACTGACTCATTTGTTCTACTACTAGCCGGTATACAGTCAAACCTGTCTATAGCAAATGCCCACGGGAAACACAAAAAGTGGTCTTTGTAGACAAGTTCCTTTAGTACATGTTTCAATGAGAAACCGTTTTCAAGGGAAACAAAAAATGTGGTCTTTGTAGACAGGTAGTCACTAAAGCAGGTTTGACTGTACCCTACTATACACATCTGACATACTGGGATACTCACTCCACATATTTGGAAGAAATTAAGGAAATACTTCAGTTATAAAATGAGCCATCTTCTTTGTATTATCTAAATTGACAAGTACCACATGACTAACAAACAATTTGGCACTGAAAAACAGCTTTTCATCATTATCAAATACAATCAGTAAAAAAAAAGCTCATCTAAATTAAAAAAGAATTCACTGAATAATAAAGATTTTCTCTTCCCTTGTTTACCGAAGATTTCATCAAATGGTCTCATTACTCATGAACGACACAACGCAGACCAAAATGATCATAAAACATTCTCAAATCAAGTAAAAAAAACAACCTTAGCACTTACTCCCTGCATCTTATGTCCAACAAATACAGTTAAATACTGCTCGTGCTTGTCTCTTATCCTATCAGAAACAGTGTATCATTGCATTCTAAGGAAATTGCATTAGCCCAAGTTCTTTTAGTAATCCAAGAGACGTTTATGTCAGGTACATGTACATCTATTAAAAGCAAGCTAGAGAGGGAGAGGGAGAGAAATGGATAAAAAGTAGAGAGAGAAAGAGAGAGAGAGTGGGGGAGGAGAGAGAGAGAGAGAGAGAGAGAGAGAGAGAGAGAGAAAGAGGGGAGGAGAGAGAGAGAGAGAGAAAGAGAAAGAAATAGACAGAAAGTAGCCATGCCTCCAATTACCAAGAAGTGAGAGATGCATTATTCCACTTGCTACACTATATACCAACTTGCTCATAATTTTCCTCTCAAAATGACAAAGTATACCCCCCACCCCCCCTTGAGCCATGCCCCTTTGCCATTGTATACATGTTAGAGCTTTGAATGCCCTTCATACCTTCTAACTGACCACCTGACCAAACTGACTGAACCATAAATCAAACAACATTCTGTGCCTGCTTTTCCATTACTTAGTATTTCAATATAATCAATATATAATCAATAATAATATTAAATGAATCAAATAAATCTGCTTAAGTACCACGCCCATTTGTACATATCATGTAAACTACCAAAGAATATTACAAATTTATTTCATCTTGGTCAATTTTGCTATGAATCCTTTGAATAATAATGTTGACTTTATCTTTAAAGGGCAATCCAATATTTGTATAAGTTGACTTGTGTGAAAGCAGAAAAATATGAGAAACAAGATGTAAATTTCAAAGAGGACATCACTAAGTCTATGTGAATTTCAAACTGGCAATTTGGTTGGTCGCTTGTGACTAATACTCCCTTTTGTCGTCCACGAAATTATAATTAATTTCCATTTCTCCCCTTCATAAACCTTTTCCCTGAATGCTATACTCAATAAATACTACTTTATGTTCACAAGTGTTGTCAATAAACAGACATACTGTTCTACTGAAAAAAAGATGATTTTGTGTGTAGCAAGATTTGTCTGACAATACATCAGAGTAACGTTACCAATATGTTGATTTGAAGGTCCCATATGAACAATGATCTCAAATTTGAAAAATATGAACTTTTTTATCATTCGTCCGATTTCATTTGTTCTCTTGATTTATCTGCATTCACTCAGAGTAACGTATTATCAAGGTTGTATTCTCTATTAATAGCACAATCAAATATTCAGTCTAAATTTGAAGCACATTCTGAATTACAACTATAAACAATACATTAATCAGCTTTGCATTGTCACCGTACACATAACAAAACTGTACTTATACACTAATACTAGACAATATCTCACGGCACCCATATATACATACATGTACACAAATCAGTTGGAAGGCAATTATATTGCAGAAGATAATTGCCCTATTTCAAAGTTATAATCCACTTGATAAAAAGTAAACTTAAGAAATAATGTGACAAGAAAATGCTTGCATGTAATGTGAGTCTCAACGACATGATTTCTGTTATTTTGAAAAACATGCATGTACATTCTATCTTTGTTATAGTTTAAACAGTAATGTCAAATTCATGACAATTTAATGGAAACTTTTTCTCATTAAATGTCTTTGAAATTAACCTACTTTGACATCAAGATTGTAATCTTAAGGTTTGTATCTTCATTAATATCTGCATATTTTTTTTTTACTTTGCAAAATGCTTATTGTTTATGATTGTGAAAAAAGTAATGTATACACGCTTATTGGTATTCATATATCGAAGATTATTTAAGGATTATTTCATGAAGGTTAACCAGAATATGTTTTTTTTATTAAAAAATGACCCGAACGATACAGCACTTGGACTATCCACTAGACACAGTAAAAAAAAACTATGACATAGATCTATTAGCAGAGTGTATTACCAGTGAGCCCCTACTCTCTTTGTGACCATTTCAATAAAAGACGAATGACTAGCGTAGAGTTTCATCTCTGACCCGACATCGTGCCATTGGACTGCAGCAGCATCATCACCGGCATGAAGAGAGAACTTAGCAACGCTTGTTCCCTGGTCGTCATGGAAGTTGACAGCCATGGTTTCCATCCAGGCATTGTCTGTGTTCCGTGGATCATCTACATAGCCTCGGTACACCTAGAAACAAATCAAGTAGGGTCAATTTACTATATGGATATGAAACTTAGTTTTATTCTTTATTTGCCATGAACTAAAATGAATTAAACTCAAGAGTGCCAAATTATTTGGAGAAAGTTTTCAATAAACATTGTACAATTGGCATATGTTGACAAAAGCAGGCTTTATGCATGTTCCACATGTTAACCAATGCTGGAATAGTGAAATAGTGCCGTGTCCAAAAAATTCACCAACTCCAATTCTCTGCATTTTTAAGAAAATTATAAACGACGTTACTACCCAAAGTAACCCTGATTTTGTTTCTGGCTCCTCCTCAGTGGCCATTGATGTCATACCTTTAATTCACATACACAATTGGGGACAACTATCCCTTAGACTATCAAACTCAAACAACTACCCGTATCCCAAAGGGAACAACTACCTTCCCCTGACAAACCCCCCACCCCCTCGGACAACAAGTAGATGTACACCAGAAACCAACCCCTCCTTTAAAGCCCCAATTCACTTCTTATAGCTACTTGCGCCCTCTATATAGCGAACAATGCCTAATCGGTGACTGTGGGTCCCCCATGATCCCCTTTTACTTATGTTAATGAGAGCTGATTTGATGTGATAACCACCTGTCAGTGACCTTACAAGGAGGTCTAATCCCCTGAACAAACTAGACTAGTGCAGAGGGGCATTAAGGGATGACCCTAATCATCCTTTGACTGACAATGTGGGTAGTTACTCACCTCAACACCATGTTTGAAGAGGTTAGCTACTGCTTTCTCTACAGCTTTGCATTCTTTGTCCTGTAATGATAATGAGTTCATCGCTTCTTCACCAAACTCTCTCTTCAAGGCTTGTGATACCTTCTCTCCAGCATCCACCATGCCCTGTAATAAACACACAAATAGAAACAGACACTTTTAATAACAATAATAATGGTTATTTGTATAGCGCACAGGTCCACCTTTCGGTGCTCATGGCGCTTAGAGAAAAGTACATGTAACAGACATAAGAAACAAAAAAACAAAAAACAAAATTCGAAATTCTCCTAGACATAGTAAATTAGAATATTGCAATTTTTACAACAATAATAATATTTAGCTTTTATATAGCGCTTAATAAATCGATGATGTGTCTAAGCGCTTTACAGATATATAATTAACACGGTCATCGGATTCAGGCTAACCCACACACAATGTATGCACATTCTCCACTCCCTGGGAGCATTCCAGCCAGGCATCATTTTTACAAGCGCAGACTCACTCACTCACGTATAGGCCACTTATCACTGGTACATGTTTGATTACTCCAAGAGCCAGTGTAGAACCCTCCACCCTGGTATGGCCCCCCTCTCAGCCCTCTCATCTCAACCCCTCTCTTACATCCTACAGAGTCCAGTCCTTCTTACCCCTAACATAGCACTCTGACCTCTAGCATAACATTCCTACCCCCCCCCCCTGTTATAATAATATTGTAAAGCGCCCATGTCTGTCAGACTTGACACCAGGGCTCAAATTAATTTTTTGTCCACGGGGGCTCTTCCAAAATAAAAAGCGCCCCCGTGAGCCTTCTCACAGGGGCTTTTTTAGTACAGACGGGGGCTCTTTTTCCATTGAATTGGTGGTACCCATGAAACTCCTAAATTATTTGCTATTTCATCATTATCATTAATAGTCGGCATTATTTCTCTTACAACTTTACAAGTTATAACATGCAGCTAATGGTCAGATCTCTTCCCTTTGTACGAAATTTCTGGTCCAAGCCCGTATACATACGTATTACTCAATCTGGATAGTGGATATGATCGTCGCAATGTAGTATAGTCAAATTGGAGTTTCCTTTGTTCGTTAGGACTAGTTCTCTTAAACATATACAAGTATTATATAATTTTATGAACACTCGTGAATGCCAGAGGGAAAAACCGTTGCAATCGACTGAACTTTAGCCTATTTTGTTAATTTTTCTTGTCGCGCCCATATCGCCTTTGTAGTTGATTAAAAGCTGAAATATGGAAGTACTTGAGCTCGAAAATATATATCTTCACTGTTCTCACGCGGGGGTGATGTCGAAATAGAAACTTGGCCACAAAACACAACTACAGGGCAATTCCACGGTAACGGAAGGACACTCAGACAAGATTTTTGAACTTCAGGTTCATACTAAAAGAAATGTTTTATTAGTATGTATTAAACTATGGGGAACAAAATGTGTTTCAGTCAAGTGGAAAGCTTCATCAACTTCACAAAGTTTGGATAAACACTAATTAACTGGAAAAACCATGTCCATTTTTATGTCCTTCCGTTACCGAGATAATTAATATGCACATTCTTAAACTACTTAACTATAATGACAATTTTTTAGGGGAGAATTAAAGGCACTTATATAGGTATTATATCTGTACTGTTTCACATCTTATACTAATAAAACAGTTCTTTTAGTATGAACCTGAAGTTCAAAAATCTTGTCTGAGTGTCCTTCCGTTACCGTGGAATTGCCCTAAACTATTCAGAATTAATAGCAAAAAGGACAAAAGACATGAATACCTTGTCAATCTTATTACACAAGAGTAATTAACACTCCTCTTCAGAAAAGTAGAGACCTAGACCAGACCCCCCCCCTGATTTCGCAGGAGGAGAAAAAAATGGTTTTAATGGTAATGGTCGACATAAAAACTCTGAGCTCATCCTGTTTTCTATTTAATTATGAATCGAAAGAGAAAATTAGCGCCACCCTCGTAGTTAGTTTCGAAAGATGGATGATGTATATACTGGGCTGTTACCTTATTCTTATTTTGTCCTCGTTGCACGTGCGTGCTTTTCTATTATTTTTTCAAGTCATGTCGTTTAGTGGAAGCACCCGTAGACATGTCGATTGTACCTTACTATATTTAATTTTGACTACATATTATTTATTGGGATTTAAATATGAATCTGAAAGTTTATTCCTCGAATAACCTTATCTGGATTAACATGACTTTGACATAATATAGTTGTCCTCGCGGTGCACTAAAAGTATTGCACGTAAACAGATTTCGACCTTCCCCTCTTTCCATATTTTTTTTTCTCGCTTCCGGAAACGCATTTGTTTTGCTTGATCCAAACACAGAGATATATTAATTTATGGAACTATTTTTTATAGACTGTCAATGCTTAACATAGTTATTTACAGATGATTCTGCAAACTGTATTTAATAACATAATATTAATGAACAATCTCAGATTTACATGTGTGTGCACTGCTAATTCGTTGTGTAACGACTTTACACAACATTGAATGGTTCACTTCTTAAACACGGGTTGTGTTAAGTCGTGTAATAAAACATTACACAACTTTACACCCTGCAACATCTTTGGTGATCTCCTTCTCAATATTGATTTACTGGTCGAGTTACATTATTTGCTGGCCTTTTAGAATAACCAGATTTCAGAGGATTCACACTTTTCACAACGAAAAACTTCTCCATGTTTCAGTCCTTGCGCGATCGTCTCCAGCTCCAGCAGATATTGGGCGTCAGCGTGCACACCGGTACTACCGGCGCAGTATAGCCACTGCTGAGGGCCGCACTAGCTGTACTGCGAGCTTCCGTTGTTTGTATCGGTAATACTCATAGAGATGGGAGAGAAAGCGCCATCTAAGTTCCATTTCATTGGTTTAAGGTTTGAAAATTGATACTCAATATTGTGTTAAAGTTATATCAGAAAAGATAATCTTTATTTTATAATTCCACGGGGGCGATTTTTAATTTTTCAATCGCCCCCGTGGGCAACCTGACGGGGGCGATTATGGAGCTCACGGGGGCGAATCGCCCATCGCCCCCGTGTATTTTGAGCGCTGCTTGACACTCTTGGCGCTCCTCATTATTACCCTGGCTTTAGCACGGCTAAACGCAGTACGGCATTACGGTGCTCTAGCATTTCAAGGAATTAATATCTGCCAGGAACCCATTTACATCACCTGGGTTGAGTGTGGCAAATGTAGATAAATGTCTTGTCAAAGAACATTAGTGCCGCGGCGGGACTTGAACCCCAGACCTTGTGATCGACAGTCTGGTGACATATCCACTCGACCATGACACCTCTATATTCTATCCCAGTTACAACCCTCCCATACACTGTTTTAATCCTAACACAACCTTCATAGTATGCTTAGCCCTGGTATAGATCATTTCCCCCCAGTATATAGGTGACGTGACCCTATTACACAATACAATTTAGCTCTTTCACCTGACTCTCTGGAAGTACCCTCTTATAAAGATCTTACACCTCCCCTGCTATAACTCTCTCGCCACTCTCTCGCCCTTACCACAATCACCTTCTTATAGACCTTTAACCTTTGTTATAACTGTGCTCTTAATGACCCACTTACCCCTGGTATCGCCCACTCTCCTGAATCTTTCCTCCTAATTGAGATGAATTGAAGTATGGGTTTGCCTGAGGTAGGGTGAAGAACTTTCTTGCCTGATGAATCTCTCTTCCACCTGAAAGATAACAGACATCAAGTACATCATTATTTGGAAATGCCTAAAGAAGACAAAGTTAATTGAAAAGCAAGTTGTGTCCAATTCAAATTCTTTCTTGGATATCTTGGAACTTCTATGTAAGGTATTCAACATTTGAATTATCATCAGCTACAGCGTTATCATAATCCTCATCAAAAACAACACCATTACAATTATCTTCATCATCACAATCGCCATCACCACCACCACCACCACCATCATCTCCATCACAACAATAATTACTGTCATCATCATCACCATCAACACCACCACCACCACTACCACTACCATTACCACTATTATAGCTACCAGCATCATCACCAACATAACCTTCATCTTTATCTTCATCATCATCATCATCGTCGTCGTCTTTGTCTTTGTCTTTGTCGTCATCGTTATCATCATCATCATCACCATCACCACTATTAGAATCATAATATTACCTGGTTACAATAGGATCAGCTGCATGGTTGGGTCCCCATTTCCCTAATAAACCTCTCTCCATCATTCCAGTACGTCCGCATGGATTCCTGGGGATAGACCAGAAATGGAAAAACAATTTATCTTTTTTTTTGCGAAGGCTACTCAAAACTATGATGTTCAGAGATTTACATTACAACCTGCTGACATCGGTTTTCATGAAAGCTTTAATAAATTAGTAGTGCTACAAATGTATAGCTTTATGCAACAAAGGCTCCATACAATACTCCATCATATGTTTGTTATAAGTTACGGCAAATGTGAAGCACTCTATGCTTGTCTGTTTTCATTTTGCTGCACCAGTTTTTTAAACAGCAGCAAACACCTACAGATGCTTAAATGAGCCTTTGTGCATTTACAATTTCAACGACAACAAAATTTGCCGGCTGCATTTTTAACCATGAATTCCTGTCTAAATGACTGCATACCTTGGTACTCCGTCCACGCAACCATAGTCGCCTATGTAGCTACGGCGATTCACTTTCCCATCTTTACTGTTGAAGTTTAATGATGGACTACCCTTTTGCCTAGATAGGTAGAAATAAAACAAAACAAAATGAGAGAATGAAAATCCACAATTAACTTGATAAATGATACACATTATGCTAAGCTAACACAAACAGATGCATAACCTTTACCTGTATTCAAGCATCCATATATAAATAAATGCTTCACAGTGTATTTTGAAGAGTGTGAACATTGCAGTTAGGTAAAGATTGCATACCAGTACATCACATTATATGAGTCCACATTTCAATTTTGATACATGTATACATTTGTTTTAATAATCATACATGTACCATTCAAAGTGAAATCAGCTACTTCTGCTTATTTTCTGCGTTAACACTGTGGCTATCTCAAGAAATCTGAATGTTCTTTCGGGTGGTGCCAAATACTTAATACAAATGTAATAACATTATTATATTCCATAAATTAAGATCTGGGTAACGTTCACTATAACAAGTTTCTTCAGGTTTTAGGCTGAGAACAGATGGAAATTCTTGAGCATCTGCTCTGAACTGCTTTTCACCTTACTGATAGTTCTTTCTAGTCCACAGATTACATGAAAACGACTTCCCCCCCCCCTCCAAAAAATGAAATGAAATAGAAATAATAATAACTAAAAACATTTTTTTTAATGAAAACAAAATAAAGGATGAATTTGTGTACTCACATGATATCTGGATCTGCCCAGACAGGTCCAGCTTTGACATGATCTGATGTGTATTTGACAGGGCTATACTCCGGCCATTCCACCTTCCAAGGAACCTTATCATCTGGTACTGGTAACCTACCCACCGTAGAGTTAGGATAGATGGTGTGTCTAGCCTTGGTATGTATCATGGTGGCGGGTGTGATCGAGGACGACCCACCACGGGTGACCTTCGGAAGATGGAAGTAATGTCCACAGAGGCCAACGGAAGAGAAGAGGCTGCAGCAGAAAAAAACAAAATGAGGAATGAAGTCAATATTAGAGCAAAATAACAGGGGTCTAAGGGAAAATAACCATCTAAAATACTAAAGGCTTCCAGTTTTTGTCAATTTTTTAATGACGGAAGAGCAGGTCTGGCATCTACCAATAATGTGCATCATATGTAACAATGAAAGAATGACTGTCCAAGCTGTGAACTTTCTTCAAATTACTTTTTTCTCCTGAAAAACTGGATGCTTGTCACACAATCCCTGGATGCGTTGGAGTCCAAGCAGCAACGCCTACAAAATTTTGAGATTCAAACATGCAGTAAGCAAACTATTGGGAGCAAACTGTAATAAAACGCACGGTACACAAGGACGAGCTCCAACAATACTGTCTTTAGGAGGAACCAGGAACTCTTTTATATTTGTCATTTCCTGAAAACAATCCCGTTAGAAATTTAAGTGGAGTCCTCGTAACGGAAATTAGTGCTTCAAGATTGGGATTATTATTCAGTTTTCCTAGAAATTATGTTCAAATAACAATTAAACATATTAGTAATTGTTGATACCACTCCTCTCGTTAGAAATACTTTGTATGCCTGAAACAATCAGCAAATTGTGGAAAATGGCAAGCATTTGCAAAATTTTGCTTTTTCTACTTTGAAACTTCCTGATTTGGTCATATTATTGTTAAATAGCCATCTTATGAGAATTTGATAAATAATAATAATACCGGTAATAAATCTTCATGCATGACATGTAAATATTAAAAGTACCACTTCCCTATTTGAATGCCTGATTTCATCTGTATGTAAATATATAAATTATGCTTTGTTCCTATTGAGGATTCAGTTTTTGCATTAGCAAAACTTTGCCTTTTCTACTTCAAAACTTCCTTATTTGGTCATATTATTGTTAAATAGTCATCTACCGATAATGAGAACTTGACAAATCTTCATGCATGAGATGTAACTTAAATACCACTTCCCTATTTGAATGCCTGATTTCATCTGTATTGTAAAAATGTATAAATTATGCTTTGTTCCTATCGAGGATTCAGTTTAACAAATACACTTAAACATTTCTCCTTTGGATTAAAAAGCAATATTTTTAAGACATTTAATGAATTACATTTACATGTACAGTATGTGAAAAATTATCATAAGTGTGTCTTATATTTCATTGAAGTTGCAAACTCCTCTTTATGTAAAATATTAAGTATGAAAGAGCTACACATATCAACTATCCAAGAATCGTGACTACACTTCCTCATACTGTCTGTCCGGAAGCAGGAAAGGTGAGACAAGAAACCTTATGAAACAAACTTGAAAACAGACTTCGCTCTTCTATCTATAACCATGAAAAATAACTCAGCATCAGCGATTGAAATTTCCATGCACCCCACCCTCATACTCTTCCCCTCCACCATGCCCCCCTCTCTCTCTATCTCTTTCTCTCACCCACAACCACTTTTTGGTTCATTTTTTATTCCTCCAAATAAACAGAAACAAAACAAAAAACATCAATAACAATTTTGTGAACATAATTATGCATCATGTACATGGATGTAAATTACAGAAAGGAAATTAAATACATGTATACTTAACAAATTACATCCAATAATTATGACCTACAGTATGTACAAATAATGAAAATTTGAGGTTTTTAAGCTAAGATAAAAAAGTAAAAAATAAATAGACAAACTACCTCTTCACCCACCCACCACCCCTGCTATTAAAAAAAAAACAAAAAAAAAACCCTTCATGAGTACCAGGTACATGGTATTCCTTAGGAATTTTTTTCAACGCAGCAGTTTTGTACAGTGAGGCCTAAGCTTGTTTCCAGTTAAAATTATCATTTTCATCCACAAATCAATCAAAGAATCTCAACCTTGATAACTTAATGTACTTACTAAGCTAAGGATCCTGTGTTTCTACTCCTATTACCAAGTATCAAGAGACTCTTTGAATTGTCCAGCACAGATGACATCAACAACATTTCCACAAATTCAATAAAATATACATTCCAGATGATGAACTGAAGACAGACAAATGGGGGAAACGCATTGAATAGCAGTATAGAAGCTATATATTACAATGTGTAGAACCCTGAAATGAGGACAAGTTCTCTGTAGCAGAAGCCAGCCAGCCAGTCAATAGTAGATTCCTTCATGCGCATCCCTCCACATCTGGTTCATCAACCACCATGTATTATGACCATGGAAGTCTCATTCACACAAGGACAAGAAGTGTGATTGAAAAATTGCTGGAAGAAAGCTTTTTTATAAAGTCCATTAGAAATTTCAAATTATGTGTGATTGTGTGTGAGGTAGCAGTAATTGGTATTGACCGAGTGAGATATGAACCACAAATCAAATTGCATAAATACTGCTTTTTTTTTGTCATTACTTTGCCATTTGTCTTCTGTGCTATATCAGAGGTCAGTTTAAGTGAGAATAGGAAATTGTGTTTATAATATCTTATGTGTGAACAGGTGCAAACACCAGGGGAATTAAACCATATTTCAAAACCTTTATCCTTTTGTGTGAATTGGGGTACTTCCAATTGACACTTTTTCACCCTAGAATCACGTTTTTCAAAGACTTTTAGTTTAAAACACGGTTGCGTTCAAGCAATTTTTTTGTCGGTTGTAAAAATAAACGTGTTTAAAAACACAAACATGAAACGCTGAAAAAGATGCATTTTGTATCGTCGCTTAAATTCGCTTGAGTGAACAGAGATCTCAATCATGATTCTATGACGTCATTATCGTTCCAGTTTGACCGACAGTCGACCGTAAACACAGACAGAAAGCATGCGGCGAAGTGGACCTAAACTTCTTGGGTCAAACTGCAGTGTGATGAGCAGTGGCTGGGCTTAAAATGAGCGAGAATCAGCGTTGATGAAAAATTGCTTGAACGCTCTCCCGCAGTAACCGTGTTTTTTAACAGCGTTTTAAATTGTGATTCATATTTGTGATTCTAGCTTCAAAAAATCGCTTGAACGCACCCTATATAGGCCTACACTGACCATGTACATGTAGTTCAGTCTCCAGGTTGATCAAGGTTGATCAGGAAGTGATAACAGACATCATCTACATGCACCTGTCCTTCATGGTCAGTACCTTTATGCAGAATCAAGGACTTATCAATACCACCGAAAGAGTTGTTATTACCGGTAAATAGAGTGTAAACCAATGAATAATAAACAAAAAATGTATGGTCAGTACCATTATGCAGAATCAAGGACTGATCAATACGATATTAAATAGAGTGTAAACAAATAAATAATTAACAAAAAATGTATGGTCAGTACCATTATGCAAAATCAAGGACTGATCAATACGATATTAAATAGAGTGTAAACAAATAAATAATAAACAAAAAATGTATGGTCAGTACCATTATGCAAAATCGAGGACTTATCAATATGATATTAAATAGAGTGTACCGGTAAACAATTGAATAATAAAGAAAAAAAATGTATGGTCAATACCATTGGTATGCAGAATCAAGGACTTATCAATACGATATTAAATAGAGTGTAAACAACTGAATAATAAACAAACTAGATGGAATTCGACTGCGCGCAGTCGAAAATGATGCCTCCGTCATAGAGCAATTTTACAAACCGAAACGGAAGAAATTTTTTGAAATTGAAGTTCAATTGTAATCCATTAACATGTTCTCAGAATATCGTGATTACAAGCAATTTCTCATATACATATATGACCCTTTGATCTTTGACCTCATGACCCTAAAATCTACTCAGTTCATTGGCTCTGCAAGATTTCCTGAGTTAAATAGTAATCCATCTGTCAGTTCTAATGAGAATGCGTCCACAAGCTATTTTTGCATACATAATGAGCCCATGACCTTTGATCTTATGAACCATTCATTGGCTCTGCAAGATACATAAATGATCTAAGTTTGGCAGGAATCCATCAATCTGTTCTAATGATAATACGATCACAAGCTATTTTTGCATACATAATGAGCCGCATGACCTTGACCTTTACCTCATGACCCCAAAATCTAATCAGTTCATCAGCTCTGCAAGTAACATACATGACCTAAGTTTGGCAGGAATCCATCAATCGGTTCTTGAGATAAGGCGATCACGAGCTGTTTTTGCATACACAATGTGCGCTGTGACCTTTGACCTCGTGACCCCAAAATCTAATCAGTTCATTGGCTTTGCAAGATACATACATGACCAAAGTTTGGCAGGAACCCATCAATCAGTTCTTCAGATAACGCGATCACAAGCTGTTTTTGCATACATAATGAGCCCTGTGACCTTTGACCTTTGACCTCATGACCCCAAAATCTACTCAGTTCATCAGCTCTGCAAGATACTTACATGACCAAAGTTTGGCAGGAATCCATCAATCGGTTGTTCAGATAACGCGATCACAAGCTGTTTTTGCATACATAATGAGCCCTGTGACATTTGACCTTTGACCTCGTGACCCAAAATGTAATCAGATTGTTTTCCTATAGTGATACACACTATCACTAAGTTTGAAGTTTAAATCTCCAGTGGTTCTTGAGATATCATGATAACAATCTCAATGTATGGAATTTCATAAGTTGACCTCTGTGACCCTTGACCTTTGACATACGTGCTCCAAAATCTAATCAGATCGTCTTCCTATGGTGATACATACTATCCTTAAGTTTGAAGTTTAAATCTCAAATGGTTCTTGAGATATCGCGCTAACAAACTCAATACAAGGAATTTCATAAGTTGACCTCTGTGACCTGTGACCTTTGACCTACGTACTCCAAAATCTAATCAGATCGTCTTCCTATGGTGATGAATACTATTCCCGAGTCTTAAGTTTAAATCTTAAATGGTTCTTGAGATATTGTGATAACGGTCAAACGGGACGGACGGACGGACGTACGGACGGACGTACGGACGTACGGACGGACAACCCGAAAACATGATGCCTCCGGCACCACCTTCGGTGGCGGAGGCATAAAAATGTATTATGGGGAGTATTATTAGAGGTTCATGTACAGTCATAGGGTGTCATATGCTCTCAAAATCATGGACAAGCATCACTACACAAGAAATGGATTTTTTTTAAAGCAAGAATGGTATTACCATTAACTCATGTACTTTGACCCAGAGGTAATGCCCTTATACAGCGACACAGACGAGAAGTGCAATACAGGTATATTATAGACAGTCTACACTCAATTTCAATAGAAATACAATAGGCAGTCCAGCATAAAGAAACTACTATTTACAACTTCCATCAACTATAATCCAAGCCAGAGAATTTTTTGAATATAAGTACAGCTGTACAATATATATTTATTATGCACATGGCAATAGCTCCCTGATATGTTCTTCAGAGTACATTCATGACTCATATCCACATGGGTCCTTTGATGGGGAAACAGGATGTAGAGTTTCAAAACAATGTGATGTAGGCCCCGGTGTTTTACGAAACCTTTCTCCTTCCCCAGAAACAATGGAAAAAGTCCAGCTACGCACCATGATTCCTCTCTGCTTGGGAAATGTAAAACAAAATCATTGCACATCCAGTTGGTAAATGATCCATGCCACACTTCATGAAACAGCTTGATTTCCTGAGGAAGCCCGATGGGTGAAAATTCAAGCTGTTCTTCTATCACGCAATCATTCAATTATTCTTGTTTTCTCCTGTCTTATTATTGCAAAGCAAAACTTGTATTTTACCCGACTAAAGCATTGTCTGGATGGGAGGGGGAGGGGAAGGGGGAGGGGAAGGGGGAGGGGAAGGGGGAGGGGAAGGGGGAGGGGAAGGGGGAGGGGAAGGGGGAGGGGAAGGGGGGGGGAGGATCTTGATATGTATGTAAGCAGAAAACTACATTGCTATTCCTTGCATTGATCACATGATGAACACAAGAGATAATTAATTATTGCATAATTTATTCTTAATCTATAATGACTTTGGAGGAGAAAAATGTTCTTGTACTAATTGGAGGTCCCAATTTTGAAACCAAGTAAATGTACCATTGCCCAATGGAAAGACATTGATTGGCAATTACAAACATTTCTTGCGCCCCAGATCAGATTAAAAGCTATATGTGTAGCCTGAAGGTCTCCTTCTTGCCTACAAGCTTGTATTAATAACCTTGTTTCTTTCCTGAAAGTCAGGATAACGTAACATATGGGATTATATTTGTGCAAAGAGATGAAAGAGTATGATTCATTCATATTAGCAATGAAAGCATGCACTCACAGCCTCTTCTGTCTAAATTGGTTGCCATAGCAATTAATAGACTTTTCAGGATCCCAATTAGCGGAAAACCCACTAAGAGCTTTCACATTAATTACAAAGCCAAATCATCAGCACACATGTATGTCAATTAGATATGCACTCGCATCTATGTAGGTAACCATCTGGTCTAAAATGGCCTTAGAAAGGTGGGTGTCTCCATGTCGGTTTATGAATTAACCTTTTAATTATATTGCTATTGACACAGATGAGACAAACATGAGTGATTTACATTCCACACTTTGCATTTAAGATCAGATGTGTGATGTCATCCTTGTATTATGACCACAAATTATGAAATAAAATGTGGCTCTGTCATATGCAACAGCTGCTTAAGGTTTCATAGTAACTAAATTGCTGTCACATAAATGTACATGTATGTAAATATCTACTTTCCCCTGAAAACATAAAATAAAGTTCATCCCAAGCTCCTCATAAGTATTAGGCTCGTCTTCATCAGCTTGAGTTGTCCAAACAGCCTGCTATTTCTGATTTGGAAAATTAGCCTGAAGTTATAAATCGCGTCATCAGCTAGAAACTAGAGCTCAAGAAATTTGCTCAGTGTTTCCCGCAAAGTGCGAGTTTTTGGTGCTGGTTTACATGTAGATGGACCAGACAAATAGAGGGCGATTTGGCAAACTAGCCCAAGATATCTTGGAAAGATTTCATGAGCAAATGGCTCACTATATTTGCGTCTTCACCTGCCAAGTAGCCTGCTATTTCCTGATCGGGCTAATTTCCAGAATCAGAAATAGCGGGCTATTTGGCCAACTTGAGCTGATGTAGACAGGCCTAAAGAGTGCATTCTATGACCACCGAACCACTGGATGTAATAACCCACCGACTCTAAAGGCTATATGCTCTAGCGACTGAGCTCGCACTGGAAAAGACATCAAGAGAGATCAGCACAAAATGTCTGCAACTTGGACCTGACACTAGACACCACTTCCTGTCACAAGTTCATGAGATATTTAAGACACATGACCTGAACAATCCTCAGACATTTGTGAAACTAATTTCAAATTAACAAAACAATTCTTGTTTTTGTCTCTGAAACCAATCCTAAATGCGAGGGTCAGGCTAGTAAATTTCTGTGTTAAATTATGTGATATGTACATAAATGTAATTTCATTATTGAATGCTGTTAAATATTTCCCTGAATTGTTTTAACTCCTGAATTACCCAAACATTCTGTACAGAGTAAATAATTTACTAATTTATGGTGCCATGCTGGTGTCCCATCTTATAAATATTGGCCCTATGTATTCACTTTTGTCATGAGATATCACAGTTGAAGCTAGAAATTGTGCTTCACAAAAAGAGAAGCCACATCTGTAATTTTTAGTAGGAATAAAAAACAGTCAAGTTTGAGATGACAAACTTTGATGTTTATGTAGTGCACCAACTTGACCAAGTCAACCACCAACTTTCAGTCAAGGAACAGAACTTCAACTGGTCTAACTCATTGACATTGTGCATATGGTTATCCATATATGCACAATCAAAAAGCAAATGAAATAGGTTATTTGCATACCAATACTCAAGAAATCCTTTGTGTATACATGCACTGAAATGCCATTCCATGCATCATGCAGCTAATGCACAAGTTAGTAGTTTTATGAGTTAATGATAAATTCAGAGAGTATCATATGATTGATGGATTCATTTACTTTACATGCACATGATTCATGTATGATTAACAAAAATAAATTATATGCATAATTTGTTCTATGAAAGATTATTGAGATGGAGCTAGTCCTATTGTTATATGGACCAGTTCTACCCCTTTTGCAGTCTTAGAGTAACCTTATCAGGTCGATACCTACAGAGGCATCTACCGGTACATGTAGACCATTCTAACCATTCAAATTTTATACTTTATCTCATACACAAATAGGACAAAGATTTTTGTTACGAGTCTAAGATGAAAAAATGACAAAAATGAACAATGACGTACCAGCCTAATGAAATCCTAAGTTGTGATGCATGTTTGTAAACTTAGTGGCAAAGAAAAAGTTAACAAAATTTTGAATGTCTGATGAAATCTCATTAGTAGATATGAAAGAAATGTCTTTGATTGGTGAATACACCGTGAAGTAGGCTGCTTTGCAAACTACATATACATGTATGTGTATGCCAAGACTAATCCCTATCGGTTGCAGAGTCATCCTATTCATAAGAAATTAATCTGAATCTGAATCTGAATCACAATATTACAATTCCCTATGCTCTATAGAGTTGCGATTGATGTCAAACTCAAGTTGTAAGAAATTCAGAAATAATCATAATTTTACAAAGCAGGTACCTGAATCATAATTTTACAAAGCAGGTACCTGTTGGCATGCAATTTTCATGTCATTTGCTGGCAACCATTAGAAATAGCATCCATGTTAAGTATTAACTAAGATGATCATATGCCCATGGCAGAAGCAACCAAGAATATTCTACAAAATAAAATTTTAAACAAGCACATTCTAATAAGTAGAAGCAAATGATTCAAAAGAATATGATTTTGAAGGTTGCAAGACAAGAGGTAAGAAATGTTTACTTCTCCCTGGTCTCCCTGCTGTCACGTGATGTCTCCTCGTCATCTCTTATCTTGGTGGCTTTCTTGAGCGGCTTCCTTGCACCCTGCTTCTTTGGAGCTCCCTTTGTCGTTTTCTTGGCAGAGGCCTTCTTAGACGGTGTTGCCTTCAAGGTTGTGGGTCCCTTGCAAACCTTCTTGATACCCTTCTTGGCAGGTTTATTAATAGCATCTTTAGCTTGTTTCTTCGTAGCAAGCGTCTCGCTTCTCGTTTTGGGCAGGGCACTGGTAGCGCTAGGTTTCTTCTTCGCAGCTCCCCTGGCCCGCAAGGTCTTTGACTTGCCTTTTTTAGCCAACTTGTAGGTTAATAGACCACCCCCTGCCGCTACTAGCTCAATCTCGCCTCTCCTGGAAGCTGCTTTGAGAGCACGACCCAGGGAAGGTGTCTCACCGATGTCACCGTGTATTGTCTTGATGTAGTTCTTTATTGATTGAGCAGAGGAACCATTGGCATTCCTGAGGGCAGTGATAGCAGCTACCACTATGTCCCCTGTCAAGGGTTGGGTGACCTTGACAGGGCGCTTCCTAGAGTCCTTTGGCTGCTGTCTCTTAGCCATAGCTCGGGTGTTACGCTGGGTCTTCATGAAGTCTTGATCTGACTATGATGAAGATTATAAGGAGAGGAGAATTCCAAGAAGAAAAGAGATAAAGTGCTAACACTACTGACTGACTATCAAACTGTTGCAATTATGAGACAGTTTGAACAATCTGATACTGTAGCAGTAAAGTGCATGCACAAGCAATTTTGATCAATTGCTATATCGGAAATGTCAGATCCTACTGAGGCTAATGAATTGAAATTGGAACTTAGACTAAAGGCTATATCAAAAACTACATGTGATAGGTTACAACTAAGAATACATTTACAGCACAAATTCTACCTCTACAGTTTCAGACAATCTGTTTTTATCAATATCATGTTTGAACTGAATTATGATATCGCATTTGTCATCTGATCAGGACAGGGTTGGCTCTTCATGGATCAATAAAGCTGTTTAATACTAGATTAGTTTAGGATTTGTGGGTGAAAACAAGATAGAAACCAGGAAACCGCGATTTCCTGATCGGTTAGGCTAAGGTTCAGTCCGTACACCACCTGCCAATAAATATAATGTGTTTAATGCCATAAATATCCATTGTTTGCTGCCAAAATGTGGAAACGTTAACTTATACAACGAAAGGCAACTTACAAGTTTGCATGCATTATAATGATATGGAACATCAATCATATGTACATGTAGTTGTAGCTATTTTTGTTTTTTTGCAGTTTTTCCAATGTATTTTGATTTTGATCCGAACACATTCCTAAATGAATATAAACATAAACTATTGTGTACTCCTTTTTTGTTCTTGTTCACAGGTCATTTCTGAAATTAAAATATTACATTTTACCCATCCTTATTGTGTCCTTCAAGAAAAGGAAATAACCCCCAACCTTTGCCTATTATTCTTGCTCAAATACAATGGCAAAGCTTTCACAAAGGAAATCACATGAATTAGTCACCTGACAATAAAAATATTGAAATTATTCACCAAACTTTGAGATTTGCTTGCTCTTCACAAATATTTCCTGTTGTTTTGTATTGTTCTATAAATATAAAAACACATCACTGCCACCTCTACAAAAATAAAATAAGCTGTGTTCATTTATAATTATTTTCATACAATCTATGTTATGTACATGTATAGGCCTATATCATGAGAAAATTCTACATGTACACAAGATGCCACTATGCAAAATGTAGGTTCTCATCTAATATTTGTTATATCCCTCATGTATAGTTGTTTGCATTGCGATTGTACAGAGCACGAAAAAGGTATAGATAAGTACTATCTACCTGAGATAGTACTTATTGTAAAGTTATTTTTTGCTGCTACCCCACCCTTGCCCATTGAATACGCATAGCAAAGTAGGTTACGCGAAATGTCAAAGTCAATGTCAAATGAGCGCGCATCGACTGTATGTCATGTATGCATGTTGCGCTTTGTAAAATCTAGCTGAAGCTAAACTGTCTGCAGAATCAGTTATTATTATGTAAAATTCACTTTAAATAGACCTTATTGCCGAGGTGATCTCGGGGCTACCATCTTCCCTCGCCTTGCGGCTCAGGAAGATAGTAGCCCCGAGATCACCTCGGCGATGATAGTTTGAACCATTACCCTCGTAATCGATTAATATTTGCTTACTATTGTGATGCATGATACACATGCACAGGTATGTACACTGTACATGTACATGTACATGTACTTCAATCTGTCACTACCTGGGCCCCGTCTTATTAGAGTTGATATCAATCGCAACTATGTACATAAGATATAGGAGACTGCAAACTTGCGATTGATTGGAATCAATCGTAACTCTTTACAAGACTGGGCCCAGATCATACAAACAGAAGTAATAAATGATAAATGCTGCCATTTTTTAGGGTCGATGGTATAAATTACCCACAGAGTAAATTCTTCACAAACATTTACTTCAGCTACATGTACATTACAAAGTATGAAAACTGGAAATCTAAAAATACTGTTTTATTGTCTATATTTAAGTTCAACATGACTTTTTATAATACTCACAGATTTATAAAAGTAATGAAAAAAGAAGTATTTACCCATAAACAGAGATACTTGGAGCTTTGAAGAGCAGCTACAGTGTATATATGTACTGGTGTAGGCTTCCACTCTTTGTGTTTTTATTGAAATACATGTATGTAGATTTATGTAGATAAAAACTATGCCCTAACATTGATTGATCATTGAAAAATGTATGAAATAAGAACCACAATGATTCTGTGTATGAACCAGTGATTGATTATAAAATCAATATGCTGGTTGGTATGATGTGCAAGATGTTTTACAGTAGTATATGGACGGATCTCTTAACCTTGGCATTACAGGCCTGCATATAATAATAATAATAATAATAGTTACATGGAAATAAAAAAACATAGTGAATCTACTATATGTACATAAATATATTCTACTTTGCTGTAATGAAGAAATAAAATTCTACCAAAAATATTCAAAAGCTTATGAAATAACTGTATACCCTGTATGTGCCAAGTAAAGAAAAATAAAAACCCCATAAAACAGGACTGAGAGAACTGCAACTGCAAGACAACTTTATTTCTGGCAGTTCCTAAAAGAGCTCTGGAAACTCTCTGCTTTCAAAATAGCAAATCTGAGAAGATTGAAATAAAATACCTTTAAAAAAAAAATGTGGCCTCAGTGCAGTACTTACAAGTTCTGCATCAAAAATTAGATGGGATGAATCTTCTCAATAATCTTTGTCACATTTTCATTGAAAGGGTCGATTTCACGCAGTACATGTACATACATGTATGTCCTATGGTATGATAATTCATATGACCTTGATCCATTTATTTCATATGGAAATGAAAATTCTCTTCATATGAGCACTGACTTGTGGTACAGTTCATGTAGTGATACCGGAAAAAAAACTTTATTTCAAAAGTTATATCTAGTGATTTTATATTTGAATAAAATATACATGTACGGATAAAACGCATAGCGTTATGTCATACAGGACACACTATGGTAACTCATAAAATCTTCCAAAAGCAAATGTATACCTGTATATTAAACATGAGCTGTGTTTTGCTAGTAAATTGAATAATGCCTTCATCTGCATCTGAATGCCTTGTGTTTATTTTTCATTTGGTAGATACCGTGCAATCAATGTTCATAGATACAATACTAGTGATCAATACAATCTATACAATACCACATGAGTGATGTGCTGGAAGCCTGGAAAGCAAATGTTTGATATTTAGATTGAACAAAAGTCCTTTTGTGAAGCCAGGTAGGACCAATTTAAGTAGTGGTGTCAATAAAAACCAGCCCCCCTCACTTTCCAATATTTTATGCATACCGGTACATAGGCTTACAATGTACAGGTACATGGAGAGTCAAACGCCTTGCATTTGATGGTACTATTAAATGAAGTTAATATTTGAAGAAACACACAAATGCCAAAAATGTAATAAAAAACATGATTTTATGATTTCCAACGATTTCCTTTCAAATTGCTACTCCTTTTACTGATACACATTTGCAAGAATATGTATCGCTTTCAAAGGAAAGCAATGAAATTAATTACCCACTGTGGATGTTGTATTATTTCTTTTAGGCATACATGTATGATTAGCAACCAACATGTGCACCTTTATAAATGAAACAAAACAGAGGAAGATACCAGGGCCCCTGTCTAATAAAGAGTGGCGATCATTGAACCAAATCAATCATAAGTCCTCCATTCAATCGCTAGTTTGCAGTCTCCTATCTCTTACATACATGTATGTACATACATGTAGTTGATATTAATCGCAAATAAGTTACGATTGATATCAACTCTTTTATAAGACGGGGCCCAGAGCTATCTGTAGTCTGTTGAGAGCCATGCATACTTGGACACAAAGGTGATGCCCTTATGACCCTCAATAGTACAGACAGTATATTATGAGCAAAATTTGTGTCATTGTTAGTAAAGTAAATACAGGGGTGTATGGTATTTCTATTCCCATAATAAACATTACTTATTTTTCTTAGAAGAAAAATACCACAGTGCCTTTAATAACACCCAAAGTCAATAGGCCCCACCTTCACCTACATGAACAATTACACGGTACATTGTACACAATGTGAGCCTACATTGTAATACATGTCACTTGAGGACATACTTTGTAAATGACTCAATGCATGCCTACATGATGATACAACGCTCCCTGTAACATGATACAATCTTGATGCCTGGGATGTAATGCCTATGGAGTAATATATACTCATATGAGCTATCAAATTTACTGCCGCTGGGTATTACAAGGCTTGTAATGTACATGTATGTATTACACACATTGTTACATTTTGTATGTATGGCTGCATGTACATTAGATCTAAACTAAAATGATGCATCATATCAATATGTACTTTATACAGTTACACACTGAGTAAAGAAAGAGTCAAACGATTTTCAAGAACACCTTCAAACACCAAGTTGTCAGTTTTGAGTAAGTCAGTTTACTCAAACTTTTGTAGTTTTAAAGAAATTCTGGAAGCTAGATGGCTGCCTGTTGCTAAGGGTGGTCCCTCGATGTACACGCAAGTACATGTAACAGACTACAAAGAAGCTTCACTGAACAAATACACTGTAGGATCAATGACAATGAACTCAGAGTCAGAGCAAGATGGGAACTAATTCACAAGTCAAAAATATCACCAGTGCAAAGTTAAACTTTTGATGATGTACAAGACAAGCCAACAAGACATGATCTCCTGACCAAACTGCCATCAGAGTTACATTGTACATACCAGTCATAGGCCTGACAACATGTAAAAAGGAGAAACGTACATGTACAGTCCTGATTCCTGCCCACAGTGTACAACCTTGAGCTCACTGCTTTAATACTCAAAACAGATACATCAGTATTATTCAACAGATTTAGGCTAGAGAAGACCTGAGAGCCTTATCATGGGCCAAACTGAGTGAAAGTATTCACGATTCAATACTTGAGAGTCGAGACTCTCATCTTGACATGCATGTATAAGGTACGCTTAAAATATTACAAACAATCTTGCACATGCA